TATAGGCGGACAAAATATCTTTATTTTATATTTATGTGATGCTGAGGATTGAACGCAGTGCCTCACGCATGTTAGGCGAGTGCTCTACCTCTGAGCCACAACCCCAGCCCCAGTGCTTTATATTTAAACCATGGTTGGGGAAATGAATAAAAAGCAGAAAGCCGTTGCTTGTGCTTTATAATAGGGAATCAGGACAATACAGATTTGCTAATGTGTATTTAATCACCATAGCATTTGAGGTTTTATTCTGTAATGTTTCTGAGACCATACACATTAAATGCAAACCAAAAGATAAGAAGTTCTTGGTAGAATGGAAGTGATGCATACTTACTGATTGGACCAGTTTAAATATTATTCATGGCATTCAGCCTAGTTCATGGTCTGGCTGTTCATAGGACTTGGGCTTCATTGGTCTACCACTGCTCCACTACATTGCTAATGGACCCTCAGGATGAGGGACACTTAATGAAGCCTGAATGCCTAGCAGAACTGTGTGGATCTGCAGAGCTGGGGACCATTCATCTTTCAGAATATCCAAACATTATCATCCCAAGTTATCTATATTAGGATTATAAATTTTGGTTATGAGATATACTTTAGGTGCTGATATGGGCTATTTTCTGGAATGAATAGTTCAAGCTTTGAAGGCTGTCCTTCAGAAGAAAAATCTTTGGGGATAGCCATGACCCCATGAAAATAATAGCTTCTGCTCTCCTCTGGTTCTGCTGTAATGTCAGCAACTGGTTCTGCCAGCAAAGGCTAGGTTTCCTGATGATCCTGCAGGGCAGACTTCCTAAAGGCCGTCTTGTCAGGTTCCCAAGTTGGCCTCTGGACTGGTGTCTCTCTCTGCTCCCTACATGCAGGAGTCTAGAGTTGATTGTTTTAAAATATGCCATGAGATAGGGATAAAATTTCCTCCTCCTGTACCACCACCACCACCACCAGGATGGCTAGTTGCCCAGGCCTGTTATTAGTCCATCCTTTTCTAATGATTTTTTTGAATTTTCATAGATTCATGAGATACTAATTGTTGTTTAATTCTGTAATTATAATTTTCAGTTTCATAATATCTTTTTCTCATATTTAGTTAAGTACTTGTGTTGTTTATTAATTTGTTCAGTTTTTGAACCATTCAGTGAAGAGAAAGCAGAGAGCCTATTATGTGCCAGATACTCCAGGCATGAGCTCCAGCTATAAATGAAGTCACTGCCCTCAGGGAGCTAAATTTCTAATAAAGGAAAAAGACATGTAATAAAGCTCTTCCAGTAATTGATAATTTGTCCAATGAGAGAGTGGCTTTTTGCTTATGAGGGGATATGCATATAGGGAATGTATTTTATACAAGGACTTCAGATGTGTTTCTCCATTTTACACAAGTCAAAGGCTGTATTAATTCCTGGAATACAGAAACACCCAGGTCACCCTACAAAGCCAGCAAAAACTGTGTTTTTTGCTGTGTGCCGTGTCAGTTCACATGCTTTCTTCTCAGGGTTTTAACTTTTCTATTTTATCTAACATTTCTAGGTATCTGAAGCAGAAGGGTTTCTGACTATCAGTCATATTACTGGGACCAAAAACCTTAGGTTAGTTTCTATTTTCCTCCTTAATTAAAACCATTGTGTCTTCAGGAAGTGCTAGTGGTTGATTAACAAGAGGTTTGATTTAGCAAAAAATCAAAGATGTTCCTGGAATTTGGGCAGCTGATATTTTTTAGTTCTGAAGACCTTTTTAGACTTTTCTTTATTGTTATTGGTGTTTAGGGAGGGATATGAGAGGGTGATTAGAGAGGTCTGTGCTTGTTTTCCTAAAGGAGATACTTTTTTTTTTTTAATTAATATAGTTTTATAAATGCATATAATTGTTCCAGTACTTCCATCAAATTTGTTTTTGGTCTGTGTTTTGTGTAGGCCTAACTTGATATGCTAATGCATTAAGCCATTCTTGTATTCTTGGAGTAAATGCTCCTTAGTATATTTGAGAATACTATTTGCTTATATTTTGAGTAGAAGTTTCTATAATAAATCCTGGTTTCTAAAAGTTTTAAGATGCATTTTTTTTCTATGATTAGAAATAATGAAAATATAAAGTTTGAAGAAATAAATATGACCTTTCCCCCAGGTTCAAATGATCCTTTGGGGGATTTATATAAACTACCTCAATTTATTATTTATTATTAAGCTGATTTTTTTCCTTATATAACCTGTTTCTGTATTAATTTTCAAAGAACCATGTTTCAATAATTATTTCTTAGAATCGAAACTTTTTAATGGGGTATGTGTATGAGAGACAGACAGAAATACGTACTAGGGATTGAATTCAGGATGCTTTACTACTCAGCTACATCCTTAACACTTTTTATTTTCTATTCTGAGACATGGTCTCCTAAATTGCAGAGGCAGGCCTAGAACTTCCAATCCTCCTTCCTTGCCTCCTAAGTAGCTGGGATTATAGATATGCACCACCCAGAACTCTTTTTTTTGACCTTATCAAATCTATTTTCCCTTAACTTGGCAAATGCTAAAAGTTCTCTTATGAAGCCTAATTTTTTGAAATTGTGTTATAGTATGCTTTTTTTTTCTCTTGGTCATATTTTTTAAAAACAGGTTTTTCAAAAGATCTTTCCATTTTTATTGTGGTCAGAATGTGATATGAATTTAAGATGTATTTTTAAAATACTTCTTTGAAAATATAACTAGAATTGAACCGCAGTAATAATGCTTTCTCCCTTTTCCTCTAGTTAATTGCTATTACTGATAAAGCAATAACTTTATCCATTAGAATTGCTTGTCACTTTATTTTTGTGCTTTTGTGTTTTTTGTTTTCATTTCTTTGGTTTTTCTGAGGGACTGGGATGGAACCCAGGGCCTTGTGTGTGCTACTCAAGCACTCTTTTTTTTTTTTTTAAAGATAGAGGAGGGAGGGAGGGAGAGAGAGAGGGAGGGAGGGAGGGAGAGAGAGAGAGAGAGAGAATTTTTTTTAAATATTTATTTATTTATTTTAGTTTTTGGCGGACACAACATCTTTGCTTGTATGTGGTGCTGAGGATCGAACCCGGGCTGCACGCATGCCAGGCGAGTGCGCTACCGCTTGAGCCACATCCCCAGCCCCTCAAGCACTCTTACTACTGAGCTGTACCTCTAGCCCTTTATTCTTGTACTTTTGAAGTTATTCTAAGTATAAAATGTAAAAAGACCATTTTTTAAAAAATACAGAAACTGAAGATATATTAATACAAATTCCTGGAATAAGATTTAGTAATCATTTTTAGAGCATAGTGTGTCCAGAATCAGAATAATCATACATTTTGTTTTGTGATTTTCTTGGTATATTTTGAAAATTTTTCCTTATCTTTCAATGTTCTCAGAGGATATGAATTTTATGAGTTGTACAGTATTCTCAATCTTCTCATATTTTTACAATTTGCTCCTCTTTATGAACTTGCTTTAAGGGGCACAAAGAGATCTTATTCTTTCAATTTTAGCTGCCTTTCTTCATTGTATAATCATTTTTTCACAGTAATTTCAACCATCTGTTCATATTGACCATAGTTTATTTGATGAGTCTTTAAATTCTGTATGCCAGTTGTAAATTTTCTGAAAACTTCGAAGACATGGAAAGAGAAATGTCTGCTATGAACCATAGCTTTGTTGGTTAAAAAAGTAAACCCAACTGGACAGCTTCAGTTAAGTGTCTGCTAATTTTGTTATATGAGATTACTTGGGGTAACTTCCTTTTAGTCCTTTATGGGAACATTTACTTTTTAAAAAATTTGCAGAATTTCCATTTACTCTTGCTTATTCACTTTTGTATATTATTTGGATCATCTCTCCAAAGTCTTTACTTATACAAGTTACTGTTCTGTAGGTCTGCTTTCTCCAGTTCCTTTCATGTGATATGAGATGTTTTAAGTTTCTTCTTCAGATAATGCATTATGTTGAGAGGTGCACCCCAAAATTGGATCAAATTTTTAAAATTTGACTTGAAACTTTCCATTCAGTTCAGAAATCTTAGTGTTCTCTGAATTATTAATGCATTGTGGATTTTCCCCCACTCCCCATCTTAAAGATTTTTCTTCTTTTAAAAATGTATTTTTAGTTATACATGGACACAATATCTTTAATTTTATGTGGTGCTGAGGATTGAACCCAATGCCTCACATGTGCGAGGCAAGCACTCTGCCACTGAGCCACAACCCCAGCCCTCTTAAGATTTTTCATTCTAGACTTTGCATTGACTAGACTTTGCATTGACTCATTCTCCTTTGGGTTTATCTTCAACTATTTCTTTTAAATGTTACTAGCTTCAAATTAAAAGTATTCCACATTCTAACTGACGTAGGGGCTTTTATTATTGTTTTTCAAAGAATTTAACCTTTTTTTTTTTTTTGGTATGGAGGATTGAACTTGACCACTGAGCCACAACTCCAGTCCTATTTTGTATTTGTTTTTATTTAGAGACAGGGTTTCTCTGAGTTGCTTAGCACCTTGTTGCTGAGGCTGGCTTAGAACTCATGATCCTTCTGATTCAGCCTCCTGAGCTGCTGGGATTACAGGTGTGCACTGCTGTGCCTGGCTTGTTTTTTATGTGGTGCTGAGGATTGAACCCAGGGCTTCACCCATGCTAGACAAGCACTCTACCACTGAGCTACAAACCCAGCCTTTAATCTACTTTAAATGAGTCCCACAATTTCAGCTAGTCCAGAAGGTCATTTAACTGGATGTTAATTCACCTAAATTGTCTCCTTTTAACATAAGGTCAAGAGTGTTTCTAAGTGACGTAAACCATTCAGTGGGTTCTGTATTAACCTGTTTTTGTACCATCATCCCAGATACAAATATATCATTTATTGTAATTACGAAATAGTTTTAATATTTATTATATTAGCAGAATTACACACTTGGGACTTGGTGGATTATAAGTCATGGTATAACTCAAAATGCTGAGGCAGGTTGGTTAACTCAGCCTTGCCTTCCATAGCAATGCTCTTATTTCTTTCTTAGTGGAAGAAAAAGCCAATACCCACCTCCTTCTGGGCATGTGCTTAGACTCCTGTGCACGCTACCTTCTGTTCTCCAAGCAGCCATCACAGGCACAAAGGATGTATGAAAAAGCTCTGCAGATTTCTGAAGAAATACAAGGAGAAAGACACCCACAGGTAAAGAAGGAAAATATGCAGTGCCTTTACAAATGCCACACATTGGGAACAGAATCAGCCCCAGTTCATTCAGTTTCTTACCACCAGTGTCCCTGTCCCTGACTGCTTGTTTCAGAATAGATTTGAGATTACTGATCCGTCACTACTAGGGAGGTGTAAGCAGGCACTGTGTGCTTCTGTGGCTTCAGAGCATACCGTGTGGTATTTCAAAGTGGAGTCTGCAGACCTCCGACTAGAATCTTGTAAGAAAGTTATACATGAGTGTCCTTGCCTCCCTTGCCCCACAGTTAAAGAACTTTTTTTTTTTTTTGTACCAGGATTGACCTCAGGGACACTCATGGACTGAGCCACATCCCCAGCCCTATTTTATATTTTATTTAGAGAGAGAGTCTCACTGAATTGCTTAGTGCCTCACCTTTACTGAGGCTGGTTTTGAACTTGGGATCCTCCTGTCTTATGCTCCTGAGCCGCTGGGATTACAGGCGTGAGCCACCGCCCCCAGCTGGGACTCATGTTATAATGCTGAACATGTTAAATTGAAATCATCCCTTTCTCTTCTATCAGAATAAATTCTCAAGTGCTGAGGAGTAGATTGCTTTATTTGAAAGCTTGCAGTTCCCAACCTAAGACCCACTGGATTGAACATGGAATGTTTGGGAAGGGAATTTGAGGTACAAATTATCTCCAGGAAAGGGATTTTGGACTTATTAAAAGAGAGTGCCTTATGAGAGCATCACTGAGGAATAATACAAGCAGCATGGGATTCAGATCACTGAGTAATACAATCAGAGGGCTTAAAGCATGGGATCAGTGGGTAAGGGAGGATGAAAAAGTTTCTTAGTACCAAAAGTTTAAATACTTTTAATGTGAGTCTTCCTATATAGATGATATATCACTTCTTTGTGGAGTCTCAGCATCACCAGCAGGAACTACATATGAAACAATGAGGCTCCCAGATCCCAGAGGTAGTCAGATCATAGGAGGCTGCTTCTCAAAACTGCTGAACCTTTAGTGGGATCATATTGTAGCTTCTTGCTGTTGCTTTTCACTTGGTACTTCTAATTAGATAAAATGAATAATACTTATTAATCTGATTATTTCCTAATTTTTAAAATTGGTATCATTTGTTGAGCTAATATCTATTGTATAATTTGAGTAACAAATGCCCACAATTTGTTAAAGACTGATGACATTCCTCATCTTTTGTGGAATGCCTGGAAAGATGAAATCTTAACTATACTCAAAATTTAACTCCAAATTAATATTATGATGTATTTTTAAAGAAAAATCTATTTTTCTCTTATCTAACAGACCATTGTGCTCATGAGTGACCTGGCTACTACTCTGGACGCACAGGGCCACTTTGATGAGGCCTATATTTACATGCAAAGGGCATCAGATCTGGCAAGACAGATAAATCATCCTGAGCTGCACATGGTACTCAGTAATCTAGCTGCAATTTTGATACACAGAGGTAGGTAGCCTTGGAAACTTGACAGACTTGCTTTAGGAAGGGATATTTCTTACTTTGGTATTTAAAGGAAGGTAAGGGGAAATGAGGAAACTCCTAAAATTAAAAGGCTGGTTGAATAAAGCCAAAAACAACATGTCTGTCAGGTTGAAGAACTATTTTGTTTAATTTAGGTAACTTATATAATAGTTTTTGCATTAGCCTGATGAACCACTATCAAGCTAGGGGAAACTTTGTAGTGCTTTAAAGATTGCTGTCTCACAACTATACTGCATTTCTGTGTTGGCAAAACTAGTGTGATTAGGAATGTGTGTGTTAGCACACTATGATACATACTGCTTAGGGCTTCACCTGCAATTTTCAGAAATCTAAGATAACATGTCTGCATACACAGATTATCATAGTGTAGTCCTTGGCCAGTCCAGTGAGGACCCCAGGGTATACCAGAAAGGACATAGTAAGGAATCCCACAACACTCAGTGGCTTGGCGTTTTACACATGGGCCACATTCCAGGCTAAATCAGCTTGTCATTTAGGGAGAAAATGAGGCAGTACCAGCCTTGTCACTTACTAATAAATACACAGTAAATTACACCTGTATCCTCATTAATGCTTTCTGTTCAGATTCACTTTGAAAACACATTTTCTTCTTATTCTTCCTTTTCTCTGGGTTATTTTAGAACGATATACACAAGCAGAAGAGATCTACCAGGAAGCACTGAAGCAAGCAGAGATGAAAAGAGATGAGGTTTCTGTACAGCACATCAGGGAAGAATTGGCTGAGCTGTCAAGAAAAAGTAGATCTTTGACTTAATATTATCAAGCGTTAAACCCATTTTTCTTGTAGGGAGGGTAGTTTCTAGTGGCCTAAAGGAATAACTGTTATTCTAGTGTCTGTGGCATCCAAATCAGTGGTGTAAATTTTCTGTTCTTGATATTCAGGTTTCCTCAACTTAGCCTTGGTGAAGGACAAGTTGTACATACTGCCACATTTGTTTTTAAAGGAAAAACAACTTTCACCCTTCACTAATTATGACCTCTAAGGAATGATGTCAAATGATGCTTTCCATTGTATTATATGGTTAGGTGCTGTCCATGCTGGTCTAAGTGTAATTATAGATTAAGATGGGCCACTTTTCCTCTGGGTTGTGGGTGTGGGGTCTGGTAATTATGCCTAACATTGCTACTGAAAGATTTTTGGTTCACTGATTTGCTGCCCTTTCTTCTTTTACTTTGTCAATATCTGGCAGACCAGAGCTACTCATGGCAAAGGGAAATTATGGTGAGTTGTTTCTATTACCTTTCATGAAGCACAGTGGGATTTAACACACAGAGGAGGAAAAGTGTTATATTAGTTTGCACCCAGCATGAAGTTTTAAAGTGGGAATTAGGCAGTTGAAAGTGTAGTAGCCTTTTGGTCATAAATAAAAGTGAACTACTTATCTGGTTATATGTAACTGTTAATGGTTGGGGGGAAGAATGATGGAACCTCTTTCTTGCCAGTGCTATCCTGGAGCATCGGACATTTTTTGCAACTGTGAGGTCACAAAACTGAGTCATCTGAGATCCTCTTTAAAGCAATGCCTGGGCTGTACCCTAGACCTGACTAGAATATGGCCCTACCAATGTAGATTTTAAAATTCCCAACCTTGATTCTACTTAGTACCCTCTTCTGTAACATGAGGAAAGAATGAGATTCTTAGCCATGGGAGAAAGTATCTGGTCAGAAGACTTTAAATGAATATACTGCTGTGTTGAAAGAGCTTTATTGCCCTGCCTCAAAGTATGTAAACACAAGATACATAGATGGATTTCCTTACCTCAGCAGACTTGCAAAAAGCCATTTGTTTAGGGGGAAAGATAGCTTTTCTAGGTACCATTAAGGAACACTGATATTGTTGATATGCCTTTGTGAGTGGGGTGTGAGTGGAATTGGTAAACAGATATTTTTGGTTCATATGTATACACTGGAAGTATCTTTTCATAATAAACTATACAACAATATTGTATGTATTCCAGTAATCTTTTAGTTTCTCAGAAAAATAACTTGCTGAAGAATTAAATGTAGTGTCAACCACTCACCTTCTATATTGAAAATGTTTTTACCTTTTCACAATTGCAAGCATTACCAGAAGTTAGGTTTTTCACTCCAAGTTTTATTTAAGAATTTTTAATCTTCCACAATGATTCGGTTTGTGGTTCCTCTCCTGGAGAAACTGAATTTTCAAAAAGTCTCTGCATGCGGGTATTCTCATGAAAGTTGTTATAAAACAAGGTAGTGAAGCAAGAAAAGGACCGACCTCCTTTACTGATTGGTTTGAATTTAAATGTAAATGTTTAAAATAGTGTAGTTTGAAATTTTGAACTGTACTGTGTCTTATGTCACTGGAATTTTCAGGGCATAAATATATCCAAAATATAATCAACATACCAAAATTGTATTGTGAAATATCCAACTATAAACATAAAATGGAAAATTGTGAAAATACTTCTATCAACAGTATTGGAAGACCTTGATTATGTTCTGAGTGCTAAAAATCAAGTTGTAAGGATGATTTTAAATCTCAGCCTGCCAAGATGTTATATGCCTTGGTTTGCACCTAACTTCAGCAAGTTATCAGTCATTCTCAAATGCTGTGCTTGAGATTTACATCATGGTAAGATGTACCTCTGCCCCTCTTAAATAATTTGCTTTGTAGGTAAGCTGTATGAGAATTCTTCTTTTTATTGTTTTTGACTTAAAAAATGATGGATTTTTATCTTCCATTCTAAAATCTCTTCTCCAGGTGATGGTAGATGGAGCATTACATAAATGTGTTGGGATGAGGATGGTGTTAGTGGCAGCTCACCTTGGGGTACTTGAATGGAACTGCAAAAGTGACAAGTTAGGCTCTGATCCAGTAGGTTCTCAGAAACTAACCTGACTTGGGATAGATAGCTTAAGACCCTCAGGATCATAGAAAAATATCATGATCTGTTTGGGTCAGTTGGCAACAAAGTTCAAAAATATTATCAGTACCTGAAAAAGAAAAAAACCTTTAAGCAGAAAACATTCATTAGAACATTTAGTTATTTTCCATTCACGTTAAAATTATGTTTGATTATTATTATAAAGGCTTCAACTTTGTAAGTAATAAGAACTCCGACCACTAAGCCTGAGCTAAAGTTTATTTTGAGGACGAAGAAAAGTGGGGACTGACAGGTGTAAAGGTTTTGATTGCAGACATACATGGGTTAGAGCCTGTTTGTCACTTATTGAACGATATGGGCCTATGTCTGTAAAACAGGTGATAGGAGGGTCTCAGCAGTTAATCATAGACCCATTTACCTAAGAGGCTTGAAAAGATTTATCTTAGGTTTACTTGAAAGTCTATAAAATGCTAATTACTCATTCTGAGACTTCCTTCCAGTTATCAGTAGCATTTCCCCCAAACCATTAGTATTTATATGCTATGGAAAAATGCTTAAATGCTGTGATTAAATTGTATGGAAAAAATTTTAAAAGCAATTCTTAATGATGGATAAAACTGACCCTTCAGTATAATTAGGACTTAGTCTTTTAAATTATTTGTACCTTGAATCTGTGAAATGAAGAATGATAGTAAATTATTTCCCAAGGAAACAATGTAGATGGTGACATGTAGAGATGGAAAAGGACTGTGTGTTCACCATGACACTTGTTCAGGATGCAGCACAAAAGAGAATGAGATAATACACAGATGATCATACACAGATCATTATCTAATTTTATCTCAACCAATCATATATCAAACTAAGAAAAATGTGTAAGTTTTTCCTTTGAAACCTGAGACAACAGAGCCTTAAATAACAAATAATCTGTAGCTATGGACAGGGTAGTCAAATTTATTTCAAAACAAAAGCTTTGTTGGACTGCATCAAATGCAGAAGAAAAGGAATACTTAGGGGCATGGTTAAATTACCAGTGTGCATAACAGTGAGGTATGCCTCAAATAAGCCTTTAAAACTTTAAAAACTGAACTATAACATATCCATGCAGTAATATTTTTTTCAGTGCTACTAGTGGAAAAAAAATTTAAAGCCTGCATTGGAAATTACAGTATGGCAGAATTCTGTTGCTCCTACCTTTTGACCCTAATGTATAGATTTTATGACAGGGTCTCTGTTAAAAATCTAAACATTTTCACAAAATTTTAAACATCACTGGGAAGCTGAATTTAGAGAGAACAAAATCAGATAAAAGTACAATGCCCGTGACAGCCAACATTATAACTGGGCTGTATGAGGTTTGTTTAGAAGGCTAGGGTTAAAAAGATAGACAAAAAAGATTTTAAAAAATTACCCCCAACGTTGATGCGCTGATTTGAACATAAGTACACCAGATACTACAGCAAGGGGATACACTGCAAAAAGGTCATCTATTTACATAAGAGTGATTTAAAGACATTATGATTTTCTTTATAAACAGATGTAAGAACAGAAATTGTCCACTTTTGAAACTACATTTCAACCCTCCACTATTATTAGAATCCACTGAATAGCCTGTATCAGAGGCAGTTCCCCCCACCCCCATTTGATTTTCCAAATGAATTTCCATCATTTTTTCTTCATCTGTGGCCCTGGCTCTCCTGAAGTCTCTGGGCACAAGTTATGGGAGGGCAGGTTTTTGACCTGCAACTGAAAATAAAATTACCAAAAAACTAAAGCTCCCTCCTCTGTGCCCATTCCCTGCTTCCCATTCCTTCCCTGTGCAGTTCAGTCATCACTATCGGATAGAGTCTCATATTGTGCAGAGAGCAGAGGGGCTGGCTCTCGCTCCCAGATCCGGTTCTGTTGGTGAGGAGCTGCTTGGTTCACAGCAGAGGGAGCACATGCAATGGATGTTGGTGGTGTACTGCTGAGCATCCGCATAGTCAGAGGGTTATAAGGAAACTGAGTTGAGCCTGGCAAAAGAAAAATGAGGTCTCAGTGTCATACTTGCTGTTTCATCCAATACCACCTAGGTTGGATGGAGTAGCACAGAATTACTTTGCTAAAATGGTCTTGTGACACAGTTAATACAACATAGAAGGACCAGCATTTCAGCAATTAAGATTCTAGCTAGTGACATGCAGCAATCAGTGCAAGTATAAAAAGGATGAATAATGAGAGTAAGCACAAGGGTTGCTGAACCCAGGGCTGAACTTTCAGTTACCTCTATAACTACTATTATGTTTCCATAGAGAATCACACAGAACTACTGAATATTAAGCCATTAAGTCCCAAATTTTCAATTCTGTGATTATTTCAATGAAATCAAAGCAATAGATACAATATGTATTTATATATTCAGTCGTTCTCTATTTTTGCAAAAGAACAGACCTCCAAAAACAATTATTTCAAAGTTACCAAAAGTAGTATATTTGCTGCTCAAGAGAAATGCAGCAGTATAATGCTCAGAAGATGAGGGGACAAGTATCCAGAAACTTCAGCAGGCTAAGGGGCAGCACGATGTGTGTTACCTACCAGAATCTCACTGGGCAGATATAGAAGTAGGGCACACTAAGAGCCCTGCTACCTTGTGTCCCCTGAACACTTCTCTAGCTTAAGAAACTGAAATCATAAAACATACCATTTTTATGGTCTAATAGTAATTTCTTCCTCAACATGTGAGAAGCAGCTCTATTGTCTAGGCTGTAAGCTTTCCAACTAATACATAACTACTTGCCACGTGGCATGAGAATTTTAGAAGAGAAAAGCCCTAAACTGTACTCATCTAATGCGAATTTTTTTTCTCACTGGGAGAGCACATTTGAAAAAAAGTTTTTTGGTTACATATAATATATATTTAATCCCTGAGTGAAGAACAGTATATAATTCTCTGAAATACACAGCAAATATCTGATTTATTTTAAAAGAAAGCAAGTCATGCTGGAGTTGTAGCTCAGTGGTAGAGGGCTTGCCTAGCAAGTGTGAGGCTAGGCACCACATAAAATAAAGGGAAAAAAAAGGTTTATGAAAAGGCACAAAGTAACACTTTCATCAGCTTATGTAGATGTAATTTTCTTCTCATTTCTGAACTTGATTTCTTAGCCTTTCATAAAGAAGTTCTTAAGGAAATATTAACAAGGGGAAGTCACTTTTAGGAGTAGCACTTTACATAGACTTATTTGCTTTGCAAATAGCAAATGTTGGCTACCAACCAGCATAAATACAGATGGAAAATGGATGAGATTATTTTCATAGCTCTTTTTAGTTTATGGTATCAGACCCTACATTAAAAATTTTGAAGATTCTATGCATTCAATTTTTATTCTGGAAAGTGGAACTTACTAGTGATACAGAATGGGAATAAAGTATTTCTAAGTTTTTATAAGAAGGAATGACAAGGCATTGATAGAAGTTGCTTTCTAGTAGTTAAACTGGGCTCCTCACCTGTCGAGGAGGGCCTGTCTTCCCAGGCCCAGCCTGGTGTCTGTCTATGGTAATCACCTTCTGAATGTACAGAGGATACTGATGAGGGCCGTTCAGTTCCTAAATATCCTTGCCCAGGGATAGGAGATTTAGACTTTCTGCTGTTTGACTTGCTCATCAGCTTTGGTTTGCAAACTCCTGCTAAAAGTGAAATCCAAGTTAAACTATTAAATTACTAATTAGTGATACAGATTTATTAGAAGGATAGCATGAAAAATCCAGATTCTAGTACACAATGCAATAGCACTATTTAAAAGAAAGCCAGAATTTCACTTGCAGCAAACACAACAAAGGGGTACATCTTTATGTTATAAACTTAAAATGTGGCAACTAAGGAAATAAATATTGTTAAACATCAAAGCTGGCCTTAAGAATGTGGAAGCTGATGGGCTGGGGTTGTGGCTCAGTGGTAGAGTGCTTGCCTGCAATGTGTGAGTTACTAGGTTTGATTCTCAGCACTGCATATAAATAAATGAATAAAATAAATGTCTATCAACATCTAAAAATAAAAAAGCATATGGAAGCTGTGCTAAAAAAAGAGAGAAGGTTTGCACAATCTTAAATTCTCTCTACCTATCTGCTCTCTCTGGCTCTCAATTTGAAAGAAGTAAATAGTGCGGCAGTGATGGTGGGTGGGGGGTGTTAATTACACCACTGAAGTGTACATCAAAGGGAAAGTATTTAGCAGATGTCTCTTTATGCCACTATGGGACCTCAGCAGAGGTATATTTTCTCAGGCTCTGTTTAATTCATAGGAGTCACAGAGCTAAACCCCAGCCCTTATTTATTTACTTACTTACTTTGGGCTCTACAATAACACATGTATATATATAAATGTATGTGTGTGCACACACATGCACTGGGGATTGAACTAAGGGCCTCAGTGTATGCTGTGCAAACATTTTACCACTAAACCACATACTAAGCTCTAGAAAAAAATATCAGACCTCAAAAGAGATCAGAGCTCAGGTCACCAGCGCAATTTCTCAGTCCCAACAGAATAATTTCACCCTATCCCAAATCCTATACAACTAGGCTCATAATTCCATACGAGTCACAATTATAACCTTCATGTATATTTTTTTAAAATATATTTTTCAATTGTAGATGGACATAATACCTTTTATTTTTTATATGGTGCTGAGGATTGAACCCAGTGCCTTAGGCATGCTAGGCAAGCACTCCGCCACTGAGCCACAACCCTAGCCTGACTTTCTCCTAAAAATCAATACAAACTAGAAGGTAAGCAGGAAGGAAAAGACAATGCTCATTTTTTTTTAGAGTAGCCGGTAACTATCTTTAGCTTAATTATGTGTAGGTTAAAAAAAATGTCTAATCTCTTTAATCTTTTCCTTAAACATAGTGAGAGCTTTTGCTTGAAGATAACAGAAGAAAATAAACCTAAACTAAAAACTGAAATACTGCTGAACTTCAGGTAAATTTTTTAAGTATAAAAGATATTAATTCTAAAATGATTAAGAAAAAAGTCGTAAACATCAGAAGCTTAGAGTAAATAAAATTTTTGTATGCTTGGTTTTAACAGGAGATAAAAAATGATCTAATCCAACTTTTTTATCTGTGTGTACATTAAGATGTGTCTGGAATAATGCTTCTCCAGTAGCAGCAGCAGCAGCACTACTTTCTAGATGATGTGATCCATATGGCTTAAGCTTACACTGTGCCTGTCATTTTTTCTTACAATTGGAAGTCACTTTTATTAAAAAACATGTATGCTTCTGTCATGATAATGTATAGGTAAGTACAGATATGTACTGGGTGTAGTGCTGCATGCCTGTAATCTCAGCAACTCAGGAGGCTGAAGCAGGAGGTTCACAAGTTCAAAGCCAGCCTCAGCAACTTAGTGAGGCCCCCCTGTCTATAAAGTAAGTAAATAACTAAGGGCTGGGGATTTAGCTCTGTGGTAAAATGCCCCTGGGTTCAATCCAAACCAACAAATCCCCCTCCAAACCAACAAAAAACATTGTGAGGGCTGGGGTTGTGGTTCAGTGGTAGAGTGCTTGCTGAGCATGCGTGAGGCACTGGGTTCTATTTTTTTTTTTTTTAATATTTATTTTTCAGTTTTCAGTGGACACAACATCTTTATTTTATGTGGTGCTGAGGATCGAACCCAGCGCCCCGCGCATGCCAGGCGAGCGCGCTACCGCTTAAGCCACATCCCCAGCCCTGGGTTCTATCTTGACAACATGTAAAAATAAACAAAATAAAGGTACTGTGTCCATCTACAACTAAAAACAAATTGAAACAAACAAACAAAAACACTGTGATGCCAGGAGGGTGACATTCTAGGTTTAAAAAAAAAAATTTGTTCATGTTATTATATCATCTGGGCATATGAAACGTTTTTAAGACTTTTTCTCTGTTAAAGCAAGAGGTGACTGAGCCCATAAAGACAAATGCAATTACTTGGTAATGCACCAGAACTGGTAAAATAAATAAATTGGTTCCCTGGGAAAGACAGCAGCAGATCACTAAAATGAAAACTTTACCCGAGTGAGGTGATGGGTCTCCTTCATCTCTCCTGGTCTCATTGCTGGTCACAACTGAGGTGCTGGCACTACCAGGCACTACTCCCACAGGCTGGGGCATGACAACTCCATGATCCTCAACTTTGTCATCAAAGCTTCCCATGAGAGCCTTCCTTATAATATCTTCTAGACCAAGATTACTCGCAGGATCAGCAAAAGAATGACTTCTAGAGCTAACTGAGCCTGGAAGAGATAATCAAGCCATTTCTGCTTGTCTGAGAGGCAGATCAGGGCACAGGGAAATGAACAGATCACACCAGCCCTCCAGCCCACTCAACTTGCACAGCACTCAGCAACTGCTTAGAACACCACTGAGGGCTCCATACAGTAGCCTTCTCCATGTGCAAATATTTTAAGGAATCTTATTACACTGTTACTTAGTAGATTTGAATTTCTTTGCTCATTTATCTTTTCAGGAAGTGCTGACTCTACTGACTCCTTAACTAAATTCTTATTTCATTTTTGCACACTGGAGCAGTTTCCTGGCATGCAGTCAGTACTCAATGTGTATTTGTTGGACTTGACTGCTACTGTACCAAATTCATATTGGTAAATAATGTATTTACCTGATGTAGTAACTGCTGGCAGATTGAAGATCTCAGTTCCTGGCTGAGCAGCTGCTGTATTTAAAAAACATTTAACTGAGATGAGCCAATCATGTATGCTGATTTAAAAAACAAACAACAACAACAAAAAAACCTAAACCAAAAAAGCACATCTTACAATAAAATTAACTTTTTTATTTTCCATGATCTCAACCTTTATTTTTCATCTGTTAATATGTATACACAATGAAATAGTTAAAAAAAAAAAAGAAAAAAGAAAAACAAGGAAATCAGGACATTAACAGGTGAGGTAGAAAACTCAAAATAGAAGTAATATAACTTACAAAGGGGAAAGAAACTTTGCACTGCTAGAGAAAAATAAATAGGGAAAAGTCCTTCTCCGAACAGGAATCCAGGCTTCCTAGTAAAGAATTTTGGACTTTTAAGTTGACTCCTGAAAGTACCAATGGGTTTTTGAGGTAGCCTGAGATTAGATTAAGGGGAAGGTCACACCTCAGTGAGTATGAAGTTGACTAAGTTCCTACCATGGCTAACTGAAAACATTCTCAGGACATTCCCTGGATCAGACAAAAGATTCTGCCTGTTGATTCTTTCATTTCTGCTAACTGGAATTTATAACTGCACAGTTTAAATGAAAACAGCAGATAAACTGGGAACTACCTATAAATAATTTTGTGCCCGAAGGAGAAGGGGCACAAAATGGGGACATAAATGCTGTCTCTGCCACTTCTTTGAACTTGATGTTGAGAACTTTAAAAGGAAAAAAGAATGCGGGAAATAAGTGGGTGACTAAACAAGTAACAGGAGGATGGATTTTTACCTAGGGATGAAAGCCATCAGTGAAGATGGAAGAGTGTGCCTAGAAAGTAACTTTCCTGATCAGGAAAAGCTTTACACTGATAAGAGGAACTAGGACAGTGGCTACGGATAATGGTCTTCTTTTGGGCCAGGTAACACAATAAATAAACTAAATCTTAATAACACAGCCTTATAGTTACCACAGGGTTTGTGAAATAGAACTTATGAAATAGAACTTATTCATTTATATGCGAAATATTTATTGAATTGTTGGCTGAATCACAATAAAATTACCTGCTTATTGATCAAAAATAGTCAACTAATAACTTTATGAAGTTCAACCAATGATACTATATAGATATTTACTTAGAATGTGCCCCAGTGTGGTATTTTGGGGCACACAAATCAGAATCACCTGGGTAACTTGGTAAAAATGAAAAAAAGGACCCCTTGTTTAAGATAGAATATGACAATTGCTCAGGAGGGGAAAGAAAGGTGGATATCTAAGAGCTGTGTGGAAGGCAAACAGAAGAAGCCAAGAAAGTGCGAGCCAGTAAGATATTGAAGAAGAAATGAGGTCTGCAAAGATCTGTAAGTAGAGCTATGATGATAAAACCAGAGTTTCCTAGGGATGAAAGTGACAGTTTAAACCCTCACAGTGGATGAGAGAGATCAGTGCATGAGAAGAGCCCTGAACAATCTCAAGGACTAACAAAGCAAAACTGAACTTCCAAAACAGAAGAAACTTCCAAAGAAGTAGAGAAGAAAAACCACCACCACTACCAAAAACAGCAGGAGAATGTAGCGTTTGAGAGACAAGAGAACAAAAGGAAAGAGCAGAGAAAGGAAAAGGCTCACTGTCAGAAGCTGCAAAGAGACTGTTTGCTATACTGGTAACTGAACCCAAGGTGGTCTATCACTGAATTCTATCTCCAGCCCTTATTATTTTGAGAGTCTAAGCTGCCCAAGGCTGGCTTTGATTCCCCTGACTTGGTCTCCGGAGTTCCTGGGGTTACACTGTGTGTGTCACCATGCTCAGCTAAAGGCAGTTTTAGGGGCTGGGGATGTGGCTCAAGCGGTGGCGCGCTCGCCTGGTGTGCGTGCGGCCCGGGTTCGATCCTCAGCACCACATACAAACAAAGATGTTGTGTCCGCCGAAAACTAAAAAATAAATATTAAAATTCTAAAAAAAAAAAAAAAAAGAACTACTTTAAAGGCAGTTTTAAAGCACTAAGGTTTTTAAAGAATGAAGTCATTGCTGTCTTTCATGGGAAAAAATGGAATTGAGACAGAGCAAAGCTCTCCTGGTTGCTGATGGCAGTTCAATTCCCAATGAGAACTGAATAGTGCTCTAGGGCCTGGAGCCCACTGTGAATTCCCCTTTCCAGAGTCAAGGTTTGCATTCAAAAATATCCTAGACTCTAGAGCAATTTTATTAATATTTGCCTTAAGACATTAATACTCTTTATTTCCTGTTAAAGTTAGATACTTGTTTCGTCACTCATTTAGAGTAGAGACCGTCGGTTAACACAGAACTCTGCTCAATAAACATTTGTACAATTGGTGAGTGAGGGCTGCTGTCAAGGACAATGCAAAACACTAAGAGAACAAAAGGTAGGCTTCTTCACTCCAAGTGGTATTTCTCCATCAGGAATTTCTTTCCCACTTAGGGGGCAAGACAAAGACTAGAGGGACAAGTGCAGACCATACCAAGGTGGAACAGTTCCCAACTGGCTGCTCTGAGATCTACATCTCCATGCTTTGACAGGTTCATCTTTGAATTCTGACAGGATTTCAACATGAAGGTAGTTGGTGACATTTGAGAAGTTATAAATAATAGATGAGACTATTGAAGCTTTGAGATAGAAAACTGTAATGATAATATTAAAAGGGGGATATGGTACCTATAGGGCTGACAGTAGTTCTGGTTGGCATTATCTTTGAGACGATTTGTTGCCATTAAAAAAAAAAAGAATCTAATAATTAAAAGCTAGGATAAATTCACATGGAAGTGACATTGGGCTCATCCTTTTTTCTCTTTGACATTCAACGGTTAATCACAAAGTGAGACAGATCCAAACATACATACACCTGGCAGTTCACAGTTCAGAGCCCACAGTTTCCTTTCTTTTGGCAGTGTCAGGAGATCGGTAGATGGTAGATGGCAGAAACAGAGCAAACGGAGGTCTACACAGATTCTACCACAGGATGGAAATGACGGATAAGTAAGACTGGGTGATAGTACAAGTGAGCGTGCTGCGTGACCAAGTGCAGGAGGGTTCTGATGAATGCATGCACATCAGCCCAAAGGAAAGTTCTGCCATAGAGTTTCATTGGATATTTAACCACAATCTGGCTAAGGATGCTGTGAGTATAGAACTGTTAGAAGCCTGTTAGTACATCACTGGAAGCATAGACTCTGGAGTTGGAATGCCTGAGTTTAAAACCACAGCCCCATTACTTACTAGTTATGTAACCTGCGCCCGTTATTAAACCTCTCTGAGTCTCAGTTTTCTCATCTACAAAATGGAGATAATTATATGTAGCATGTAGGTTTGTGAGGATTAACTGAATTCATATACACATACATATGTAGAATAGTGCCTAGCACACATTTCTAGTCTCCCTTCGTTACCATTATTATTGATGATGTTATACGGTAAGTCTACCAGAGTTGCATATAAATGCTGAATGTCCAGAGAGACCCTGGTGGGATAGAGAAAGTAGCTGGAAGGGAGCAAGCACAGATTACCTTGAGAAGGGGAAAGGTGTGATTTAAAAGTAGCCCACTAAGAGAACTTGACACCTATATTCATACTTTGTGTATTTATAACTTCAGTGTTTAGACTGCCAACAAAAATGGTGATAAGATCTTAGGCTACCTTAATAACAATGAATTTACACTAGATCATATCACACTATTTTGTGGAGAGCAACTGAGATAGCAGGGTTTCTCAGAACAAGGATGTGAAGAATAATCAATGAAACTAGGAATATTTATAGACTCACAAAGGACATGACTTCAGATAGTCTTTACCTATCTGAAGACATGGTGTGTGGAGAGGGCCCAAAAAGAAAAAACTAAAATCAGTGACTTAAAAACAAACCCCCACAACTGTCCAAACCCACATAAAAGTATCCCAGACATAGCATTAGTTCCCAGAGAAAATGGGCAACTTCAGAAAGGAGCAGGTTCCTGCTAAAGTAGGAACTCTTGTGAACTGGCAGATATTTGGGGACGAATTTAGGATTAAATATGTTGGAGGTGTTGAGGATCAGATGCCTTCAAACTTAAGGGTTACAGAAGAGGCAATGTTGGCAATACCAATACTAATACATGTTTTATTCAGGGTTAATGAAAGAAGTCCCACTTACCCATATCAGAGTCACCTCCACCAGAAGAGTTCAACTTACGAAAAATCTCCTGCTTCTTTGATTTAACCATGGGTGATGTATTTTCAAGCTTGGTGAAGAATGAAGGCAAGTAGCTTATACTCCCTGGTGAGCGGGAATCATTTCTGTTAGGAACACAGTTCAGTTTATTATAATCATATACTCCTAACCTGGGGACATTCCTATTAATAATGGTGATGGTCATAGAGTACTGGGAAAACTACAGCTTATATTTGTCATTAAGAAACTATGTGACCAGGGGGTGAGGCTCAGTGGTAAAGTGCTTGCCTAGCAAGTATGAGGCACTGGGTTCGATCCTCAGCACCACGTAAAAATAAATAAATAAAAGGTATTGTATCTGTCTACCAAAAAAAAATTAAAGCCATTCAGTATACCATGTAACCCAGTAAGTGCCAAGATTTCAATTTTGAAAATATTTCAACAAAAATGACACAGCTGCATTAAAATAGGTTGGAAATCATAATCTAGTTATATAATTTTAGGTAATGTTAAAGTAATGTGAGTATATAACTTATAAGAATATATTACTTTTCATAGATGTTCCACAGTTGGAATGATAAGATAAAATGGGTTAAGGGCATAATAGAATACTTTAGCTCTCAAAGATGAAACTGTAAAATTGGGATTAAAATAGATAAATCCAGAGTAGGCACTCTTTTAAGAAATCAACATGTAGCAAATGAATACTAGCAGGAAAACTTGGAATACCTTTGTTTTGATTGTGGTTAAGGGGTACTAGGGATCAGACCCAGGGGCACTTAACCACTGCCACATCCCCAGCCCTTTTAAAATTTTTTACAGACAGCAGACCCTGCTGACTTTGAACTTGGAATCTTCCTGCCTGAGTCTTCTGAGTGTGCCACTGTGCCTGGGAGAAGCAGCTTACTATGGTGCTTTCTGCTTAATGGCATGAACCTATTTATGATTACCATATAAATTGGGGAGCTATTTACTAGCTTATACTTTTTTTTTGAGGGGGGTGTTTTCAGTACTGGAGAGTAAATCCAGGGCCTTCTTCATGCTAGACAAGTGTTCTACCACTGAGCTATATTCCCTTTTTTTTTTAAATTTTGAAATAGGGTCTCATTAAATTGTCGGATTATAGGTATGCAGCACTATGTCCAGCAGAATTACTTTATCATTTTATTATCTTTTTATATATTTTTAAAACATTTATTTTTTAGTCATAGGTGGACACAATATCTTTATTTTTTTATGTGGTGCAGAGGATCGAACCCAGTGCCTTAGAGGCGAGCACTCTACCTCTAAGCCACAGAATTACTTTTTGTGTGTGTTTGTGGTGCTGGGGATTGAACCCAGGGCTTCATGCATACAAAGCAAGCACTCCACCAACTGAGCTACATTACCAGCCCTAGAATTACTACTGAAATTATAACTAATAGCACACCTACCTATAAAAAGCAAGAGTTCTTACTTAAGCAGTCATCAGTTGGATTTGAATAGACTAGCTATACAGTAAAAACAAAACTGTCCATTTTTTTTTTTTTTAACAGTCATTTCAGTCCCAGCTGAGTTTAATGGAAGAGTTTCATAGTTCACTGGTAGCTTCCTATACTAATACACTTAAGAAATCAAGTCTCTCTAATAGTTCTAGGCCATCAATGACCTAGCTAGGGGCCAGAGATGATAACACAGACTGTATAGAAGGAAAGCTGTTGGTAACCTCATCTGGTCCTGTAGATTCATTCATCATGCAAACACAAGAACACTTACTATCTTCAAAAGAGTTAAAACATGGTCCCTGTCTTAAACATGTAAATATATAATTAAATTTAATATCATTCCCTCTCCAAAAATATTTTTTTTCTTTTTCAATTGAAGGCACCAATTTTGTTTGTTGCCTGTGAGTATATGCAATAGAAATACACTTGGGAGTTAGACTTTGGTTTAAAATTGCACTTTCCCCTTCTTGTCAGTCTGACCAGAGGTAAATCATGTTTTTACTTTCAGCATCAAGGAGGGTGCTACACATCAAGGAAACAGCATGAGTATAGATGAAAAGGAATTCAGTGTAAAGCTGTGTAAACTAGGTCCTGAGGGAACTCAAATGCCATGCTAGCCATATAGCATTTTACTGGATATGAGTTTTAGACAGATCACTTTGGTAAAGTATGAAGAGGGGCTGGAATGGGCCAAATCAAAGACATCTCATCATTCAGAGGGTTGGAGTTAGGGTTAGAAAAGATAAAATATGTAAAGCAGTTTGGTCTGTATATAGTCTGCAATGCTTTGTACACAGTAATGTAATGGTAATATTGACTAAATTGTAATGTTGGTGAATCAGTCAGGGACCACCTCCCCCACCACAATTTTTTTTAAAAGAATATGAGGATTTAATTTCAAGAGTAATAAACATTTTTTCTAATCTATTTAAATGATGATATTTTTGCTATAATCCACTAGCATTAGCTCCCTGGGAAAACAGACTTAAGTGATCAAAGTTCAAAAAGGCACTAAGCCTGACCCCTGCAGAGGAGCTGTGGTTGGGAAATGCACTCACCTCTGCTCTGTAGGCTCCGAGCCCCTCTGAGATAACAGCAACATGTTGTCCTGTTTCTCATGCACAACTGGAACCTGGGGTGGGGAGATGGGCTCATAGGGCTCTGAAGGGACGTGACTTCTCTCTGGAGATTTCCCAGGTCTGCTGTTGTAACATGTAAAAGGTTAGATTGCCCTCTACATGTTGACTGATCATTCTAAACAGAAACTGTTAACTAAGATTGCTGATTTCTATTAGAAAACAGTTGTTATGGGTATTTGCTATATATCTAATTACTGAAAATGCCTTTTTCTTCACGGACTCAGGAGTCATATACCAGTTAGTACCACAGGACAGCAACAGCGGAAGCGGAAGCAGCAGCAGCAGCTCCATCCTGAGGCTCTGCATGTACTTCAACATCAGACTCCAACCTGCTCTTTGGCCAGTTAGTCCAATTGTGCCCTCAAGGGTTTTACTGTTTATTTTGGTCATAACTTATCAAGTCTTTCCTTGATAAGGACTAAACTGAAACCTAAGAGTTTTAACCAATGAACCCACACTATAGTTAATGGTGTGAGACCTTCTCTGCAATTGTTTTTCCTCTGAATACCACTTTTTTTTTTTTGTACTGGGCATTGAACTCAGGGGCACTCAACCACTGAGCATCTCCAGTCCTATCTTATTTAGAGACAGGGTCTTACTGAGTTGCTTAGTGCTTTGCTATTGCTGAGGCTGGCTTTGAACTTGCGATATTCCTGCCTCATTCTCCAGAGCTGATGGGATCACAGGTGTGTGCTGCCACGCCTAGCTCCTTTAGAGTCTTTTAAAGTCTTTTACATAGAGATTATGCATACTAAACACCACTTGTGACTTTCAATATCTGCATATTACTATTAAACATTTCCTTTCACAATCAATTCATCTAGTTCTGATTTTTTAGAAATATTTAGTTCCTTTGGTCTTTACCTCCCAAACTCTAAATATATACCTTTACTTTTTGATTTTTATCAACTATTTTCCATGAAAGAGTTTGACTTACCTTTTTCTTGTTTTTAGCTATTATAATCTTTGTCTATTTAACCTTAAGCAGCATACTTCAACCTTTTTTTAAAATGAAGAAATTAGCATGTATACCCTTCTACCTCTTTTCTGTGACTTCCCTTCTCTTTCCTATGTCTACCAGCCATATTTATTTGATTTACAGCATTTATATTCTATGCTAGAACTACAGATAATTTTTTCTTTATTTTGCTTACAGATTAAAAATCAGTTATTGGTGTTAAAACAACAATATGAATTGTGAGAACAGTTTAAACACGATTTTTACTTGATTGACTTGCTTCAAAATAATTCAGTAGGGTGGGGGTTGTAGCTCAGTGGTAGAGGCTTGCCTAGCACATGTGAGGCACTGGGTTTGATTCTCAGCACCACATATAAATAACTAAAAATAAAGGTCCACTGAAAATTGACCAAAAAAAAAAAAAAAAAAAATACAGCAAAGCCTGTGCAGTTGCACATACCTGTAATCCCAGTGGCTTGCGTGGCTGAGGCAGTGGGTTCCTGAGTTCAAATTTAGCCTCAGCAACTTAGCAAAGCCCTAAGCAACTCAGTGAGACCTTGTCTCTAAATAAAATGTAAAAAGGGCTGAGGATGTGGCTCAAAGGGTAAGTGCCACTGGGTTCAATCCTCAGTACCAGGGTGGGCAAAGGGAGGATAAAAATGAAACGAAACTGGGTATGTACTGAGGATTATAAAAGCTGGGTGATAGGAGTATGGAGATGGAGTATGGAGATGTACTGTTCTTATTTTTTGTATATGTTTGAAAATTCTGTAATAAAAGTTTTTTTTTTTTTTTTTTTTAAAAAAGACTACTCAGCTTCTTAAACACATTATTCTTACTTCCTTCTGTTCTTTGCTAATTTTATGGGGTGGCAGGCAGGCTAGAGAATCATCTCTGCTACAGATTTGTCTTCATATTCCCAGCTATGGTTCATCAGCCTTGTGTGTCTTCCCTGTATCTGCCACTCTTTGCTCTGTTGATATTTCATTTTTTAAAAAAACATTTTTAGTGTATATGGACATAATAAATTTTATTGATTTGTTTGTTCGTGCTGAGGATCAAACCCTCACATGTGCTAGGCCAGCTGAGCCACAGTCCCAGCCCAATATCTTATTCTTTTTCTCTAAATTCTTATTAATTCCCTTTGTGCTATTTAGCTATAAACATATTACTTTGTAGTCTATCATTTTGAACAAAAAAAAAAAAACTGCCTCATTTTTTCTTAAATCCAGACCCCAGAACATCAGGTAAGAAAGTACACTCTTTACCAGATAGTCCTGTCACATTAAGCGCTTCCTCCCACGGCGCCTCTATTGGCCCCACTTTCCTATTTGTAATGTCACCTTTTGAAGCATCTATTTCTGCTGCCCCAACAGAAAACAAAGAGTGAGATGTTTGAGAGATTTTTTTTTTTTTTTTTTTTTGGTTTTCAGATTAGGGTCTCACTCCATGCTCAGGCTGTCCTCATTCCTGTCTCCTCAGTAGCTGGCATTATAGGCCTGCCAACGTGCTAGGCTTGACAGATGATTTGGAAGGAGCACTTAAGTATCCCTAAATGACTACTAAACTTTACTATTTCGGGCTGGATTGTGGCTTAGCAGTAGAGTGCTTGCCTAGTGCATATGAGGCACTGGGTTCAATCCTTGGCATCACATAAAAATATGTTATTGTGTCCATCTACAACTAAAAATCAAATATTAAAAAAAAAAACTAAACTTTTTCATTACCAGCAAATAATACAACAGCAAATGCCCAGACGGTAGAGATTCCAAGAATAATATATGGAGGAAAAAATCCCAATTTATACTTTCCAGGAAACAAAGGCAAATGAACTTTTGATGTGAGAAATAAGTACCCTATCTTTTAGATATATTCAAAGTGTTTTACTGCTGGAAAATTTACATATGGTTTGCAATTTACCTTCCCCGGGATTTGTCCACAAGATTTTCTGGAGAGACTCTAGAGCCTGGTCTTTGATGAAGGACAGATTGAGACTGGGATTCTGGGCTATAGCGACTTGAGGTTTTAGTCCTCACAGTTGTAGCCGCCAAAGCAGATGGTGAATTCTGGAATGTAGAAGTTGGAGGCTGCTGGGGAGGCTGTGAGGAAACTTGATTTCTAGCAAAATCTTGTGTGATAATTTGCTGTGAACAAGAAACGGAGGAAGTGATTAAACTCATTAAGTACCCTCCCCCTCAGAAAAGGAAAAAAAAAAAGACAGCATAAGAGTCTAACAAGCCTGGCATAGTGACATATGCCTTAATCACAAGTTTAACTCATTGGTAAACAAGGTCTAGGTCTGATCTACAGAATTGCAGAAAAAGAAAGAAAGAAAAGATGGTTGCTTTGCATTGGGGATATAGCTGAAAGGTAGAGCACTTGACTCTGATCATGTTTCGTCTATGGACTGGAGCACAATTTTCTATGCACAAGGCTCTGAGTTTGACACTCAGAATTATTAAAAATAAAACATTAAAATAAAATATGTAAGAAAAAGAAATGTCAGGGCTGGGGGTACAGATTGGTGGTAAAGAGCTTACTATTTAAGAAATTTGGGGGATTAGGGATGGGGGTGTAGCTTAGTGGTAGAGTGCTTGGCTAGCATGTATAAGGCCCTAGGTTCAGTCCTCAGCATCACCAAAAAAAAAAAAAAAAAAAAAGGAGCCTGGAGTGTGGCAGACTTCACTAAGGAAAAGAGTCTCTTCACACTGAAGTCTATTTTCTTTTTTCTTTGAGGTGCTAAGAAACAAACCCAGTTCCTTGCACAATCTAGGCAACTGCTCTACCATTGAGAAAATAAATGTTTTTTAAATGTTGTAACATGTATATATTTTTTTATTTTTTAGTTTTAGGTGAATACAAATCTTTATCTTTACATTTATGTGGTGAGGACTGAACCCAGTGCCTCATGCATGCTAGGCAAGCACTCTACCATTGAGCCATACTCCCAACCCCAGTGTGCTAATATTCTTAACACTCCAAAGAAAAATGGATTAAGGCTGGGTGAGGTGCTGTCTTCTTGTAACCCCAGCTACTGAAGGATCACAAGTTCAGGTCAGGTGGGGCAATTTACTGAGACCTTATCTCAAAATAAAAAGATTAACCCTGGGGGTCAATCACCAATACCATTAAAAAAAAAAAAAACTGTAAAAAGAAAGAAAAAATAGTAAGAATAATGAAAAACTTACACAGATGTGATCAGCAAGTGTGATTAGCCGATGGGTCCTAGGCACTTGGCCCATCCCCTCTCCTTGTGAAGAAGGAGGCAGCTGCTGTTGTGGAGATGGTGATTCCTGCTGGGGTCGATAGTGATGCAGTGGTCCTTCATACTGTCTGGTGGGATCGGCTAATATAGAACACATACATGTCTTACTCCAGGGATGCCCCTGTTTTTTACTCATTATCAAAGATTTATTCCAAAGAATACACGAAAAGGATATGACAGAACTTTAAGCACAGCATTTATGTATCTTAATTTTGATGCAAAAAATATTTATTTACCAATAGAAGTCTGAGGACTTGTAGAATAAAATGTGAATGTTTAAGTGGGCAAACAAACTATTTTCTATACCATTAAACTATAAACAAAAGAGCAATTAGCAATAGCTTTAAAGTTGCTTTTCCTTAGTGCAGTCTTAAAACTTTTTAAAAGCAGACTCATATAAGATGACCCTGAAACAAACAAAACAAGTTATTTCTTAGCATAGCATAGACAGATAATTTTGAAGCAAATGATAAATGCAGATATGATAACATGTCAATGGTGGCTAAAAAAAGACTTACTTTCTGTTTGATTTGCCTTAACAATCTCTGGTTGATAGGCCTGCAGTTTTTCCTGGGGTGGTGCAGGTGAGCTGGCAGGACTTATGACTTCTATAGCATCACTAGGTGTTTCATATCTGTGAGAAGATACTTTAAGAAAAGAATCTTATTTTAAAACGAATGCCTGAAAAGTTTCAAAAGTCCAAGTTCTTCATACCTATTTGCATATTTTAATTTTTTCCCCCTGTGCTCAGAGATGTCCAATGGCAATTCCTGGTTAATGATAAAACTTATCCAACCCTATGGACTGTACCAAAGGTGCCTCGATGTTCCTAATCTCTGTTAAGGTATAGGGTTTTCTGAATGTGTGGGACTCTAAGGTCTTTTTTAAAAGCCCACAGAAAACAGATGGGACATAACAGAAAACAGACTTGTGATATCTCCTGGGAGCTGACAAAGAAATCACCAGGGAAACTCTCATCAGAGGAGATTAATAAATAATTGAGAGAGTAGATCTCATCAGTTAATTGATACCAACAATTCCACTTCATGGGACAATCTGTTGTTCAAAAAGGTTTGAGGCTATAAAGCTGCTTCATTACCATAATGGTTTTTAAAACTATGGATTACCTAACATTATACAATGATTTTCTCAAATAACTGGAGTACTGTTGACAAAAATTACTCCAAATAATTTTTCATCACCTTGTTATGTGAAAATAAACAGGAATAGTAGGGAATATCTGAAGGGAATTGAATCACAGAAAGGAAGGATGCCAACCAACTCTTGAGGATGCCCACATGAAAGAGCTGCGTCCTCTAGGATGCAATTCCAAAGAAAAGAAGGGCTATGCAAAGATGGACAGGCAGCTTTTCACAGTCCTGCCATGGCCTCAGAACTCAGCAATCTGAGACTGGCGGATATAACTTCCTGATTAGGAATCTTCTAACTTTAGAGGGCTCTTTAACACCTACAGGCAACATTAGGACTTTCTCAAGTCTGAAAAAAGGGTGTTATAACCCTAGCTGGACATGGTGGTAATGAATTCTGTGACTTGACCACCTCCTGCTCCTCCAGTTTTAGTTGAACTACCTCCAACCAGGTAGGTCATGGAAATTAAAATTATACAGGTTCAGGAAAAGAGAAACCTAACAAATAGCATGAAAATTATCATTGAGGAACTAAAATAAACCACTATATTCTGAATTTATACTAATTTGCAATCTCCATATCCACTGTTACAAACCAACATCCTACATCCATTGAATACTAACAGTATTCTGTCAACAGAAAGTCTACTTCTGAACCTTGTTCACGTTGCTTTTGAAGACTTAGGGGCAAAAATGAGGGAAATGTGCTTCATTCCAGGGTGAGGAAGGCTCTCAAGAGTCAAACTGAAAACCAGACCAAGTGACTGTCACTAGATTTGAACTTCAAGCAAGTCAGTGCCCAGTGATAAAATTAAGATAAACTACCCAGAAATATGAACGAACCAGGATTTTTTCTATTTTCAGAAAAAAAATCAAAATTTTGATTTTGTTGAAAAATCAAATTCCTAGAGCAAGGTGTGTTTTGTGATGCAAACAGAAAAGAAGTGTTTGTTTAGTCCAGTGATTATGCACCCTAGAGATTATACTATCCTGGTCCAGAAGCCTGGGGGTGGGAGGTATTACCATGTGTATTGATGATTCCCCTCGAAAATACCCATTCATACAACTACCTCTCTTCCTTGGGCTAGCAATTTTCTGCATATTGAAAACCTATGTTGTAGATTTTCCTAATTCCAGGTTAAAAGGAAGTCTTTCTTCTATACAATACACGATCAAGATGTCTCTTTCTCTCTCAAAACCTCAGCAATGGGGTAGATTTAGACACAAACAAGTTTTAAAGTAGGCAAGGGATATTTGGAGATTAAAAAGAGCTTCACATTGCATTCTGCTACACAAGAATTTTTTTTTTTTCATTATCTCCAATACTACTCAGTTCCTTTAATGAAGATAACATAGAAAAGACTGTATGATTCAGTTACTTCAATTATTAGCAGCTGCTTGTTTAAATACCTGCTTGTTTTTTCTGGAATTCCATATAGAATTTAGGCAACATTAAAAATAAAATTTTAAAATAACTTTTCTAGCATTTTAGTGTAGATTGGTGAATTTTTGTAGACATCAGTGTGACAAACCATACTGGATCAAAATGCAAATCACTTTAACTTTAAAAAAATATATAAATATGTATCAGTGTTTTATTTTATTTCCTATTTTTTTGGTACTGAGGAGGGGTGCTTTACCACTGAGCAACATTCCCAGTCATTTTTATTTTGAGACAGGGTCTTGCTAAGTTGCCAAGGCTGGCTTTGAACTTGTGATCCTCTTGCCTCCACCTCCCAAGTCGCTGGGATTACAAGTGTGCACCACCACATCCAGTAAAAAAAAAAAAAAAAAAAAAAAAAAAAACTGTTTAAGAACATGTTAATATGCTCTGCCCTCTTTCTATCCAATTCCCAACTTTAGTTCTTTTGAAGGTAAGTTTTCTCCTGAAAAATGCACGGACAGGCTTATACTTAGAAAACAGGGATATTTAAATCATAATAAAACTAGAAGACACATTTTGCTGTTCTAATCCACAAAATCTTTTCTCTTACATTTATCATCAAGCATTAGGATTCTTTTATGCCATATAGTTCTGCTTTACCTAAAGAATAAAGTAATTCTTTACTCAGATATCACATTGTGAAACTCAGATTGAGATACATACAGCTACTAGAAGAGTCTGAACTTTGAGAGCCACGTTCCCTTGCATCCTTGTCCGAGGCAATTTGCCGGGTGATGATCACGTCTATGAAGTTAGCTGCAGTAATGGTAGTCTTCCCTCGGGTTCTTAGCTCTTCCTCATATCTGGATTTTGGAGGAGGCCCTTTATCTTTCCCAGCCTCAGAATACACTACTGAAGCATGAGGCTGGGGCTTGCCACTTGGAAAGGCTGAAGAAGTGTACAGACATTGAACAGATCTCTTCTCCACCTCCAGGGTTTTCTGCTCTAGCTGCTGCTGTTCACTAACTGCTGCTGACCTGCTTCTCAAATTTTCTTCTAACCTGGCAGCTTCATGCTTACTCTCTTTTGTTTTGGAAACATCCATCTGGGGTGCAGAAGCTGCAGCATCCACAAGAGCAGCCAGGGCATCCGCAGCAGTGTTGTAGCGGGAGGCTGGCAGGCCTTGGCTTATTGAAGGGCCCCCAGCAGGCAGTGGCCTGTAAATAAAACCAAATCACAGCTCTATGAAGAGAAGACCATTTACTGGGATATGTGTATGTGTGTATGTGAGATGCGAAGATGGACAAATGGCAAATCCCCGCCCCCCGCCCACCAAAAAAAGGAATAAGAAGTTTAGTGGCTAGAAAATCTTGACTATTAACTATTGTATAATTTTAATATGTAAGAGAATATAGTATTCTTTTAGTCAAAATGCATACAAGAGACTGACATGATTCGTAGCTGAGCAGTTGGATCCAAAGGTGTGATTACACTGGTTCCATTGGTTCCCTGGAAAACACTGGGTCTTTGCTGCAACATGGGCTCCTGAGTTCTTACTGAAGGGGACGGGGAGCGAACATATCCATGACTACCAGGTCTGCCAGGCTGTTCTGAGCCTGCAGGGGCAAAAAAAGAGGAAGAAAGATAAGCTATTAGAAAGAAGCTAGTGTTAATAGGTAGTAACATTAATGGATTGTTAATATCCTAATATTACTAAATAGAAAAGGAACATGAGATAAGAAATGTGATATTCTACTTTCTGGCCTTCCTCAATAAAGCCCACAAGTTGCTTGAAACAAAACATAAGTTTATGATTTACTGTCATTTCCATTTTTGTGACTAGTTTCATTCTTAACTCTAGAGAGAAATAGAAATAGCACCAAATGCATGAAGCATTAATATAAACCAGACAGGTTTATCTCTCAAACTGTTTTGATTGGATACAGATAATGGGTCACATCTAAATGTGTTCAGGCTTTGCAACCACTGAAGTGTTTAAGATAATTTCTCAGGAATAATATGACAGCATCAAATATGATGACTAGCTTTGGGATTTCTTCCACATATTGCCAACTACATTGACTTCAAAGGCTCTGTCCCCCATGAAAACATGATTGTGACACCTTCTTGCCACTATGCCTTCAGCTCTGTACCCACCTCTCTAACCATGTCTCTGCCTCCTATTCTCTCCATCTATATCAGCACATCCAGAAACATCTAAAAAAGACTGACCTATTTCTGTTTTTACACTCTTGAACCTGGAAGTCTCACTCAAGCCACAGTTTCAACTCATACAGATCTGTTGGCATCTCCAAGCTCTCTTTTTTCTTCTGAGTGCTAGGTCATATATAATATTGGACAATACAGATAGGGTCAATGATCTGATTTAGACAAGTATATCAAGGATAAGAACAGATACTCCAAGTATGTGTCGAATATAGTATGTCTAAAATAAAAATCATTCTTTCTTTACTTTTACTAATTGTGTTCCATTTGTTTTATTAGAGTTTTTTGTTTGTTTGATCTGTGGTACTAGGTATTGAACCCAGGGCCTCATGCATGCTAGGAAAGTATTCCACCCCTGAGCTGTATTCCCAGCTCTTTTTTTTTTTTTTTTTTTTACTTTTTGAGTCAGAAGTTGGTAAGTTGTGGAGGCTGGCCTTGAAGTAGTGATCCTCCTGCCTCATCCTCCCAAGTTGCTGGAATCACAGGCATGCACCACTGTGCTGCTGGCTTACATGCTCTGTCTTAACTGCAGACTAAAGTTGCTTCTCATCTTGTCCCTACTTTCCATATCCAGTTATTGTTAAGACATTTTGATTCTATTTTCATATTCTTCCCAGGAGTTCTTTCTTGGTCATTCCCTATGTTAGAATATTTCAGGCCATGAGGCATGTGAACTACTGACAGTTACTCTGGCCTCCTGGCAACTATGCAACTATGGACCTTCGGGGTTCTAATTCATCTCATGCCACTCTCTTGTAAGTGTTCTTCTGATGGTGTCACCTCCTTTTTGAACAGAATGGCAGCACTTTTCATTGTAATTTAAGATGTAATTCATTGTAATTCAATTTGGCCCACAAGCTGTAGTTTGGCAATCCCTCATTCAGAGCATGACACAACTTCTAAATGTATTTTTCATTCCCCATTTAAACTGGGGTATAGTTATAGCTTCCTATACCTTTGCTTGGGCTGCTCTTTTGGCTTTAAGAGCTCTGTGTCTAATATTTTCAGGCCCATCTGAGAGCAGCTGCTTGAGCCAATCAAAATGATACCTTTGCCATGGAAAGTTCATTTTTTCTGTGTCAAATTCATCTTTCCCCCATCCCAACCTCTAGAGGACTTTCATCTGCATTTCACTTGAGCCCTGTAATGACTTTTCACCTTCAAATTCTTACTTGCCCCTCGGAGCTCTAAGCACAACACACCACAACTCTAGATCACCAAGACCTGTCCCTAGGAGGGAGGAGCCTTTCACTGACCTGGTCGCAAGTAGAGGTCAGAGGAAGCTGCAGTAATCCGCTCCCGCTCCCGTTCGCGCTCCCTCTCCTTCTCCCGTTCCCTCTCCCTCTCCCGCTCCCTCTCTGCACTTGCTGCTGCTGCAAGATGTGTTGGGTGTCCTGCAAAACATATGAATCTGCAACTTAAAGACAAAAATGTCAACCTAATCAGGAACAATTTTTGAAATTTATAACTAAATTTTTTCAAAAAGCTCCAAAATACAAATGTAGAAAGATTGTTAACAATCCTGGATAATGACTCTAGCATAACATAAGCTTTTAGAGCATTTCTAGGATATCTAGTAACAGATGGCAAATAAGAACTATTATTAAATGAAAAGAACAAACCAAATGAGGGAAAAACTGCCCAAATAATAAAAGGCTATGTTATAAAACTCAAGCACATTGATCCTACTGGAGAAGTATATGTCTGCCGCATCTTACCTGGAGACATAGAAGCAGAATTGTATGGCCTGGGAGGGAAAGTAATCTGTGTACCAGGAATATAAGTGATTCTGTCCATGGGAGGAGTGCTTGTTCCCCCTGGATGAGGCACTAATATCGTTGGAGGCATATTGGTCAGATCAATGATTCCTATCCAAAAGACAAACACAATTTATGTAAGCATTTATTCTGAAGATAGATATAACTATACATGGCTTTTGGATTTTGTCTATTTCTATAATTCAATGATAATTTGTATGTAGCATAAATAAAAAGGTTTTAGGATCATCATTACCTTTTAATCTTCTTTAAATCTAGAGAAGGATATTAAATACTATACAACAAAAATCTTAAGGGATATTCAAATTAAAAAGAGACAGCAAACTAGTAAAACGTGGATTCCAAACACCTAGCACAATGATTTTGGTTATTTCAGTTTTCACCAAAACACCTCATCTTGATACATTACTATGTTCACTTTTAAGGGCTAGTTTATAGCCCTTAAAATATAAAAGGATATAGCCTTCATTTCTTTCTTTCCATCATTCGTTCAACAAGTGTTTATTAATTACTGATTAAAATAAATTCTATGAAATCTAAACTAAAAAGACACATGCCTCTTGTGGCTGGGTATGGGAGACCCAGTGGTTGCTCTCTTGGGGAGAGTCCTCTGGCTACATCTGGGCGCAAGTTCACTTGCATCTGCTGTGAGGTAATGTAATCATTTAGGATTGTCTGCCTTGTGTTTTCCATTGCATAAAGCTGATACTGACTTGGGTAGCCTGGAGTTGGTGAAAGCTGTCTCTGAAACAGGTAAGCAGCAGCTGCTGAGAGAACAACAACAGAAAGGCATTAAGTTTTGTCCTGGGTGAAATTCATTTGCCAGACATCACCCACAGAAAGAGTGAGGAAATAAAAATCATTTGCTGAGTTAGAGCATAGGCAATTATCACTTGGTATAGGAATTAAGGTGGATTCATTTTAGACCTTGATATATCAACAATATAAATTTTAATGCATTCTAATGTCTGAGGTGTAATGGGAAAGGGAAGAACAGTAGCTAAAAATTTCTCAAATAGTTTCACTTTCAATATTTGACACATAACTCTATTATGTTTTCACTGGAAGTCTCTAAGAGCTATGTTTAAAAATAAAATTTTTGTTGATTTCTTTTCTTCTTTTTCAGTGCTGGGAATTGAACCAAGGGCCTCAAATATGCTAGGCAAGTGCTCCACCATTGAGCTACGTCCCCAGTTTGAAAATAAAATTAATATACACAAATGAAAAAATATATGGAAACACTTTGTGACATAGCAAATTTACTTTTTTTAGAAGTAAAAACAATTAGTCTACAAGCATTTAATTTGTGCATGTTTGAAGCACAGACTATCAAACTTTTTCTATAAAGGGTCAGATGATAAATGTCACAGAGTTTTGTAGGTCTAAGACAAAACTACTTAACTCTGTCACAATAGCATAGAAGCAGCTACAGACAAAACAAATGAATGGTTATGGTTGTGTTCTAATAAAACTTTATTTACAGGAAAAGGTGGCAGCATGATTTGGCTTACTACAATCTGGCAATCCTTCACTTAGAACATGACAAAAGATTGTGAAGGGACTGACTGGTATGGTTAAAAAAAAAAAAAAAAGAAGACAAGGCCTCTATCCTCAAAATACTTATAATAATCCAGGTTAGGATGAAATGAAAAGCAGAGAAAATTGCTACAAAATAAAGGACTATTATAGACACTCAACAGAAATTATGTAAATTTTGTCTTAGAACAAAATGTAGATGTTCTCCCTAGAAAAGCCTCCGATATATTTTCTGCAATGTTTGCTTCTCCTTCATCCAGAAATCCAAGTCAGGTAAGTCTGTCAACTTACTGTTCCATTTCAGTCTGGGATAGAGTTTTCCCAGTACAGGTGTTCCTCAACTTACTATGTAGTTATATTCCCAATAAACCCATTGTAAAGTTGGAAATATCATAAACTGAAAATACATTTATATACCTAACCTCCTGAACATCATAGTAAGACAGTACATCATTCAGTGCTGGTGGCTTCCTGATTGGGAGCTGCCACTCATGAGAGAGGTTCATACTAAATATTGCTTACCCGGAAAAGATTCACATTCACACTGTGAAGTATGATTTCTACTCACTGCCTATTACTTTCTCACCACAGCAAAGTCAAAAAATGTAAATGACACAAACCATAGTTAGAGACTCTCTGTACTAGGCTTGAACTCCTCTGAAACTTAATGTTCTGAAGTGTCAGATAATTTGATGATACTGACACAGCTTTCAGCGAAAATATTTTCTACAAGTTCTCTGCTACTATAAAACGTGACTCTTATAGAACTCTGTTCCCAGCTGCAGTGTGACAGCTCCTCTCCTTCAGCTGCATGAAATGTGCTGCCTTAGGCCCAGTACACACACTAGTAACATGCACACTTCTGCTCCTACCAGAACCATCTTTGTACCTACCCGAACCATGTCTACCAACATCAGTGATATGCATTCATAAGTTTCTTCTAGCTACACATATTATTAAATTATGTAATGAAATGATCTGAAAATCAGTGAAAAGAGCTGTTTCTCTGAAAAGTAAGTTGGCTGCTATGGAAAGACTCAATAAAGAAACTTAATCAAGTGTGGGATATACAAACTGAAAGAATTGGGAAAAATATCTAGAATGATTCTGTATTTGGATTACTTGAAACTGTCTTTAAAGTTTTACCTTCACTTAAAAAAACAAACAAAAAAAGAAGCCGAACCTGGATATGTTAAAAAGGCTAGGTTTAATTGATAATCTAAGGCCTTAGGCTTCAGATCAACACACTGGTAAATGAATGTCTACTTATGTTCTAATTAACATACTTAAGGTATGTCTGTCATTATAAAGTATTTCTTCACACAAACTCACTTTTCCAATCAGCTTCACCAACTGCCATCAAATAAAGTTTTTCAGATACCTATTATTTTTAGTTCTCTAAAGGACGATGGCAATATTTTCTTTCTTCTTTTAAAATATTTACAGTATAGACAGACACAATAACTTTATTTTTTTTAAAGTGCTGAGGATCAAACCCACTGCCTACATGTGATAGGCAAGCACTCACCAGAGACATAATCTATGCCCCAAATTTTATTTCTTGATTTGGTGTTGATAACATGGGATGTTCAGCTGGCAAAAATGAAATGTATAATTATCTGCCTATTGTACTATAATAGGAAGCTTAAAAAGTTATTTCTTTTCTATAACTGTCACTTCACTATGTGTCATGCTTACCAGGATCCAGAGCCCTGTGAAAAGGCATGGCTGGATCCAGGTGTGTGGAAAGGTGGCTCCGATAAACTTCCCCTGCGGCGCTGCTCCGGTGATGAGGGTCAAATGGGCTGTGGCTCACAACAGGATCTACCCCAGGCACTGGAGACTTAGCTGGTATACTTTCCCTTTGGGTAGGGGTCAGTGTTGACTTCCTTTCATGATTGGCAGACTTGCTAGAAGAGATCGTAACTGGAAAAAAGGGGCCAATGCCACAAAGCCTTAAGAAAACTTGCAAAGTATGGTTATTTATCCATCTCTTAAGACAATATTCATATATTTTTGAGCTCTTTCTCCTTAAAGATTTAAATATTCATTCTTGCAAAATATTCAAGTGTCAAGAACTAGAAGCACCCTTGAGATCTGGAAAAGGTTGCTCCTTTGAGAGCAATAGCACCATTACTATAACACCTTAAGATTATCAAAATTCTATTATGAATGATTTTGTTTTCTGAATGAGATTAATATTCCAAATTATTCTGGACCCACATACCCACATTTAGCAAATCTCAATTTCTTTCTTTTTTCTTTTTTTTCTTTCTTTCGCCATACTGGGGGTTGAACTCAGGGCTTCATGTTAAGCAAGCACTCTACCAGAAAGCTATACCCCTAGCTCTTTATATTATATAAAGTTTATTTTGAAACAGGGTCTTGCTAAGTTGCCCCAGCTGGCCTTGCTTGTAGGTATGACTCCTACACCTGGCTTCAATTTCTTCTCTCTGCCTGTGTAACCCAACTTCCTGGTTATCTGTCAATTGTAAGTTACATTTTTTCCTTGCTCTGCTCTTCCACAGTGACTTTTTCATTACCTCACCAACATCCATCCATTTTCCTACCTATTCCAGCTTTTCCTTGTCTAAATGATGTTATTCAGAGTGGTGAGATTGTTTCAGTAATGCCAACGATACGCAAGCACTTTGCAGCCATCACCTTGCAGTAAAATATATGTAACATAAAATGTGCCATTCTAGCCATTTTAAATGATATAATTCAGTGGCATTAAATACACAATGTCTCATAACATCACCACCTTCTAATTACGAAAATTATGCTAGTATAAATCAAACAAATCTACATGTCAAATCCAAGAAATAACACTGGTTTATCATCCCCCCTTCTAAGTCCCAAATTGCTCAACTGTGGAGTGCCTTTTCTCTCTGCAGGGCAATTCTCCTTCCAAACTAGAGCCAAAGGTTTGATTTTGTTCCCCTATCCATAACTAGGCACTTCCCTCCTGCCTCCCTTGTTTTCCCCCTTCCCCTCACTCTTCATATTTATACCTACTGTACACCAGTACCATTCCTGTAAGCCCAATAAGTATGAATTACAATAAATTTTAAGATATGTGGATGCATTCTTCAGAGTCTCAGGCTGTTTCAGACACCATCTAGTAATAAATCAACACTTCTTATCTACTGATGTAGCCGCCAGCAGCATGGGGTTATGATAACAAGAATAGCTAAAATTTATTCAGTTGTTCATATATACTGGGCACTAATCTAAGTTTTTTAAATGTATTACCTATTTTATCATCACAAAAATCCAGGTCTTAGTAGTACACTACCACTTTAGAGATGAGGAAATTAAGACATAGACAAGTTAAGTAACTTGTGTAAGTTTGTAAGTAAGAAATTTGATTCAAAGTCTAAGCAATCTTGCTATGGAGACCAAACTACCATACCACATTGCAACTGGGAAAACAACTGCTAAAACTGACTTTCAGAAAACCTTACTCAATGGACAGAAAATCTATTCAAAAAATTACCTACTCTAGGGCATTTCTGGACTTTATTATACCCTGTACTTGAAGGCCATCTTCAAAGCTTCAAAAATTTCCAAATTTACTTCTAAATATTAGGTGCTTCACCTAATAAAGCCTGTTTTCAAATTAGTAGCCTTCCATAGCCCTAGTATCAAGCGTAATCTATGGATCTTGGGATAATCTGAAGCTAATAGTTTGATAGTTTCTATTTGTCAAAAGTGAAAAACTACAGTAAAAATGATCAGACAAGGCAACAAAAATAATATACCTTCAGAAGTTCTGTTCATCATAGGCGAGCCTCTGGACATGGTGTTCTGATAACTCACAGGGGTCCTCCGAGCACTGGAGTCATCGTAAATTCCCGGGCTCAGCTGTGCTTTTGGAGCTTCATGAAGTGTGGACCTGAGAACGGAGGGGCCGGAGCTCACCACCGACGTGTGCCGGGAACGCACTGGCTCACCTGCTTTCACATCTTCATATTTTCCCCTTTCCACCACTTTTATATTCTCTGGTACAATTTCCAGTGCAGGCAATCCACGGGGTAGTTTGCTAGGCCCCGTTATTAAGGATTTGACATTGTGTTTGATGGCAGATTGACCTGAGTTGCTGTCAAACTTTATTGGTGTGCCCTACAACACAAAGAAACAAACATTATAGGTAGCCAAGTTGTCTACATATTGTTCCACCTCAGGTCTAGGTCTGACCCACGGCAGTTACAATTTTCTATGATGACCTTTATTGTCTGTGTTGATGCTCGATCACAACCCACTGACCCTGACTGCACACTTTCCCACATTACTCATTCCATACTATGGATCAAACAAAAACTGATAACAAAGAATAATTAAAATTTCCACATTTACTTCTAAGAAACCTGACATCATAAGAACTGTTTATAAGTATTAAGTCACAATTTTACAAATGTTTCATAATTATCGTTCTGACGTAAAACTGCTGACAAAAAAAGAGAAACCTAATTACCTGGGAGATGGAACCCTCAATTATTGGCCTTGTGCTCTGGACCACTTCTGGAGTTTTTCGGCTTTCCTGAGTTAGAATATCTTGCCGTGGAATCTCATGAATGGAACGCCCCATTTCTTTGATGGTGGTGATGCCATCATATGGTTTTCCTTTGGTAATGGCACCCTCAAATGCTCGTATCGGAGGACTTTCCCTTTTAATCTGTTTGGGATACTTAAGGCCATCTTCAAAGCTTTCAGTTGTTGCCCTTGGTGTGCCTTGAAAAGAATTTAAGAAACAAACACTGAAATAATGTCAATGGTTGCACAAACAGTGCCACTGAATCGTACACTTAAAAATGGTTATAATGATAAATTCTAAATCCCAGCAGCTTGGGAGGCTGAGGCAGTAGGATCACGAGTTCCAAAGCAACTCCGTGAGACCCTGTGTCTGGAGTGTGCTGGAGATGTGGCTTAGTGCCCCTGAGTTCAAACTCTGGTACTCCCCACACCAAAAGATAAATTCTAATATGCATATTTTGCCAAAATTTAAATCAGTTTTCTGTTTATAGTAGATTCTCAAATAAATATTTACCAATCATTATTTTAAGGGTTGTTCAAAATATAATAATACATTAGTGGTCACAGTCATATTTGGCAACAATCATTTTCTGATAGACTATGTAGTGCAGAAAAGTATGACAGAAAAGTTATAATCAAAACAATATTTCAAGAGGGAAAATATCTTAAAAAGCAGGTTTCATGCTCTGCAAACTTATGTCAAACTACATTGCCAGTTATAAGTAAAAAGCAAAATGAGCAGAAAGTTTACCCTGCATTATAGAGCCAGACAGCACAGTTCTTTCTTTGAGGTCAGAATGAGGACTCCCCCTGGGTAATGCTCGGCATATTAGTCCTTTCAAAACAAGAAAGAAATTCATTTATTAAACATAATGAATATATGTCTATTCACCTACACTTAGTACTGTCCTTAGAGTATGTATTTTTGATAAAAGTTTTATGGAGAAAGAGACATCATTTTAAATTTGTGAACTATCCAAAAGAATACCATGGAAAAACAAATCAGAAATATCCAATATGACATCACACAGATCTCTGCACACATCTTCCAAAATTTACAAAATGGCCACAGGTACCTCAGTATAAGTCAAAAAAGAAATAGACACTTCAAAGTGAAATATAAAATCCTAATGCTTCTTTATCAAGAGCAGAGCATATATGGGATTGGAAATTATTGCTTAACTTTGAAATACACCTGAGAAAAAGGAAAAACATCAAATATAATTGTCATAAAAATAGAAGAAAAACATTAAATATGCAAATCTAAATGAAAGAGTTGTAAATAACCTCCTAACAAATTTTACATTATACTATCAATAAGTATGAATTAAAGATTGAAATAAACCATACACATTTACCTGAAGTAAGGATAACTGAGTTGTCATAGTTGTTTTAATAGAGAAAATTCCTCTTTTAGAAATAATTTATCCTGCTTTTAGTATTTTACCTACATTAAAATTCATTGGGAACAGGTTATGATTTAAAGGTAAGTCAATAACAAAACAAAACCAAAGTGATAATTTACTGAACATCATTATCTTCAGCAAGAGTTCAGACACCTGTCTCTAATCATTGGGCAATGGTGGGTACAATCCCTTAATTTCAAGAGGAAGAAATATGCCCAGAGAAATCCATCAGGAAAGGGTAAAACTAGGATTCAAATTCATGTCTTTGCTGTTATCTATCACTCATCACTTTATTTACCTCACTTAAAAAAAAATCTAATAATAAATTTTACATTCTTAATTCAAATACGAGGTAATTTACAAATGATATGAACAATTCAAACATGAACATTCTAATAGGTACTGTTATAAGTAATTATATTCAGTTTCACCTCCTTCTGCTCTCAAGTTCCATATATTTTGTTCGTTGATGTAATAATATGAAATTTAAGTTATATTAAAAATTTCAGGTAGAAATCAGAGATTGAACTTGATTCAACATGCATACAATATACAAAATTAAATGTATCTAAATAATGTTCTAAAAACATTTTACCCTCTAATGGTGCTGATACAGGAGACTCCCTCATTGACATCCCTTGTTTTATATTCCCTTCCACTGAGTCATAGCTTCTTTTTAAACTGACTTCGTGTGCTGTTCTTGGACTCCTGGTTCCTTCTCTGGCATTCTTAATATCTGTAGAATGCACAAACAAGAATTATTCAGACAGCTCAAGGCCCACAATGTATAGAAAATAACATTTTATTTTCACAATCTTACAAAAACTTGTCCTAGTCTAGAATATATTTATGTGTAGGTAACATTCATACATTTATTGAATGCCTACTTTTTACAGATAAGGTTAAGAAATTAAGTTTTTTTCCTCATGAAACTTAAAAGTGGTGGGTACAGATAAATTAATTGGCCCTCACCATCCAGTGGTAAGTACTATGAATGAAGTACAATGCTATTAGAATGCTGGGAAGGAATCCTGACATCCCCAGATTCAGGTAAGGATGCCTAGAAAAAAATAATGTGAAAACTGAAAACTGAAGGATCAATAAGAGCTGTTTAACAAGGGCAGAGGAGGAAAAAGTGGTACAGGCAGAGAGGATGATGAGCACAAAGACCTCAAAACAAGAACTTTAGCTCAGTGTATGGCCAATGTGAACAGCAAAGTTAGGAGGATGAGTATCAGGGAGTAATTACAGGAGAGCTAAGGGGAAATATAGGAAGGACTCAATTGGCAGTGATAAGCTCAAAGCTGACCAAGGAAGGGTGATGAAGCCAAGGAAAGGTGCTTGCAGTTATCTTTAAGACAACAGAGTCAAGCCGGAAATAATATGATACATAGCTTTGAATATGGGTAAGACTGAAGGCAGGGAGATAAGTTAGGCAGCCACTGGACCACAGTGGCAGGGAGGAATATACAGTAATATTTCAGAGATTTTAGGAAAGAGAACAGTAATGACTTAATGAATTGTTGGATGTGGAAAGAAAAGAAGCAGAAAAGAAAGATGGCCAGATTTCTGGCTTTGGAAACGTATATTAAACTCATCCCCCCAGAAACAAAATGTTAACAAATACATATCACACATGTTTAAATAAGGAGGAAAGGAATAAGAAAGCTATCATATATAATGTGGAATCAAGTACTATGTACAAACTTCTATTTATTTGAAGAGAAAGATAAAGTGAAACTAATGACTACTACAAGGTCACAAAGATAGCTTGTTGCAAATGAAAACTAATCTCAGTCCTTTGGCTAATATTTATGTCACATCTGAGTCATTCTCATAGAATATAATGGGGAAAATATAACTTAAGAATGCATCTGCAGGGTACAATGGCACTCCTGTAATACTAGCTACTTGGAAGGCAGAGGCAGGGGGAATCACAAGTTAAATCCAGCTGGGGCAACTTAATGAGACCTTATCTCAAAAAAAAAAAAAAAAAAAAATTTTTTTTTTAAAGGGCTAGGATTGGAGCTCAATGGTAGAGCACCCCAAGTTCAATCCCTAGTAACACACACACACACACACACACACACACACACAAAACCCTGTAATACCAGCTATTTGGGAGACTAAAGTGGGAAGATCATGAATTTGAGCCCTGCTTGGGTAACATAGTGAGACTCTGTCTAAAAATAGATAAATGAGTCTGAATAAAATGTTTCCACAGAAAGAAAGTAAAATGGTTTTGCTAAAGAGAATATAGATTTAATAGTCTTTCCATGATTATTAGGCTACCTACTTCCTAATTCTTAACTCAAAAAATATGAATCCCAATGAAATAAAAGTGATTCTATTTAATTTAAATAAAAGGTTCTTTTCATAAGAAGACCAGTCACAGATGATGTTAGCTATCACTTATGGGATACTTCCTATAGGCTCCCACTTTTCACTGACCATCCCGATTGATTTTTCAACAACTTTTCATGAGAAAGGAATTATTATTAAACCATTTCATCAAGAGAAAACATGGGTTTGGGAAAGGTAAACCAACTTCCCACAGAAAGAATGTGAGAAAACCAGAGCCTGTTTTTAGTCATACCTTACAAGATTGGCTTTTATGTACACATACCATACTTACTATCATATGATAAAATGTGTCCACTTTTGCCTTCATAAATAACATGGCCTTTGGATGCAGCTTCTTCTCTGCCTTTCTCAGGACTGCTCTCTTCAATGGGTATCCGAGAAATGGACCCCTTCACCAAAGTCTCAGTTGGTATGCCAGCCTGGGACAGAGCTGGGGTCCCCTGTCATCAAATCAAATCAAACACAAGCACCAGAAGAGTCACTCAATCATAGAGTAAGATGCTCAGAAAATTTAAACTACCACACTGAAAGTCAAATCAATCCATATCATCAAAGAAAGCACATGTATATGAAAACAGACGTTAAACTTTATCAACAAAGAAGTTCTGTTCCTTCATTCTTAAACCCTGTCACAGAACCTCTTATAACGATACGTGTATTAGGCAAATCAGCTTTCTTCCCCACCTTGAAGTCAAACCTCCATTAAGGGACTTATTCTTGAAAGTTGGTCTGAAGGCCTAAAATCACGCAAATGTAATAACATTTTTGAAAATAAGACTTGATAAATCAAATTTTAAAGTGCCACAATTTTCATATTAAGAGGAAAAAAGAACTTTCAGGTATCAAACTATCTTCTAGTTAGGCCTTTGTCTTCAATAAGAGAAGAGGAAGAAAACACAGATATCTAAATGACTTTGTTTTGTGGTAATGAATTTTCTCCACGATTGGTAGCCTTTTTTGTTGTTGTTGTTGTTTTCTTGGTACTCTCCAGCCCTTTTTATTTTTTGTTTTGAATCAGGGTCTTGCTAAGTTGCTGAGGTTGTTCTTGAACTTGCAATCCTTAGCCTCCTGAGTTACAGGGATTACAGGTGTGTGCCAATGTGCCTGGCAATAATCTTCTATATTGCCAGTGGTTGTGATTCTTTTTACCATTCTTTTAAGCAGCAAGCCCTTCCTTGGAGGGAAAATTTTTCATGGAACTAAATATATAGAACTCTTTTCAAAAGCAAGCTACTTGAGCTGAAATGAAAGTAGAGGCCCATTCACATATGCAGAGTTCCCATATACTCAGAGGACCCATAAAACTCCACTGAGAATAATCTGAAACCATTTGTGTACAGGAAGAGTGATGACTACAATACATTGAACTAATCTCATCATGAAATGAGCTCAGTAGTAAACATCTGGAAATCCTTAATTCCCGCTTCAGAAGCACCTGTCGAATGGACAGGCAGATTTAAAAATAAACAGATAAAACTTAGCCTCAGCTGACCTTGTTCTTACTATCTTCCTACCCAAACTTTGGATATTAAAGTGACAAGTAAAAAATATGAAGAGAAATAATTTAGGCTTATTTATTTTCCTTCTGTCCATATACTTTGGCCAAATATGGAAAAAAGATTTGAAGAGTTTTTACGCAACCCTCTAAGTTAATATATAACTTTTTAGGTCACTATATATCACATACTTTATAAATCATGTCTCAGAGAGGAATCACTTGGGAAATGAAGATTCTGATTCATAGATTTGGAGGTAAAGGCTACATTTCTGCATTATTCTAGCAAGTCCCAAGTTATGATGCTCTGGTGCACAGACCATACTTAATTAGTAAGACCTGGTAGAGGTCTTACTAATTAAGCAGAACTGGTAGAGGGCACTGGAAAACACCAGTTGCTGGGTTCTACCCCCAAAGGTTGATTTCAGTAAATCAGGGGTGAGGCCTGAGAATTCATGTTTAGCAACTTCCCAGGCAATACTGATATTACTGGTTTGGGAACCACACTTTGAGAATCACTATCCTAGGGAACAGCATAACACAAGGAAGAGAAAATATGTGATAATATGCAAAAACTACATCAATGGGGCCGGGATTGTGGCTCAGAGGTATAGTGCTTGCCTAGCAAGTGTGAGGCCCTGGGTTCAATCCCCGGCACCACATAAAAATAAACAAATAAAATAAAGGTATTGTGTCCATCTAGAATTAAAAAAATATTTTAAAAAACCCAAACCTATGACAATGTGTAAAAGCACAGTATATGCTTGTAACAATTTCCCCAAACAGAATTTTTCCTTTTTCATATCTACATAATTAAAGAATTCTATATTTCAAGTTAAAATTAATATCTGAGAAAATAAATACCTTTTTATTCATTGAAATTGGCAATTTATTTAGCTCAAAATTGGGAGAAAATATTTAACCTTTGATGTTTTTTCAAAGCCATAAACATTTCCTTGCTTAGCATTTGATTCTAACAAAGCAGCTTACACACTGAGATTGTAGACCTACCGTTTCATAAGGGGCAAAATCAAGCAAATAATGTATAATAATTTTCTTCTTAATTTGTATTCAAGCCAAACACACAGTTAAAGCTTTTCCAAGAAAACAGCGAGAACTTTATCAGTTACTGCATGTTTCTTCTGACAATTTGCAAATAAGTAACCTTTTCAAATGAATCATAGGACATAATATAGTTCATAATTAAAAAAGATTAATGTCTTTCTTCAGACAGTTTATAGACCTGGGGTTTATTATCACTGAGATACTATTCCATGACTCAGAACAAAGAACAAGGGAACTACAGAACTACATTGATGGAATAGCCAAAGCTCTTTTTTCTAAGTTACTGTTTAGTATATTAGAGATGATGATAATAACCTGAGTGATAGAGCCACGTAGAGAAGGGATACTCTCCACTGAAATTTTGCTGGTTGGAGTTCCTCGAGTTATACTTCCTTCTTGGATAGCTCCTGTGGTACCTGAATAAAACCAAATCATTAACCATTACATCTTTCATTCCCGTCCCAATAGATTAATAATCGTACAAATAACACCCTGACAAAATAGCCCCTACTGATAAAATAAGAAGGGAAGAAAAACAGCAAACAAAAACTTTTATTTTACTGAAATATTCTTCTAAATTAATATTGTAATTATTTTTTAAAAAGGACTTTTGAGACATGAAACTTCAACATTTTGTTTTGCTTTTTTTTGTGGTACTGGGTTTTAAACCCACAGTCTTCCCACAGCACATGCCAGTCAAGTGCTCTATCACTGAGCCATAACACCCTCAGCCAAACTTCGAAGTTTTAAAATAATTTTTACATGGAAAGAAATCAAAACTTAGATTTAAAAGCAATACTTTGAAAATTCATTATTAAACTATACTAATGAATTACTTTAATCAATTAAACAGCTCTGTCAAATTGCTCTTACCTCTGACCACGCCTTCATGTTGGGCCCTGACCAATAAACCCTCAGGCTGTGAATTTTGGCTCCGGGGAGAAAATTCTTCCTGCTTGATATAGGGCAAAGTAGCTGTGGACAGAAGAAACACGTAGTAATCAAGTGCTGAATTACTGACTGTGACACTACAAATGCAGACAGTACATTATGACTGTATTAACTCACTGACCTGATTTGGTGGATTCCTGCTGTCTTGGCAGTCCAAGAGAGATAGACCCCACAGAGGGCTTAGCCGTTTCTTGAGTATAGGAAGCCTGATTATGAGAAGTCATGTAAGTGCCAGGCGTGCCCTAAAAAATAATTTTAAAAGACTAAACATTGTCTTTTCATAAAAACGTACGCTGTGTAAACTCAAAATTAAGAATAGTATTCATAAAGCAAGAAAATTTTCAGCAGAGATTGCTTAAATTTAAAAAACTCTTAAAGGAAGTGTCTTCTGCCATTACCGTAAATTAAATGTAGATAATATTTACTATTAATAAATTGAAAAAATAAAGCACTGCAACAGTGCAATCACAATGTAAACAATTTTTATTAACAACTGCCCCTCTTAAATGTGCTTTGGAGAAGTCGGGCACAGTGGCACACTCTTGGAACCCCAGTTACACAGGAGGCTGAGACAGGAGGATTAGGAGGATTGCAAGTTCAAGGCCAACCTCAGCAACTTAGCAGTGAAACCCTGTCTCAAAATAAAAAATAAAAAAAGGCTGGGTATGTGGCTCAGTGGCAAAATGCCTGTGGGTTCAATCCCCAGTACCAAAAAAAAAAAAAAAAAGAGAGAGCAGACCTGTCAATTGGCTGGCTGAGTGCTGAGGGCATGCCCCAACACACAGCCTCTCAGAAAACACTGAGAAAGTTATTGGGTTTAGGTATTTAAGGAGATCTTTGTTCAATCAGTAGTAGGCCATTAAGCTAAGCTAACCAAGCAGTGATTTCAGTGGCCTGTGACACTATTTAGTCTGTGATAAATAGCAGAGACTTTACAAAATGGGGTCACTAAGCAAATCAACAATACCAGCAAAAAGAAACTAAAACAACAACAGGCCCTAGAGGACAGAGGTATCTGATTTTCAGAGTTATCATATTATATAAATATCCCATTTTGACCCCAAATTATAAGACATGCAAAACAACAATAACAAACAAAGTGTAAGCCATACACATGAAATAAAGCAATGAATAGAAACTGCCCCTGAGCAAAGAACTAACGGGAACTATATCTAAAAAATTCAAAGGAATAATGTCTAACCAAACACATGATATCAGCAAGTAGAGAAAGAAATCATCATAAAGAACAAAACTGAAGTTCTGGAATTGAAAAGTGGAACTTAGGGTAGGGGGCTTTCAGGAAACTAAGAATGAAAGGAAACAATCTGATGAAAGGCATTAATGATATGCCTATAATTAACATAATATCTAATCTTAAAACAGTGAATGTCTTCCTCCTAAAATCAGCAACAGGAAACTCATGTTCACATTCACAACTTCTATTCAATACTGCACTAACACTTCTAGCCGTGCAACAAGAAAAAGGTATAAAAATTTTAAAAGAATTAAAACCATATTTGCAAATTACATGCATATATAGAAAATCCTAAGAAATCTACCAAAATAAAACAACCCCATGAGAAGCATTAAGTGAAGACCACATGTAGGCAAAGCCAAGATATATAAAAAAATCAATTCTATGTCTATACTTAGGCATACCTCATTGTGTTGTGCTTCTTTATTGTGCTTCACAGATAATGTTTTTTTTTTTTTTTTAACAAATTGAAGGTTTGTGGGAATCCTGAGTTGGGCAAGTCTATCAGTGCCATTTTCCCCACAGCTCAGAATATTCTTCTCATTTTTAGTAATAAAGTTCTTTTTAATTAAAGTATGCATACTGGGTTTTTTAGACATGATGCTATTATATATTATAAATCTATAATAAGACTATGGTACTAAGATGGACAAGTAGCATTGAGAGTCTACAAATAGTTCCAAACTTACAGTCATCAAATGGGTCTTAATGAAGGCACTAAATCAAACAAATGAAGGAAAAAAATACTTTTCAACAAATGTATTGGAACTGGAGAGCCAAATGAAAAGATGAATGTAGATGTCTACATCAAAATGTACGTAAAAATTCAATTGAGATGAATCCCAAGCCTGAATATAAAAGCCAAAATTATAAAGCTTACATAAGAAAACAGAAGAATATTTCACAACCCCAGAGCAGGCAAAATATAATTACTCATAGGAGAAAATATTTTTATATTGACTACATCAAAAACTAAAACATGGCTGGGCATAGTGGTACACTATGTAATTCCAGCAACTCAGGAGACTGAGGCAGGAGGATCACAAGCAACTCACTGAAGGCCCATTCTCAAAATAAAAAATAAAAAGGGCTAGGGATGTATCTCAGTGCTAAAGTGCCTGTGGGTCGAATCCCTAGTTCCAAACAACAACAACAATAAAAAACCCCAAACAAATAAAAAACAAAACTAAAATTTCTGCTTATCAAAACATTCCAATAACAAAATCAGCAAATCACAAATAGAAAAATATTTGTAATAGGCATATCTAACAAAGAACTTGAAACATATAAAGAACTTCTAAAATCCAACACCAAAAAGATCCAATAAAAATGGACAATTGGGCTGGGGCTGTAGCTCAGTTGTAGAGCGTTTGCCTAGCATGTATGAGATACTGGGTTTGATCCTCAGCACCAGATAAAAATAAATAAATAAAATAAAGGTATTGTGAAAAAAAATTCTTTAAAAAAATGGATAATCAGACTTAAATATAGATTGAGTATCCCTTTTCCAAAATCTTTGGGACCAGAAGTGTTTCAGATTTGGGATTTTTTTTTAACAGATTTTGGAATATTTGTATAAATCCAATAAAACACATTGGAGATGATACCTTACTGTAAGCATGAAATTCATTTATTTCATATACACCTTATAATAACAGCCTAAAGACAGTTTTATATAGCAGTTTTAGTACAACTGCATTTTGACTGTTATCTATCACATGCCATTGCGTGTAAAATTTTCCACTTGTGGTATTACGTTGGTGCTCAAAGAGTTTCAGATTTTGGAGCACTTGATTAGGATTAGGAATACCCAACTAAAAAGTCACAGCCAGTAGTACAAATGTTCAATGAACATACAAAAAAGTGTTCAATATTTGTTGTCAGGTAAACGCAAAATACAACCACAATATTACACACACCAGTTAAGTAGATCTAAAATAAAAATAAAAAAGACTAACAAGAAGAAATGGAATAATGGAAGTCTTGGTCTTACACACTGATAAGGGGAGTATAAAACTTGTAGGACCACTCTGAAAAATTACAAACCTAAACATATATACACCCAGCAATTTCACTTTCAGATTAAACGAAAACAAGTCCACAAAGAATCTAGTACAAGAAATGCTCATGGCAGCTTTATTCATAGGAGTCCCAAATTAGAAATTGTGCAAGTTTCTGTTAATAGAAACATGCCTTGTGCTGGAAAGTCCGGTCAGACCCCACTCTGGGATATTTTTTGTGTGCACGTGGCTGCAGAGCACTATAAGGCAATATTATAAAGTATCCTTGACAACTGCACTGTTTTAACACAAATTATATCTATTCTTTGTTCACTGTATTATTTAGCAATAAGAAGACTATTGATAACACAAAAACCTGGATGAATCCCTAAAACCATTATGCTGAGTTAGAAAAACAGACACAAAAAAGTGTATCATATCATCATGATATGTATCATATCATCCCATTCATATGAAATCTTTCAAAAGGCAACAACAGAAAGAACAGAAAGTTGCCTCAGGTCGGAGAAGGGATGCCAAGGAAGGAACATGAGAAATTTAGTGATGGAAATGTTCAATTATCTGACAGGGATATAGCTACTGGTTGTTCACAGAAGTCATATTTGATCTACCCATCAAGTTCAATTAAATCATATTTCAATTAAAAAAAAAAAAAAGAAAAGGCAATGTACCAGTAAAAAAAAAAAAAAAGAGAGAGTGAGAGAGAGATTGTTAGTGTTTGGGTACAAGATGTATCCTGAAAGCTCAAATGTGAGATAATGTAGGAATGTTCAGAGGTGAAATGAGAGTTGTGACTTAATCAGTGGCTTTGCTTGATAGATAAATAGGCAAGAAGGGTGTGGCTGAAGAACAGAAAGTAGGCCACTGAGAGCTTAACATACAGATACTCTCTTTCTTCAAAATAACTAGTCAGTAAATATTCTACTTTATGAAATGAATTCCATTTTAATTTGCATTACAATAAACAATTTTGTGCCTTTGGTAAATTAAACCAGGTGGTAGGCCATGGCCACTCAATCTGGGTACACAGCTCATTCAAAGTTCCTACATGTAGTATGGAGTATATTAAATTTTGCATTTTCTAGTTCCTGTCTCTGCAAGTTTCACTTTCAGACAGCTTATCACTTAAAAGTATGCTCATAAATTAGTGTAAGGAGGAAGAAAAAGTTTTACCAAAGTAATCAAGAGGAAATTTGCCATAAAGAAAAAGCATTTTACCTGTGAGATAGAGCCTCCCATTATAAAAGATGGTTTTTCTGAAGCCATTGTGGTTTTGGATGATGGGATAAGAGGTGGTGGTGGCCTGGTTGGTCGAGTTGTTGGAAGTCGACCCCCTTCAGGGAGATTAGTTATCACTTGATGTGGAGCAGGTTGAAGAACTTTTAAAAAGAAAAAAAATGATTTAAAATAGTCAAATTTCTTAGTTTGCCATAAGCTAGCTATCTTAAGTCATTTCTAAATTTTTAAGTCACAAATTAAATTATAAATATGAAATGAGGCCAAGGATGAACATTTACATTTTAAAAATTTCTGTCATTTAACCTCGTATACATATTCAAATCTCCAGTGGTATTTGTGAGGATGAAATATTCAACTCCCTTTCAAACCAGAGCTTTCACGCTGATGTTCAATGCAACTACTTCTGTTCAGCAGAGGCAAACCTAAATCTTCAATAACTTTTTATCTATCACTTTCTGGTCCTCACAATGGAGGTGAGAAAAAGGGAGCTTCTGAGAACAGGTGCTGTCCCTGCCCTGCTTTGTAGAGTGCTGACTGGCTGACAACCTCTTTCATATCTTCTGTGTATCTGGCATAATCTGAGAAATATTTACTGATTCTGGCTCTCACAGCATAATTGAATTTCTGGGGTTAAAAAAGTCTCAAGATTTTTACAAGTACATGTACTCTTAAAAGAAAAGCTATTCAATGTCACAGTATAAATGTGTAAACACAAATTTCCCAGTGGCCCAGTGAATCTGAACTGAATACAACTGATAATGGAATGCATAGAAACAAAGTCATTTTGAGACAGCAAGGACATGTTCTGGAAAATCAGTTAATTCATGAGATTAAACCACCCACAGGAACATTTGTGGGTAGATGGCCAGCAGCCACTGTATAGAGGGGCAATATTTACCTGGCGGGACACTATAGCGGGCTGTACTCATATCGGGCCGTGGAGCGGCTTTACTGACTTCTCTTGGAGAGAGCCTACACGGTGAGGCTGACCTTGCTGCGGTACTGTGCATCTGTGCTTCCTGTTCTAGAGCACGTTTGACCTCAGCATAAGGCATATAGGCGACTGATTTTCCTATGAAAGTTAAAGTTATCAAAATAAGGGAAGAACCCCAAATTAAAATACTGAGTGTAAAAGGACCAAGCCCACACCATCCAGGGGCAGATCCATCCATATGCTAATAACAAGGTCTAAAGCTCCTGAGGGGAAGATCCACCCACAGAAATGGTTAAGAACTACTATAAATCTAAATCTGCTAGGTATAAAACATAACTATGACCTAACAAAATCCTCAAAAATACAATTACAACTTTCCTTTTCAAGGATAAAGAATTTCTCTTTCCTCTTAGGAAGAATTCAGTGTTTGTACATGCAATAAAATCACAATAGGCAAATATCACATTATCAAGTGATTCTGTGATTTCAAAACTGGCCTGATTGAGAGGTCAGCTCTCTGAGGATTTCAACTCATAATTAGCTTGCTGATGCTGATGGGATAATATTCAGAGATGCACATTTAAGAAATGGAAAAAGTCTTTTAAAGATATAATAAAGCTAATCCAAAAGTCCTTTACAAGCTTATAAAACTTTGACCATAACTACAATAATACTAATGAAAATAACAAGTTATCTTCACCAAAAGTATTAAAAACTTTAAAAATTAAAGGGAAAGCCAAAAGTGCAGTCATATTAAGACTTTAAAATGTATGTTTTATATATATATTTCCTTTTTAAAAATGAAATTGATATACTACAATAATTTTTGAAAATCAGGAAAACACAAAGTAAAAATCATTTGTAACCCTAATCACTTAGATTTGTGGCATGTCAATGTTTGCCAGAACAAATTCCCATTCATTTTATTACTCTTTTAATTTCTTAGTCTTATCTATTTTTCCTTCCAGATAACTTTCGATTTAAAATCAATTCAAGTACTTCCTTCTCAAATGAAATGTCTTTGGAAATTTCATTCCACTTGTATTTAATTTATAAATAAATATGGGTATTTATAATAATGAATTTTCTAATTGAGGAATCCAGCTTTTATCATATAGGTTTGTTCATTTGTTAAAAATTATTCCTGGGTATTTCATATTCTGTTGCTAGGAAAATCATCTCTTTTCATACATATGGGTATGTAAATACATATAACTAAATAATGCAGATAGGAAAGGTGGGTTTTTGTATAACAACTTTTTTCTTTTTTTCTCCCACATTTTTTAATTGGTGCATTATAGTTTGTATAGCTACTTTATTATTATTACTTTTTGGTGATGGGGTAAAGTATTTTTATTATTATTCCTGTATGACAACTTTTCAAAATAAACTTTCCTTTTAGTTCTAATAACTTTTCAATGGATTCTTTTATACTTTTGAGTTAGAACATCTTATGTGTAAATAACAATTTGTCTTCTCCGGCCAAATACCCACCTTGTGCTTTCCTTACTATCCTATGTTAAGTTAATAGTGGGTATCCTAGTAGTTCCCACCCACTGGAAAGGTCTCTCGAATTTTGCTATTAAGTGTTAAGCTCTGTACCTGATTTCAAATAAGGATTTATTATCACAATAATATAGATGATTAACATGTCTTGACCACAAAGGCATAAAATGTTCCTTTGTTTACTAAAATTTTTTTAAATCAGAAACAATTATAATAATATAAACTAATAACAAGTCCCAGACACACTACTTTCCATAAATTATCTCCTTTAGCCCTCCAGACCAATGAGATTATTGACACAATTTTGCAGATGAGAAAACCCAAACTCAGAAGAATCATATCTAATTGCCCAATCAAGGTTGCACTACCAGAGATTTTTTTAAAAGGAATATAATTCTAGACTCTAAGTTCTTTTTTTTTAATTATTCATTTTTTAGTTTTAGGTGGACACAATATCTTTATTTTACTTTTATGTGGTGCTGAGGATCAAACCCAGTGGCTCACGCATGCCAAGCAAGTGTGCTACCACTTGAACCACATCCCCAGCCCCCCCCAGACTCTAAGTTCTAAACCATAATGCAGTGAGTTTCATGGAAGGACTGGATTTCAGATGCCTGAGGGACATCCATCAAGATGATGGTACTCTTTCGAAATCATTGATATATTAATGTAACAAATTACTGAATGCTCTAATACTAAGTGGATTTATTAAATCAATTTCAAAAGAAAAATCACTTCTTTCCTAGAGAATTTAATAGGAAGCATATTAAAAAATTCAACTCCTAATTGTTTACCATTACCCGTAAGTCTATAATTATGTAGAACAGCCCCCCATACTATTATTATTATTATTTAGTGGTAAAGATTTAGGTGATTCTAATCACAGCTATTTAAATCAGCACGTACCCAGAGCTAGAAAAACAAAACAACAAAATAAATGCAAAATACATTAGATCTGGCTACAAAGGAACATGAATTCTATCTTGATTGGATAGAATTTTGTTAAAACTTGCATTAAAATTTCTATTCTAACTCTACCTGTACATGCAGGAGTTTTGAATTTCTTCATTGTAAAAGAAAAGCTTCCAATTTATTGGTAAGGCAGGGGGTAAACTTCTACCAATGTTACTGCAAACATATTTTTTAAAGCTTTTCCAAAGATGAGGAAAGCTTTATGCAATTTAAAAAGGGTGTATCTATAATCATTGCTTGTATTATTCACATTAAGAAACCATTAATACAATAAAAAAGGTGGACAAATGCTGTCTGATTGTTTCTAAATGAGACCATAAAAGTATAAAGCACTGAATTAAGACAATGCTTAATTCAGGTGAATTATATCAGTATTTAATGACATTTTATACATAGATATACATTCTTGCTATTTTTTAACATTCTGTAAACTACTCTATGTCGTTGCATATAAATTATTTGTGTCAAGCATCCTACACACAAGCAACTAAACTACAAACATGTAAATGTTATTTGGAAGATTATCCCATATACTGACCCACAGGATTGTTTTAACTTCAAGGAGAGACATCAAGTGTTATTACTAGGTGGATTTGCCCAAACAAAATTCAACCTTTGGATATAAGGTAATCAACTGTCCCACTTTGTAGAGTCATCTTGAACTATAAAGAAAAATTCTTAATGTCATATAAATCTAAAGTATAATTATATTTTGTTTTTTTAAGATCACTACATTATGTTAATAGTGGGTATCCTGATAGTTCCCACTCACTGGAAAGGTCTCTCGAATTTTGCTATTAAGTGTTAAGCTCTGTACCTGATTTCAAATAAGGATTTATTATCACAATTAGGAAAGCACTGAGATCTAAACAATATAGATGATTAACATGTCTTGACCACAAAGAAATGCAATTCACAGTCTGGAATCTCAAAATTGTGGGCTCTAGCCTGGTTCAATCATTCCAGCTCCTCAACACAATTCATTCTATAAAGCAGATCAAGAAAAGATGTTTAGGTTATAAAATAATTATATGGTATCCATAAATAGAATTACCCAGATATTACTGATTACTTTGGCATGAGATCACAAGTGATAATATTTGAGTGCCATTTTTCTTTTACTTTTTCCTCACAAAAATCTACTCTGAAAAATTTATAAGTAACAGATCAATAGACTTTTAAATTACTCCATAATTTATCATTCTCTACAGATTTCCTCATAATTGGGATGCTCAAAAGACAAAAACACCTCTGCTAAATGCCTTATAGTGTAACATGACAAAGATATCTCCATTATGTCATTCATTTAATTTATTCTTTCAACATGTAATTACTACCTGTAGTGTCAGTTACAGAACAGGAATTAAGGATTCTCTAAATGCAATGTATAAACACCTAAAAGTTATCAATGTTTCTATATCCATTCAAGAAATATTCACTTAGTACTATGCTATATGCCTTGGTGGATATAATCACACTAGTTCACATTTTTTTTTTTTTACTAAGACAAGATTTACACTTAAAACACTCAAGTTTACATTTAAAATTCTACCCTAACAGGCTATATAACTAATCACTCATGTAGGATCTAGGTAAGGAGCAGGGAGTCAACAGAATAGTTCAAGTTACATAGTTCCTATTTTATGTTAAGTTGCTCTTGAAAAGCGTGTGGGCATCCCAAATCTGTCTGTTCTTATATATAAGAATCTTCTGAATCATTCACAGATGATTTTAGTATTCATATATTCAAGCATACTGTAACATATAAATGTCCATAAATTCACTATCAACCAGAATACATATGGCAATTCTAATCATATTAGAATTTACTAAGATTTAGAAACTACTACTCCTTTATTAAAAATATATTATTCCTCAAATAAAACAACAAGCACCAATTCAAATCTATCACTAGAACAGTGACATAACAATAATCACAGGTACCTCCACAGTAGCTATTATACTGTATATGTACGAATATGCCAGTTAGTATATACTATATCACACATAAAATAATGCAGAGCCATATATCATATATCAATACTAAATGCTCATTCTTTCCTAACTTTAAAGCCCCAGTAAGATAGATATACTTTATTATTTTCACTCTAAAAATGAGAAAGCTAAAGCTAAGAAAGATTTAAGTGACTTGTCCAAGATCACCCAGTGGGCTAATGCACGGTGAGGACTGAGCCAGCAGGGTCTGATTGGCACTAACCTCTACACAAAATTGTCTCCATCATGTCAAGAGAATTAGAATATTATACTGTGGTAGATAATTTGCTTCTAGGATAGGAGAAGAGTTTTAGTTTACTCTGAAAATTCAGATGAACAGAACATATAATATGGCATTTATAAAGTCCTTCAGCACAATGAAATCTGAAAATTCACATTAACTAGAAATCTGTTAAAAGTATTACTGCCATCTGTTAGTAACACTTAATAGTTTAATTGTGGTCAATTTAAAGAATCATATTTGTCAGGGACAGACATAACAGACTGAAATGCTGGTAACTTAAAAAGCAAAGAATACATTTGGGTTTAGCTTTGTTTCCCTTCATAAAAGTTCTTTCTGGTGATAGCTCTATCTACCTACCTTCCCATTCTCTATTTGGACTCTTGGAAGTGCCACATGGACTTGTAGAACTTCTACATTCCAAATCTATTTGTTCTTGCCTCTGCCGCTGTTCCTCCAGGAGTGCTGATTCATGCATTGCCTTGATGTGTCGCTGGTAGAGAGCATAGCCACTCACAGGGGTTCCAAGTGGTATATTACAAGGGGTGCAAGAAACCTACAAGAAAAAAAAAAACAAGCTTAAATATGCCAATAACCAATGTAGTAGCAATGACCACCTGTTACAAGTAATGCTTATTTCTGTCATATAACCAATTGAAGTAATCATCAAGAATGTTTAAAATGATAGTTACTTTTGGAAGTGAACACAATATAAATCATAAAAGCTGTGATAAATCAACATCATAAATCAAAGCACATCACTCTGATTCTAACTTGTGATGACCTGTAGCCTTGCTCTGGGGCCAAGACCCTCAGCAAAGCAAGATCGTGTCTTAAACTAAAAAATAAACAGGACTGGGGAGGTAGCTCAGTGGTAAAGTGCCCTTTAGGTCAATTCCCAGTATGAATTTAAAAAAAAAAAAAAGAAAGAAAGAAAGAAAAAGAAAAGAATGAATTTTTCTATTTCTAAGACACTTCTTCCAAGTTTCACATTCATATATAGAACTTCCCGACTCTGAGCTTACTCCCAGCCTTTGAGTCCACTTGAATATCTCAAAGTAGCTCAGAACTTATATTCAAAATGAACTTTCCATTTCCTAGAACTTTTATATTAAAAGTATTACTGCCATCTGTTAGTGACATTTAATAGTTTAACTGTGGTCAATTTAAGGAATCATATTTGTCAGGGACAGACGTAACAGACTGAAATGCTGGTAACTTAAAAAAGCAAAGGATACATTTGGGTTTAGCTTTGTTTCCCTTCAGAAAAGTTCTTTCTGGTGATAGAAGCCGAATGCTTCTTCTTTATCATTCTCCATCTCAGAAATAGAGCCTCAGTCAGAAACCCAGAAGTTACCCTTGACTAATCAATTTCCTTCCATCTCACAACCAATTTGTTAATGTATCAATTCTTTTCAGGAAAAAAATGGACTGTTCTTTCTTCAGAGAGACATCCAGTAAAATGGTGAATCCTCCTCATTCTGCTTCTTACATGGCCTTCTTATATGGAATACCTAGCACTTAACCACAATTTGCAATTATGTTTTTCTTATTTATTTTTCTTTCTCCCACTTCATGAAGGAAAGAACACAAGCTGTTCTGTCTAATACTAAACAGCTCCAACACAATCTGTGTTAAAAAAAAATTCATGAATAATAAGCCACAGGAAGCCTAAGAGATCTATTTTTTTCTTAGCATCTGTTATCTACAGACTTCCATAGCTTTTACCCTACCCTAAGTGTGATCCCAAAACACACACATTACTTTCATGCCTTTGTGCTTTGTCTTACATGTAAACATGGCTTTTCCTCCTTCTGCCACAAAGCCAAAAGAACTATTTTAGTATTATCAAAATATGATTTCCTATATTGTTTTCTTTAAGTCTATAATTAGGAAGCTACTAATCTGATCCACTGATAAAACATAATCTTTGAAGACATTATGCTAAATGGCATAAACCAGTCCTGAAAGGACAAATACTGTAGGATTCCATTTATGTGAGGTAGTATGTTATAATAAAAGTTAAATGTTTGATCTTTGTCCCTGGTTCCTGGCACACAGCCCCTAATATCTCTGAACTCTTAGTGATTAAAAGTGTCGTTTATATGCTAATGAAATGAATGTTAGCTTGTTACCAAGGCAAGCCTCTGGGAAGGGGTGATGGGATAGAGATTTATACAATCATCACCAATGGCTAATCATCATGCCTACATAATGAAACCTCCATAAAAACCTCTAAAAGATAGGATTTGGAGTTTCTAGGTTAGTGAACACTTGGAGGAGATGGGAAGATGGCTTACCCAGAGCACGGAAGTTGGACATCTCGTCCTACATGCCTTACCCTGTGCAGCTCTTCCATTTGGCTGTTTGAGTTGTATTTTTCATAGTTAATCAGTAATGGTAAACAAAGTGCTTTCAAAAATTCTGAGAGACAGTCTAGCAAATATTGAACATACAGAGAGGGTTGCAAGAATCTCCAAAATGTAGCCTCACTGGAAAAAGTATGGGTAACCTGGGGACCCAATACTGGTATAATCCTAATATCCATGGTGTCCAGTACTAATTCAGGATAATGTCAGAACTGAATTGAATTGAATAGTAGAGATACTCAGTTGGTGTACAGAGTTGGAAACTTGGTATGACAAAAAACCCTACACATTTAGTCTCGGAAGTGTGAAAACAGTTATATCTAACGTAGTCGAATTCATAAAAACAGTAAGTGGGCTGGTGGTTAGGACAGGCAAGGCCAGATTTGAGTTGGCTAGGCAAAGAGGAATTGTTTAATTGGTAGAGAGTTTCAGATTTGGAAGAAAGTCCTGGAAATCTGTTTCCCAACAAAGCAAAAATACTTAATACTACTGAAATATACACTTAGAAATATTGGTTTAGATGGCTGGGCACAGTGGCACACACCTGCAATCCCAGTGACTTCGGAGGCTGAAGCGAGAGGAGAGCAAGTTCATAGCCAGCCTGGGCAATTTAGTAAGACGTTGTCTCAAAGTTAAAAAAAAAAAAAAAAAAAAATCAAAGGGCTGGGAGTGTAATTCAGTGGCAAAGTGCCCCAGGGTTCAATCCCTAAATAAGTTGATTATGGTGATTAATTTAACATTACATGTTTTTACCACAGATTTTTTTAGGAAATCAAGAAACAGTGAGATACGGTGGTATACACCTACAATCCCAGCAACTGGCGAGGGTGAGGCAGGAGAATCCCTAAAGTTTGAGGCCAGCCTCAGCAATTTAGCAAGATACTGTCTCAAAATAGAAAATACAAGGGGCTCAGTTGTAAAGCATCTTTGGGTTCAAGCTCCAGTGTGTGTGTGTTGGGTGAAGGAGGGAATTCGATGTAATTCAATTAAAGGAGAGAAGAGATATACCTATAAAGATCTATGTATTCACCTTCACTTTTCTTACACTGAAAACTTACCATTGGTGGTATAACAGCAGCTCGATGCTGAAGCTGTGGCAGATCCAATGGATTTGGTTTTATTGGGGATGAGACTAGTATAGATCCAGTGGGGTTTAATAATGAAGGCTTTGTGTCCATAGGAAACATTCTACAATTGGCAATAAATTAAAACAAAAAGAAGAAAAATTAATATATTTTTACTGGAGACTTCAATGTATAATCACCATAATTTCTTCAAAGTTAATATGTCCATATATGTGCATATATCTATCACATTAACTCTTATAAGATATAAACAGGGCTGGGGGTGTAGAATGCTTGCCTACTATGTACAAGGCCCTGGGTTTAATCCATAGCACCAGAAGAAAATATATATAATAATAAACTTTAAAAACAAGAAATTTGGAAAGTTAAAAAAAAAAAAACCACACAAACACAAATAATGCTAATTTCCAGAGAAATCATCAAGAAATCTAATACTGATTAACAAATTGAAATTTATCTGAATTTAATCATTTATATCTAACCCAAGTTATAGTCTGAACCAAAAAACATTAAAAATGGTTTTTGAGGCTGAGTCAAACAATCACAAAAGCCAACCTGGGCAACTTAGCAAGACTCTGTCTCAAAATAAATAATGAAAGAGTCTGGGGGATGTAGCTCAGGAGTAGAGTGCCCCTTAGTTCAATTGCTAGAACCACAAAAGAAAAAAAGTTTAATTCTAACTTACCACTAACATACTAAACAGATTAAATATATAGCATTAAAGGATGTTTTGCTGGGATCACAGGGTATAAACCAAGCTATTTTAAAACAAACTTACACCCCAAATTCCAGACTTCTGACTTCTTATGAAAAATGGAAAGTAGAAACAATGAGAATCTGCATTCCCACACAGCAGGCTTCACATAGGCTCACGTTACTGTGCTCACAGTCCCTCAGAGCCATCTCATACTCCACATGCTTCACTCAGTTAGAATACTTGAGTTTAGGCTGACCCACCTCTAAAGCTAGGAAAATTATATACTGGGGTCATCATATATAGTAGGCTTAGTCATTTCTCAATGTTGTCACAATTATTGAGGAAAGGTGACAAATATATATATATATATGTATATATATATGTATATATATACACACACACACACACATACACACACACACACACATATATATATATACACACATATATATATAGATAAGAAAATTAGAATGTGTAAAAGAAAACAATTTGCATACTGTATTAAAGGACAAAAGTGACATTAAAAATGTAAAACAGTTATTTTGATTGTTTGGAAGCAAAGTAGACTTTAGGATGTCATTCAGAAACCACCGATTTCAAGTTGGCTTTTTTTTTTTTTCCCAGTGCTAAGGATCAAACTCATGGTCTTAAACATGCTAGGCAAGAGCTCTATTACTGAATTACATTCCCAGCCCTACAAGGAACCTGACTTCCAAGACTACTGTTATATTTATCTCTTAGGATGCTCACTCTAAGATTTCGGCCATCCTGATTTTTCCTTCTGATGTAAGTATATTTATTAAAACCAGCAGTGCAAAACACAAGACAATTCTTATTTCAGATGGAATATTTCATTAAAGAATGCTTTGAAAAAGATGACACGGCTTAAACCCACTTATATTTTCTCTAGTTAAGCACTAGAGAGAGGGTAGGGAGGGTACATGGGGGCAGGAAAGATGGTGGAACCAGACAGACATCATTACCCTAGGTACGTGTATGACCCACATATGGTGTGACACTACACCGTGTACAGCCATAGAAATGTAAACTTGCGCTGTAATTGTGTACAATAAATCAAAATGCATTCTGCTGTCATATATACCTAATTAAAATAAGTAAATTAATTAAAAAAATAAAATCTGGAATATTGTGAAATAAAGGGAAAAGACTGATCTAGATGGCTGAATTTTCTGGTAAACCATGGTTGGGCAGAATGCCGATATTATTTAAATTCTTACAGATGAAAATGCTAGCATCTACTATATATAAATCTCCTTTGAGGAATCATCACTGTAATGCTGAATATTACAATGTATCCAATCTCATGCTAGAGTGTGAGGACATAAAATATCTTGGGGATAAGGACTAAAAATAGAGCGACACCAGGACATACTATGAAAACTGAACTTTGAATAGAATCTGGTTTCTATTGAGTGGCTTATTCATCTTTCTTATTAAAAAGGAAAAAAGGCCAAAAGGGGGGCAGAATTTGATTGAGTTTTTGATTAAATGATGTTTACTCTAATTCACCCCTATCCAACATTCTAATACATTTATAGGTGATTCCACTTCTTTCAAGAAATAGAAAACACCAGGATATTAAAAATACTAGGTAAAGTGGTATAAACTCCTATAAAATATGTTTTTACTATAACTTACAGAAATGCTAATTATATGATGAATTTTTACATTAATTTACCTTTAATGACTAAAAATACTTGTTAATTAATCTGTATTACACCTATTTTAAATTTAACAGATACAAAAAAGTGGTCATTATAATTATCATTAATTTGTATTTAAATTATTTTCAGAACACTTGGTATGTTTCTCCTTCTGCATTTTCTTACATCTACAATGCTGGGTCAAGTAGGCCTTGCTCTGATGCCAAGCCAGCATATATAGCAAAGCACAGCTGGAACCAATACCCCTCACTTCACTTTTTTCATCACATTCCATAGCTGCCAACTTCAGGCACCACAGTGACCTATAGTTTTACTCACAACTATGTTAGCTGAGATCACTTTTTATCTGCTATCATAGAACACATGTGAAAAGAAAGATCTAGAAGAAATTTATAATCTTTTTCATTTAAAAATAATATTCATATAACTGTTCTTTTTTTTTTCCTTAAACAGATGAACAGTATCATCATAGCCCAATATTAAAATCATACAGACTACCTGTAACTTGTCAATATCTGTATAGCAGTCATCTCTGTAGCCAGCACCATTCTGGGACTCAGTAGACAACCAGCTCAGAAAGAAGTCTCACCTCTGCCTCTCGGGGTCTCCATCCACATCTTCATCAGCACTGCATGTTGCACTGGAATCATTATCTGACTGGGGCTCTGGTCTTTGGACATTTATCTGCTGAGCCACCACCAAATCCTCATCTCTAGGCTCTGTCTTCTCACTGGCTCTCTCCAAGTCTCTTTCTTTGGTATCTCCATCACCTTTAGATGCACTGTTTTCAGGCACCCTCATTTCAACATCCACCGTGTCTGCTTTGGTAGTGGTTGGGGGATCAAGAACAGAACCTGCTTCAGCACTGTGCTCCTGATGGTCTACATCCATTGGCTCTGCTGTCTCAACACTGATGTTGTCATTCACCTTGGTCTCCACACTTTCATTTTCAGCTGGTTTTGTACTTGGAACTGCTGAGGAAGGAGATGCAACCGGTGCCGTTTCTGTAGTGGAGTCCACATCAGCCATGGGTTCGGGATTTCCTCGAGAAGCAGCATTTTCACTGCTGTCTTCGCTGGGCTTGACAGCTTCAACTGGTGAAGGAGAAGGAGCACTTTCTGTATCAGAACTATTTTCAGCACCTTAAAGATAATGATATAGCATAAAAATCTGATAATGAACATATTTCAGGTGGTGACAGAAACCATGCTTGAAAGCGGTTGTTTAGAATGAATTACATTCCTTTGATGACCTCACTGAAGTATTTACAGCCATTGGGAAAGCTAGAGTTTTCTGTGAAAGTGAGAAATTGAAATGTCTTGACCTTCTAAAATTAAAAGAGCTTTTTTACATCAAAAAATAATTTATTTTGAAATATGAAAAACAAAGAAAGATGGAAAAATGAAACAAAAACCATTTCCATAAACACTGATATTCTGATGTATTTCTTCAAGCCTCTCTCTGTGAGTTTCCTTTTATCCAATAGAGCCACACTCCAGAACAGTGCTATTCAATAAGAATATAGTGAAAATTGCATCTGTACAATTTAAGCAAATGAATGGTTGTGAGAGAGCTTAATTTTTACTGAAACTTTTTCTGGTAAAAAAACAAAAAGTAAAATGAGATGGATAAAATTAATTGTAACAATTTATTTCTTTAACCTAATATGTCTAAAGTTATTGTAACATGTAACCAGTATAGAAAATAACTATTACCTCTTTTGATAGTAAGTCTTCAAGACTACTTACATATCAAGTATTCAACAGCCTACATGAGTCAAAGTTCTAGAATAATATTTCAGATTTTTAATTTCATGTGGTAATACAGATATTTCCCTATACTGTCTGTCATTTTACAAATATACTTCTAATACACTGACATCTTCACCTAGATAAAATATACCAAAGGAATCACCAATTTAGTATGTCCTAAACTGGAATTGTAGTTAACATTCTAAAATTAGACTTTTTTATTAGTGTTTACTATATAATTAAGCATATCAAAACCTAGGAGTATCTTTTAAACCTTTCACTCATTAATCTCCATATCCTACTTTGACAAGTCTGATTTTCTAAAAATATCCCTTGAATCTATCCAATTCCGTTCAACTTTCCAATTGCCACTCTAGTCCAAAACTGACTCTTCTGTTTTGCCTTCCACTTCAGACTACTAATCTATGCTAAAGCCAGAGTAATTTTTTTTTTAAAGCCAAATCTCACCATTACTCACACTCTCTCTCCCCTCTGTTTCAACTTTTCAATAGAAACTCCATAACTCTTAGGATACAGTTCCAAAACTGTCAGCATGGCCTACAAAGCCTTGCCTGGTGGGCCTCTGCCAACCTCTCAACCTTCATCTTGCATCCAGCTCTCTGTATTCCAGCCTCAGTGGTCTGTTAAGTTTTCTGAACGTCCCAAGCATCTTCTAACACAGAGGCTTTATACCTTCCATTCAATCATACTGAAAGGCTCTTTCACCTATTTTTTTCTTTGGATACCAGCTCAAGCATCACTGATTACAAAGCATTCCATGAATCTTTTAATAAAGTTAAATTATGATATTAGAACTATTATAATGTATATTCACAATTATGTGACTCCTGGCTGTTTCTTGTAGTAGGCTATAAATGCTGTAAGGTCAAAGACCACATATTCTGATTAGCATTTAAACCCTAGAGACAAGCTCTGCCACATCAGATTCAAATATTATCAGTGAAATATAAAACAAATGAATAGCCGAGACCTTAATTTTTACCGAATCTTTCTTTCCTCTATTATTGGATTCTTACACTACTTCCAATATGCTGCTATTATTAACATTATAGAGATGTTCACTGAAGTATTAACTTTTTATTTCCCTCAATATAGACAATTTAAGTTTTTAACTCTCCCTAAAATTTACATATATATATATTTTAATATAATTCCAATGAGAATCCAAAAGGTAAGAAAAATTTCTTACACTACATGAACCAATAGTTTATATGGAAGAACAATTCCATAAGTTATTAAAGGTAAAAAGGGAAAATTTGCCTCTCTAGATATTCAAAGTGACCATAAAGCCAGCATATTAAACATGTTTAGAACTGCTACATTGGCAAAGTACATCAATGGAATAAAAGTGTCCAGGAAACAGATCCTAATGCATATGGGAAGTTAAACTATATTAAAGGTGATATTTTAAATCACTTTTTTAAAATATTTAAAAATTTTATTAAAAAAATAAAAATTTTTAAAAATATTTAAAACAATGATTTGCTTAATAAAACAGTTCTATCAGAATTGACTCTTTATCTGGGAGAAAAAGTGGGCCCTATCATCTTTTGTACAGAAAAATAATTCCAGATAAAAGAAAGATATTTTAAATGTTTAGAAATTAACATGGGACAAGATATATGCAATTTTTAAAAATATGTAGAAATATCTTCAGCAAAACAGAAAACTCTGAAGGTATATCCATTGTATGGAAAAAATATGAGCTTTTAAAAAACATTTTTAACATATGATGAAATATTTTAAAAACTACAACAGGCATGATGGTGCACACCTATCCCAACAGCCCAGAAAGCTGAGGCAGGAGGATCACAAGTTCAAAGCAAACTTCAGCAATTTAGTAAATCCCTAAGCAACTTTGTGAGACCCTGTCTCAAAACAGGCTGGGGATGTGGCTCAGTGTTAAGCATCCCTGGTACAAAATAAAAACAAACAAACAAACAACAACAAAAACCCCTGAAAATTACAAATTCAATTTCTCATTCATTTAAATATGTATAAAGCACCAACTATGTGTAGGGAGTTGAGGTACTAAGGATGTAGCACTGAAAATTTCAAATTATACATTCCCATGCAGCCCAAATTCTTATGTAAAATAGACGATGAACAATAAATATTTGGTATATCACATGGTAAAAAAAATGCAGCAACTAAATAACAAACCCAAAGATACAGTGGGTGAGGAAGGATTACAGAAGATAAAGTGGTACCTGAACAGAGTGAACCCTGAGTGAACCCTAAGCTTTGGGGAACAATATTCCAGATAGAGGGATCAGAAAGTGCCAAGGCCTCAGGTGGGACTATTTTGCTTGGTTACAGCAAAGACGACAGTGTGGTTGGAGCAGAGGGAGCAAGCAGAAAAATGGTTGGCAGAAAGTTCATAGATGTACAAAGGTCAGTTCATATAAGGCCTCAATGGTCACAATGGGCCTGGGTTTCTATTCTTTTTTCATATATGTATTTTTAGTTGTAGGTGGGCACAATACCTCTATTTTTTTTTTTTTTTTTTTGTGTGTGTGTGTGTGTGTGTGAATGTGGGGCTAGGGATTAAACCCAGGACTTTGTGCATGCAAGGCAAGCACTCGACTATATCCCCAGTCATTATCTATTTATTTTTTTTTATGTGGTGCTGAGGATCAATACCAGTGCTGGGCAAGCACTCTATCATCGAGTTACAACCCTAGCCCTGGATTTCTATTCATAAGAAGACGGGAAAGTATTACCGGAGTAGTCTGATTTACATTGTATAAGCAGTAAGGTGGCTGCTTGCTGTGTGAAAGGTTGAAAAAAAAAAGAGTGGAACCAAAAGAAGCAAGGAGACTAAACAAAAAGCTACTGCAATGGAGAGGACAGGACCACAGAACAAAAGCAGAAGCAATGGCTATAAGAAGGGATCTAATTCTGAATATATGTTTAAGAAAAACTCGACATGATTTGCTGATGGACCACATGTGGAATATGAAAGAGTGAGTAACCAAAGTAACATTTACTGACATAAAGGAAGACTGAAGGGAAGAGTAGCTTGTGGTGAGGGAGAAACAAGATTTTGCTATGGATGTTAACTCTGAGGTGGCTTGTAGGCATTCAAGTATAAATACTGAGTAGGTTAATTAGATGAATGAGCCTAAAGTTCAAGACTTCAAGTCCCCAAAATAAAAACAACAAAAAAAGAATAAAAACTCAGAAGTATCTCACACGAAGTAAGGTCTTAATAAAAGGTAGCAATTATCATTAGTGAAAGTTGCTATCAAAATGATGAAAGACTGAACAGCTTCTTCAATGTATTTCTGTGGCAACCTGCACTTGTTTCTGTTAAAGGTGGAAACTTAGGTGCAATGGCACATATCTTTAATCCCAGTGATTCAGGAGGTTGAGGCAGGAGAATTCCAAACTGCAAATTTCAGCAACTTAACAAGAGACCATTTCGTAATAAAAAATAAAAAAGGGCTGGGATATATAGCTCAGTTGTAAAGTGTCTCTGGGTTTATTCCCCAGGACTATGAAAAATAACTAAGTAAATAATTAAAGTAAAAAATAAACACTTAAGCCTAAATGAACCTTTGTTTATATAGTGATGGGAAGCCCCCAATCCAGGGGCAAAATGACAAGTTGCTTTTCCTCAAAATAATAGAAGATATGTGTCAGTGATTGTGCAATAGATGTCACTTGAAATAAGCACTTTTTCTTTCAAGCCACAAGAGTAGGAATATTTCTAGTGCATAATGCTTCATCAAGCACCAACCAAAAATACCTTTCCTTCCTAAAAATAAAAAGTAAAAAATTGGCTGGGGATGTGGCTCAAGTGGTAGCGCACTGGCCTGGCATGCGTGCGGCCCGGGTTCGATCCTCAGCACCACATACAAACAAAGATGTTGTGTCCGCCAAAAACTAAAAAAATAAATATTAAAATTCTCTCTCTCTGTCTCTCTTTCTCTTTAAAAAAAAAAAAAAAAGTAAAAAAAAGAGCAACTTCAAAATTTGGTAAAGTTTAAATCCAGAACTCTAATTGTGGAGATAATCAGATGTATTTGAGGAAAACGGACACAGCAATTCTCCCTTCAGCAGGTGCTTTCCTTCTTCCACTGGCAAGAGCACTGCCATACAAAACAGTGAATCTACACTCTAAGATGTAGATTAGCAATCTTAGATCACATAAACTGCATTTTATATTCTTTTTTTCTATGATACTTTCCAAATGAAGTTAAGACAAAAAGAAATGCAGAAGAGATCTCAAAACTTCTACTGGCAAGTTCATTTCCTACAGGTAGAACACAATTCTAGATGTCACAGGATACCCACATGTTTGATTAACAAAGGATGTGACCATGCCATCCTACACTGGATCAGACGGATATTCTATCATAATACCACACTTGGCAATTTGAAAAACAAACAAAAAAGCTTCATAGTAAGACAAAATAACAGAAAGAAAACAGATGGGAAAAAGTCACTTTCTGGTATCAAGTTTTTGAGACTCTGCTAACCTATACATGAATAGACTTTTCTATTCAGAAATTAACAAATTTATGATAATAGGCTTGGGCTTTATTATAGACTGAACTGTGTTCTGTTTCCCCAATTACTATATTGAAGCCCAAACCCAACGTGACTGGATTTGTAGAAAGGGCCTCTAATTGAGGTAACTGAGGCTAAATGAGAACCTAACAGTGGGATCTAACCCAGCATGGCTCTTTTAGAAGAGAAAAGATACCAGGAGTGTACAAACACACAGAAAAGGTCATGTGAAGACAAAGTGAGGAAGCAACTATCTGTAAGCTAGGAAGGGAATCCTTATCAGAAAGCAATTCTGTCATCCCCTTGATCTAAATTTGAAAACAAAGTTTTGCATTTTAAGTGACTCAGACTATACCATTCTATTATGGCTGCCCAAGGAGATTAATACAGTTGTCCCCTCTTATCCATAGAAATGAAAATAGTACCAAAATCTACATTTGCAATGTCTTCTCTATATATTTATACCTGTGATAATCTGTAAATGAGGCACAGTAAGAGATTAATAACAATAACTGATAACAAAATGGAATAATGACAACAATATATTGTAATAAAAATTACATGAATGTGATCTCGGTTTCTTTCTCTCTCAAAATATTGTATTTTTCCATTTAGTATTATCAGACTCAGTTGCCTGTGGATAACCAAACCTTGGATAAGGGGGACTATTGTATAGGCTTCATTTACATTCATAAACCCAGGGTATATAAGCTACCGGATACAAACTTACTAAAAGGAACAAACCCTGATGACCTCTGGAAGCATGAGGAATACACCTGTCTTCCATTGTTAGCAGAACTCTTAATCTAGCCAGGGTAAGCTTGTTTCAGTATTCTCTTTACACTTGTATCAATCACCTCATTTTCCACAAAAACCTCACAGAAAAGTTTCATTATTATTCAAAGCCAAAACCCATTTCAAGACAGGTTTTATGTTTAAAAGGTAACAACAATAACCTGTAGAAATAAATAAAATCCAATATTTCTAGAATTGGGGGATGTAAAGCTTCCTAAGCTTTATAAAATATAAAGGCCTACAAAGGAAAAGATAAACAGCTCTAATTAAACAAAGTTTAAACTCTAGTAATTCAAACATTAAAAAAAAACATTTTAGATAGGTGTATATAAAACTTAAACATGTTCAATAGATAATTTATAAAGAATAGAAGCATTATGAAAATCCCCACAAAGCAATCAATTTACAAAAGAAATAAATTAGATGAATTAATTAGGTACCTTTTCTTTAACTAGCAAAAACTCAGAAAATACTTACTTTTGTAGGAAGTTGTCGTTTTTTTGAATGACAAAAAGGGATTTTATTAAGTATTTTACTGGGGCTTCCAGGGTCATTAATTCTTGTTACATGAAAGCATACATATGACATATGTAAATATTTGTCCAAATATGAAATAAATCAACCTCGAAGCAATAAAATAAGGAGAAAAATGTAACTAATGATACCAGTTGAACAAGTAAATTTGGAAATGATACAAATGTACAGACATTTTATGGATGCTGAAACTTGGAGTTTGACGCAGGACTTGTTGTGATCTTCTGGCTGTAGGACCCAGACCATCTTAAGTGCTACATAAATAAAAATTTGTTGATCAATTGAATAAATATATTATATTCAAGCTTAAAGACTATGCCATGACAACAAAGATATACCATTTCTTCAATAAAGCAATTCCTACAAAGTTAAGCTAAAAATAATGTATTTGAGGTAAAAATCACACTAAATTTAAGATTTTTAAGATACCTTCACTATCTTCAGGATTTTCTTCTTCATTGGAAGCTTCAATATCTTCATCTTCCTGAGCAGAAACGGTGGAAGCAACACTTTCACACTGAGACACATCACGTTCTTCACGAGGTTTTCGTGAAGCCTAAAGGAATACATGATATTATTTGTGATTTAAATAGCTAAGAAGAAAAAAAAAATCAAACCTTTTCCCTTCTGAAAAAATATAGAACACTGACACACACATACAAGATGGTTATGTGGGGCTGGGGCTCAGTGGTGGAGCACTTGCCTAGCACGTGTGAGGCACTAGGTTCAATCCTCAGCACCACATAAATAAAAAAACAAAAAAAACAAATAAAGGCATTGTGTCCATCTACAACTAAAAATATTTTTAAAAAAAGAAACAGAAAAAGATGGTTATGTGTGTGACAATTCTCTCGTTATTGTGCAGGCAACCACTGTCAGTTCTTTTGTGCAGATGGGTCAATTTCACAAAACTGATGAAAAGTTTACATCTGAACCATTTTTGGGACCACAAGTTTTCATGATCCTTTCCTACTCCAGGAAATGTATTTTTGTAAGTAAAATAATATTTATTTTCAAATAAACGTAACTTACAGATTAAAACGTGGAAGATACAGAAAATTGAATTTTAAAAAATTCTCATAATTTCAAAAGCTAGAGATTCCAAGTATACTAGTACAGTTCCTTTTAAGTCCTTTAGATGCATGTACACGTATAGAAATCTGTCCACAGCTTGGACAGACCCATGTAGTCATATATCCCAAGTCTAATTTTTTTTTTAACCTAAAACAGCTTTGAAAAGAACATATCCCTATGCTACAAACTCTTCAAAATGGTTCTTACAAAATATTCCATAAAAATACAGTTATCAGTGTACAGTTAAATTCTCCTATTTTAAGGCATTTGAGTAATTTTCAAGAATTTTTAAGAATTAGGCAACTTTATGGGCAATAATAAATCATTTCTTTTACTATTAATGAAGACAAATTCCTTCTATGTTTTTCTTCAAATTTGTTTAGATGTTGATGGACCTTTATTTTATTCACGTATTCATATGTGGTGCTGAGAATTGAACCCTGTGCCTCACACATGCTAGGCAAGCACTCCACCACTGAGCCCCAGCCCCAGCCCTTGTTGTTCTTTAAATAGTGTGTTCCATTCTGCAAATTATGTGTTTATGTAAAATCGCTCATTCTTCTAATGAAGCCTCATAATTTATTATGTGTGTACATATTTAAATGGAAGATGCTTGCTACTTACACTATATTTATAGCCTTATGTTGCTAGATACAAAACTTAAGGTCTCCTGTGTTTGCAGGTATTGGCACTGGAAGTTCTGTTCTATGCCCATCATGTATTTCACCTGTCAGCCTCTACCACTGAGACTCTTCATAGAGAGGAAAAAATATTATTACTGCCCCAACCTGCTAAAAATTACCAAGATGCCTAGTCATTATTCTTAGTTAATATATGATAATGCTATTTAGGATCCAACCCACAGCATTAATTAACTGAAGAGAAACAATTATTTTCCAATATTAATCAGAGTATCCCTAGGAGGAATGAAAGGAAACAATCCCAGAAAGGCACTCCATGTTTCTTAAAAACCTATCAGAAGGGGCTGGGGTTGTCGCTCAGAGGTAGAGAGCTTGCCTAATACATTTGAGACACTGGGTTCGATCCTCAGCACCACATAAAAATAAATAAAATACAGTTATTATGTCCATCTTTAAAAAAAAAAAGATTCCATGAATGCTACCATAATATTTTCAAGCATTAGATAACAAATAGTATATGGATTTTTGCCCCTCCTTTGCAAATATTAACCCATTCTGTTTAGTCCTTTAACTAATGATTATAGAAGAAACAGCTTTTCACTACCACTGGGTAAAATTCTGCTCTTCACATGCAATAACCTGCAACATCTTCAAGCATTTTCTTCACTGAGATTTGACATTCCAAAACCTATGACATCTATGCATTCACCAATTTGATGAGTAAATTTGGCAAGATGCACAGGCATTTTATTTAACACCTACATATATACTACTGAGGATTGACAAGTATTAGTCATTTTAAGTGATGCTGGGGATTGAACTCAGGGCTTCACATACCCTAGGAAAATGCTCTATCACTAAGCTACATCCCCAGCCCTTGAAATATTTTTTAAAAAGATAAAACACTCTAGATAGCAAGAGAAGTCTGCTGTCTTCTATCATTTTAATTGTGATTAATCATAATGATTAGAACTAGATGTTTTAGAGATGTTTGTGATTTTGTATGTCAGCTTGGCTAGGACACTTTGCCCAGAGAGTTGACCAAACATTACTCTGGATGTTTCTGTACAGGTGTAATAAGATTAACATTTAAATGAGTAGGCTATAAGTAAAGCATATTACCCTCCATGGGGAGAGGAGGGGAGGAGGGCTCATCCAGTCCACTGAAGGCCTAAGCAGAACAAACACTGGAGTAAGGAGGAATTCTGAAGCAGAATGGACTCCAATTCTTTTCAAAGTCTTTTCAGTCAGCCTACCCCACGGAAGTTAAACCCTCACGATCACATGGGTAAATTCCTCCCATCTTGCTCTTCTTCCTTCCTCATCTTTCATTTTTTTCTTTCCTTATACCTCTCTCTATACATACACGTTCACATACTGCTGATTTTTATCCTTGAGAACCCCAACTAGTATGTTTCTTTTTGTTTTTGTTTTCTTAAATATGGGGGATTAAGCCCAGGGGTGTTCTACCACTGAGGGATCATCCCCAGCCCTATTTTGAGACAGGGTCTAAGTTGTCCAGCTATAGCCTCAAACTTGCGACATTTGTGCCTCAGCTTCCTGAGGTGCTAGAATTACAGGTATCTGGCTAAAATATTTATCTTTAAAAAAATAACAGCTGGCTTGACATGGTACCATGCCTATAATTTCTGTCACTCAGGAGGTCAAGGAAGGAGGATCACAAATTCAAATCCAGCCTCACCAATTTAGTGAGACCCTGTCTCAAATAAAAAATAAAAATGTGCTGGGGGGAGTAGTTTAGTGATAGAGGGAACCTGGATTCAATCTCTAGTACTAAAAAAAAAAAAAAAAATTACAAAACAAACACAACAAACATTTGATTCACTGTTTACTTGACTTTCTCCCAAAACATTTTAGATGGTATCTCCTGAACTCAAGACTTCATCTTGTCAAAATATTTTTTTGTTGTGTTATTTTCTGTTCTTTATGTTTTGGTTCTTATAGGACCTTTAAACTATTGCAACCTCAAAGTTCCTTTGTATATACTCTTTTGAGTCAATATTGTATTTGAAGGGCTAGGGCTGTGGCTCAGTGGTAGCATACTTCCCTGACATGTGTGAGGCACTGGGTTCGATTCCCAGCACCACATATAAATAAATAAAGTTCTATCAAAACTAAAAAAAATATTTTTTAAAATATTATATATCAAGAATATATGATCTTTCAATTTAATTCATCTATTATAGATATCTGATTTTCCCTGCACATTTTACTGAAAAGACTGTCCTCTCTCCCATTGAATTGTGTCCTTTGCTGAGCATCATTAAATCTTAAATGTGGAAAAAAAAAGAGTATATACTCTTCTTTGTAAGTTCACATCTTAGTAAGCTTAAGTATTTGTTCATTACTCATTCTTCTCTCCTTAATGATACTAAAACATTTTGGTCTAAGAACCCTAAAGTATCAAAAAGTAATAAGGGGCTAGGGTTGTGGTTCAGTGGTAGAGAGCTCACCTAGCGCGTGCAAGGCCCTGGGTTCGATCATCAGCATCATATAAAAATAAATAAATTAAACAAAGGTGTTGTGTCCAACTACAACTAAAAAATAAATATTTTTTTAAAAAGTAATAAGGACCCATAGAGTCTGTTTTCTGATATTGTACCAAAATAGTTGCTAAAAAGTTTGATGAAATCTGAAACCACATTAATAAAACTTTTTTGTACTCTATTATGTTAAAGTTTATTAATTTGTCTTATACTTCCATATGGGAATCCTTTAGCAATAAATAATATCCACTGTAATATCACCAACTGGTCATTTGAAAAATACTGAAGAGCTGGAGATACAACTCAGCAGTAGAACATTAGCCTAGCATGCATAACACCCTGAGTTCCACTGCAGCATCAAAAAAGAAAAGCAAAAAGTACTTAGTTATGTAGATTTTTCAAATTTAGATATACTTCATTATATAGCAAATCACCAAATTATTTATAACCACTGATCTCATCAAAACAGTGTAACTAGTTGGGCATGGTACATGCCTATAATTCCAGCAGCTCAGGAGGCTGAGGCAGGAAGATCACAAGTTCAAAGCCAGCCTCGGCAACTTAGTGAGACCCAAAGCAACTTAGTGAGAGACCCTGTCTCAAAATAAAATTTAAAAAGAAAATAAAAAGGTGTGTCAGTGGTTGAGCATTCTTGGGTTCAATCTCTGGTACAACAACAACAAAAAAGTGTAACCAGAACATATTAAGTTCATGCTACCATACTATGGATCTGGAATACCCCCAAACCTCCATGTGTTAAAGGCTTGGCCTCAGCTCATGGAAATGGTAGAATCGTTAAGAGGTGTGCCCTAGCAGAAGAGCTCAGGTTGCTGAGTGTGTGTCCACGAAGGAGACATCAGGACTGGGTGCCCTTCCTTCCTGTGTATTTTCTCATATAGGCCATCAGGTGAACAGGCTTCTTCTACCACTGCTCCTGCCATGATGTGCTTGCTACCTTACCACAGGCTCCAAAGCAACCATAAACTGAAATCTCAAAAACTGCGAGGCAAAATAAACCTCTTTTCATTTTGATCATCTTAGGTATTTTCCTACACTTAGGGAAAACCCACACACAGTAAAGTATAAGCATTTTCCAAAATTCTCCTTTTCATTTGCAAGCATGAAATTTAAAAGTGACAACAAATACTATTTGTTGTTTATTCTGAAAGACAGGCTCACTTATTGTCAGAAAAAAACACAAAACAAAACAACAACAACAAAAAACCTATCTGCCAAATACAAAAATTTGAAAAATCACATTGTCATGCTTTCAAGTAAAAACAATATTCTATGAAAAAGGGAACATATTTCAGCCTGAAATTCAAACACCTGCAAAAGCACTTTTCCATGATAGAATAATCATATTTTTGTAAAAGAGCCATGTGTGTACTTACCATTTCATTACACAGAGTAGTAAACTATGAGTACTTTAATGTAAAAATTCAATCAAATTAATTTTTATTCTTCATCAAGGACATTCTTCAGTAAAACTAGCTTTTTCATTTTATTTTATCTTATTATCTATGGTGCTGGGGAATCAAAACAGGGCCTTGCAAATGCTAGGCCAAATGCTCTACCACTGAGTTAAACCTCCACTTCTGAATCTGGTACTATTTTTTAAAAGTTGCTTGGAGATAAAGAACACATTGAGTACCAGCACACTGAGTATCCTGCCACCAGCAGTTTTATCCATCAATCCAAATATTAATAGAAAAAAGCAAATAACATCTTAATAGTTTCATGAAAGTATAAGCATTTTCCATTTTTACCTCAAAGGACTCTCCAAAACTCTAAGAACTACTATACTAAAACTTCCTTATAAGAAAAATTCCAATAATAGTAATTTATTTCAAGTAAATTTTCAATAATTTGAAAATAATAATAATTTGAGTATAACCCCTGGTTTTTTATTCCACACAATCTTTGTCTTTGAAAAAAACATTTTTTTAATATACCAAATCGACTCATTCAATATGATAAAACGTCACCTAAAGTTTTCAATTAAACTTCCCATCTACAGTAATTCAAAAGTACTGAATTCCCATTACTACAAATAGAAACCTTTTTGATTAGTAAAAAGGAAACCAGTTGACCTGTACCAAGAAATTAGAATACTTCTTACAGGTAAATGCATAAATACAAATACAAGATACAAAAAAGTGTCTCCAAAATCAATCTCTGAAGTTTGAAAACACTTGAAGTTAAAAAAAAAAAAAAAAAGATAAATCAAAGCTTCTCTACCTCTTATATACTCACTTTCTGTTTATGCTGTTGCAAGAGGTTGTCGAGATTGTGTCGTCTTTTATAGTTAAAATAGAAGTTTTTACACTGAGCTTCACTTTTAGTTCCCACCATTTTGGCAATTGCTGCCCAGTTACGGCCATGTTCTACTAGGCCTGTATTTTAAAAGCAGATGAAGCATTAATTGAATAGTGACTGCAAGCAAGAGAAATAATAAATCAATGTAATCACTGTATTTACAATCATTAACACTACAGACACTCTTTCAATTACTTATGAATGTACTTCAATATTTACTGACTGAAAACTCATTTTTGTCCTGTATTTTCCCCCCAATTTAAAATATGCTCATTAATAGAGGGCTAAATCTTACCTGTGCTATGTATATTTACAGGGACAGGGCAACACTGGACCCACAGTTATAGTTCAAATGCTTGCAAACTAAGCAATTAGGTACTTCTAGATCCTAGAGACAGTGTATCAATAATAAGGTAATCAAATATAAATGACTAACACAGTCTCATTTGTAGAAAACCTCACTGATAATCAAGATTTATGCCAGTCAATTCATAATCAAGCAATGCCCTCAAAAAATTTACCAGTTTTTAAAAATCCTGTTTTAATATAACGCATCACAGAAAATTATGCAATTTAATAATTCTCTAATCAAACAACTATACACACATATATACGTGGAAAAATATGAATATATAATTGTATATATACATACATAGACAACAATATAAAGATATACTTTAGATACAGGTATACATAAACAGAAATTCCCAGTACAAATTTAACAATTCATAGGTAAACATCAGTTTTTCAAGGTTAATACAAATAGCTCCCTTAATAATAAGGGAGAAAGACCATTACCAAATCTTGCCTGATAGTTTCTTAAAGAGTATAGATTAGACACTTAAACACAGATATATCTGTCTGAAAAAGACCATTCCATGATAGAGCTCACACCTGCTTGTTTAAATATGATATTTTGATGATGACATGAGAATAAACGTGAATCTTCTCAAAAACAATGCAGATTTAGCATTTGCCAATCATGGCAAATAAGGTTCAGATAAAAATACTTTGAAAATAGAACACTGTAAACTGTTTGATTTTTGGTTAAGTTTGCTTATACTTGAGTCTAAGACACATTATTTATTATCTGATAAATAGTAAATAAATCTGAAATATGTCACCAAAAGGCCAAGTTACATATAACAATTTCCCTTTGGAACTACAAGGTAAATATTTAAACAACAAAAGAATTAATCTTTCTTAAAATTAACTACCAATATTTACCCTAATGTAATTTAGTTCAATTTTAAATCATACTACATTAATAAGCAACAAGAGAAAACTACAAGGTACATAAAGTTCCATAGTAAGATGACACAGTAAAGTAACAGAGAAGAACTCAAAACTTCAGTCTGATTGGCTATAAACTTCATGTTCTCTCCTCCTCAGTGCAATTTCTTTAATGGTTTATTTATTCTATTTCTGTGGAATTGGGGATTTAATCCAGGGGCATTCTACCACTGAGCTACACTTCATTCTGTTTTATTTTTAGTTTTATTTTGAGTCAGTGTCTCCCTGAGTTGCCCAGGGTGGCCTTTAACTTTCAATCTCCCAAGTATCTGGAATTACAAATATGGGCCACTATTCCTGACACTTAATGGTTTATAATCAAAAGACTTAACCCAAATGCAAACTGAAAAAGTAGGTGCCATTTTATTGAATGCAACTCTAAAACAACATAAATATGGAATTTATATCAAAGTTTGTTCCAAAATAAATTCAATAGCAACTATTCTGGAAAAGCTACTTGTTTTATGAAGATATTCAAAATAACATTATAGTACCTTAAGGGTACTATACTATCAAAAAGAACTCTTAAATTTGCTTAGAAACCCTACCCTCTTGGAAGAACCTTTTCATTTCCTAAATTACAAAAGTATTTCTATTATGCTCATGACTAATCACCCTTTAAAACAAAAACAAACTAAAAAAACCTTGAGAAGATCTAACTATTATAATTTACCTTTTTTAGCCACTTCCATTTCTTCTTCTGTCCATCGAGAGGTCTCCACAGGCTCTGTGGAAACTAAAACAAAAGGAGAAAACCCAGTTAAGCAGAGAGGAAAAAAAGAGAGAGAAAGAAAAATCCTTCGCAGGGTAGGGTTGCACACACCAGAAATCGCAACAGCTTGGGAGGCTGAGGCAGGAGGACTGAGTTCAAAGACAGCCTCAGCAACTCAGTGAGACAGTGTCTCTAAATAAAACACAAAAAAGGGCTGGGGATGTGGCTTAGTGGTTGAGCGCCCCTGGATTCACTCCCTAGTACCAAAAACAGAAAAGAAAAATCCTTCATTCCGACAAACAATGTAATCTGTAAACTCTTCGAACCTGCTATAAAGTCTGTTTACAGCATTTGGTGGGAAATAAAAACAACAACTATGAAAATTAGATGCTATCAGTCTCTTTTCTATCAACCAGATGGAAAAGTTTTACTTTTCTCAACAACACAATCTTTCTCAATGTTCTCAGAAGTTCTATCCATGTCTACATGTTTGAATACCTTTAGCTTAGTTTTAAGAAAGTCCCACCTCATCCAATGCTTTCCAGCTTAAAAGATCACTCCTCTTTTCTTGCATTGTCAAAGGACAAAATAACCCTGTTTCTTTTTGTCTGGGAACAGTGCCCTCTCCCTTTCTCTGAACCCTCATCTTGACCTAACTCTTTTTGTTCATTTCTGTTTCTGGTATCCAGCAGGCACAAAGGGATAATGCATTGAACGCTTGCTCTCTTACTTCAGAAAGAAAACTGAAAATATCAAGCCTGAAATGAACTCTTGCTACATTCTTACTCAATTAATAGTAACACAATCATCTGAATTATGAATAGGCTCCTCAGACTGATTTTTGAATCCTCCTTGTCACTTACTACTCACACCCAATGACATGTATCAACTATCGTCTCCTTCACATATACAACATCTGCTTCCATTCTTGAGCCCATCTAATCTGACCTTCACCTACTACTTCCAGACCTATCTTGCTAAAGTACAAATCTAATCAGAGCACTCTTCTATGTAAAAACCTTTGCAAGCTCTCTCCTTTGTAAGCAAAACAAGATATAGTTCACACAAAGCCCATCATGATCTGCCCCTCTGCCTATGTTTGTTTTTTGTTGTTGTTGTTTTTGCTACTGGGGATTTAACTCAAGGGCAGGAGCATTACCACTGAGCTACACTCATTCCTAGAACTTGCACTATCTTTCATACTTCATGTTATGGGAAAATTGGTACCACGAATCACTAATGGTGGTACTTATCATTCAAACAATCCTTTTATAAACTAATGAGACAGTACTTTTTAAAAGAGAGAGAGAAATATGCTTGGATTCTTAGGCCCAATATAAATTTGCCTAAGAATTTATTCCTATGAAAAATAATTTAACAGAAAAACAATGCTATGTGCACAGATTTTTTTTCCCATTATAGTGTTGTCTATATTGGTTTAAGATGAGGAATGGGACTGCCTGATTAAATAAGTCATGTCTCAGGAAAAAAATGCCAACACTTATGGCCATTTACAAAGTAAAAATGGAGATTACTAAGAAATTAGAAAACATCTGATATATAACAAGTAAAAATATTTAAAAAAAGGTGATACGCCCACTAGGATTATAACTAATTAAAAAAGAAAAACAGCTGTATTTGAGTAGCAAGATTGTGGCTCATGTTCATTTTCAAAAAAATTGACATTAATAAAGTTCAAAAAATTTAAAGATCAGACTTCAGGATTATTTGTAGATTATCAACATTAGAGAGCCCTAATACTGAGAGAGAATTCCATACAAATTATGGCCTATTCATGCCAATTCCTCCCACTCACCAGGTTCTGGTGGTGGTGGCAGAGGTGGTGGAGGCTCTTCAGTGGCAGCTGCAGCTGCGGCACTGGCAGCTGCCGCTTCATTTGTCATGGACCTGGTGATTCGCCCCTTCCGGCGGCCTTGACTGTTGGCAGTTTTTCGCCCCCTAGGCGTGGACTGTTCTCTCTCCTCAGTTTCTTCTGTTGTAGCTTCCATCTTATCCTTTTCCTTGGTATTTTCTCTGGAAACAAAAACAATGAAAATTTGTGTGTATCAAAGAAGGCTGCAGTTTTGGACATCCTTTACTTAAAAATTGAATAAATCTAACCAATCTCTTATTTATTTTTAAAAAATTTAGGTAAAATTCTTTTTTTTTTTTAAGAGAGAGAGAGAATTTTTTAAATATTTATTTTAGTTTTTCGGGGGACACAACATCTTTGTTTGTATGTGGTGCTGAGGATCAAACCCGGGCGGCACACATGCCAGGCAAGCACGCTACCGCTTGAGCCACAACCCCAGCCCCAGGTAAAATTCTTTTATGCCCTAATTTTGAAGAGTTTTGGCTGGTTAAAATGAAAATATTCCATACGTTTTTTTAAAAAAACATATTAATGGACTTACATTTTAAACATATTTCAAATTAACTGATTCAAAACCAGAACATTCCACGAGGAAATTAACAAATGGCAGCACAAGATCCCCTAGACCTGCAATTCAAAGACATGGTCTATACCAAACGGCAGGAGTCCTGGGTGTTTTACACTTGTTCTAAGTTGTCTTATTAGTGAAATGAAGAAGCTGAAACAGATAGTAAGTACCTTTATGATTGATGCTTACTCTATAGTAATAATCTACAATACTGTTTCATTAAACCAGACTCAGTGTTCTGAACCACCACCAATACTGATTACACCCCAGGGCAAAGATGCCTTGGATTTACTAGCCTAGCAATAACTTTGGAAAAACTGCCTCATTCCCATGAGCCTCAGTTTCTTCATCTGTAAAATAAGGATAATGGTAATATATTTCATAGAGCTGTTGCAAAGATTAAAGAATAATAAATAAAAAAAATAAAGAGAGGAGGGGTGGCAATCTAAGATGGAAGGCACTGAGTAAGGGGTCACTTTTTCCAAATTAAAGGTGTTCAAACATGTAGATATGGCATGAAACTTTTGAGAACACTAATACATGACCCTGAGAAGTGTGGTATTCCAACTGCCAACACAGAAGCAAACTTGACCATATCTCAATTTCCCAACATGCTTTATTAATTCTTATTTCCAAGATTTTTTCTCCTTGTAAACAGTTCTTGTATCTTGCCTTGCTCTCCCCTAGTAGATTATAAACTACCTGGAAATAGTATATATCTTAAGTATTTTTTGTATTCTCCTTAAGGTTTAGCCCAAATAGATAATGAATTGTTAAAATAACTTAGAAGCTAGGTGTGGTCGTGCACACATGTAATCTCAGCTACCTGGGAGGCAGAAGGATTGCAAATTTGACGCCAGCCTCAGCAACTTGGCAAGACCCTATCTCAAAATAAAAAATATAAAGGGCTGAGGGTATAGTTCAGTGGTACAGTGCCCTGGATTCAACCCCAGTACTGCCAAAAATAAGTAAACGCATAGACACATGCACACATACATACAAATATATACACAAACATTCAAAACAATAACAACAATAGATATTTTAAGAAAAAAGTAAAATTAAGGTATAGCAGTTCTAAGAAAGAAAAAAAAAAGATAAAAGTAAAACCAGGTAAGGTAGTTCCACTTGAGCAGAACCACTGACTATGTGGTAGGATAAAAGTTTAACCTAAACTAAAATAACCTAAACTTTTCCTTTATACGCATCTTCCTAAGATATAAAATTAGAAAAGCATGAATATCTAACACTTTTCAAACCATGTCAATTGACTTAGGCAGCTTTAGTCACCCCAGAACTAGGTAAAACTTAAGTACTTCCAAGAGGATTACAGAAACAAAATAGATATTAAAAAGGAACGAACCATTTACACATCAAACACCCTGGATAAATCTCGAAGAAATTTATAAGTTAATAAGTCACATAACACATTACATACTTGCTATAGTCTGGATCTTAAATATTCTCAAAATATTTTAAAATGTGTTTAAAAGTTTGGTCCCTAGGGCAGTACTAAAGAGAGACAATGGAGCCTTTAGAAGGCAGAGCCTAGTGGGAGGTTTTTAGGTCATTGGGGGCTTGCCCTTGAAGGGAATTCTGGGACCCTGGCCTCTTCCTCTCTTTCTATCTTCTTTCCTTCCTGGCCAGGAGGTTAATGGTTTTGTTATTTCATGTGCTCCCTTGATGATATGCTGTGTTGCCACAGGCCCAAACAATTATGGATTGAAACCTCCAAATATATGAGCCAAAGATATAAGTTGGTTATCTCAGGTATTTGCTATAGTGACAGAAACCTGACTAATATATACTGTATGACTCCATTTCTATATAATTCTAGAATAGGCAGAAGCGGTTGCCACAGGCTAGGAATGGGGGCAGAGAAACCTATTACAAATTTGATGTCACTTCAAAGAAACCTACAGGAATAGGATGATTGGAAATGCTCTACACAAGTACATACACTTGTCTAAACACATCAATCTAAAATTGATGAATTTTAGTCTACATTATTTATAAACATAATCGTTCGGGGGTAAACAACCAATCCAGTGCCTGAGGCCCTCTGTGCCTAAATGTATACAAAAGCCTCAGTGGCTGTCTCTGACTGGCAAAATGACAGATTAACTTTCATTATACTTTGCTTTCTTTTCCCGATTTTCTATAATGAACATGAATTACTTTTTATTACCAGGAAAATGGCAACAGCAAATAAATTGGGAAATGTATTTTATATAATATGGTCAATGAACCTAGAATATACTATATTAGTGAAAAGTTCCTTTCTCAGCATTTTTACACTACCTAAGGTACACTATCTGAGGCTCATAAAAGAGCCTGAGGAATCTTCCAAATCCAAGATTAAATTAAATTCAACACATCTTTGTGAGAAGTACGCATTATTGTAGCTCATCCTGTCTGAAAAGAAGTAAGTCATGGCTGGCAAATAAATACAATAAGCCAAAAAATTATACTTCATTACTTAGTCATGTCAAATAACAAAACTCATATCCTACTGATTCTTTTATCCAATATTTCACACCTTCAAAAGACTGTTTCATTATTTAAAAGTAACTACAACACTTATTAATAATTATTTAACTCACTTAGAGTCCTCCTTCTCATCCTTTTCCTCTTCATCTTTCTTTTCTTCTTCTTTTTTTTCTGTTTTTTCTGCTTTATCCTCTTCTTTTTCTTCTACTTTTTCTTCTTGTGAGGGTCGGGCAATTTGCTGCTAGAACAAATCATCATTTGTGAAACACAAAGGTACCAGCAATAGATTCTCAAATTGTGATGACAAATTATAATAGCCATCTAAACATTTTAAATAATTATTAATCATTTACAATATAATTGGTGGCCATGAATTAAAAATCAAGCAATACTTTTATGATATATTTTATATGTATTATCTAAAAGGTATTATACATACATACACAAATGCTCAGAGCATTTAGATCTATCAGAGAGGTGAAAATGTTAAAATTCCACTTGGAAATCTGAGATTGGTGCTCTCTTTGCAAGCCCTATCTAATCTGTCACTCAAGAATTCCATTTCAAAATATATTTCAAAACACATATACAATTTTTTCAAACCATCCCTATCATTAAATACTTAATGTATTCCTATTTTTTCCATTATTATAAATGAAACTATAAGAAACATCTTTATGCATTTTTGGGAGGAACATCCATTTAATGAGTAGTTGACATTTAATGGAATAGTTGACTGAAGTAATTTGGAAAAATTCTAAAGATATAGTACATTGAAGAGAAGTAAAACATTCAAATATTCCTAAGCTGAAACTACAACCATGTAAATGTGTTCCTACATACTCCTAAAAGAAAACACCGAAGAAAGGTATTGGGCAATCAGACCCTTTCATTTCTGATGTCACATTTGTTAAAACTGCAAGTCTAAAAGAAAAAACTAAGAATGCTGTATTATTTTTATTTAATTCAGAAATCAAGACTGCATAATGTAATGAGGACAGAACTCTAGGGCATCTTTACTGAAAAGCCTATTGGCCTGTGCATATTTCCCTCCAACGCCCATCCTTCCCACATTCTTCTTACTGCTCTGGACTCATCTTCACAAGCCCAGCGCTTTCTTACCTTTGTCTAGAATACCCTTTCTGCCCTTTCTTGCCTGGAAAAATCCTACATATGCTCTGAGACGAAATTTGAAATGCTACATTTCCTGGGAGGTAAAATCACAATAACCTGGTTGACCTGCCAGAACTAAAATCAACAGCTCTTCTCTCCAGATGCAACTATTCATACCCCACCCATTCCACACCTTCCCTGTTGCTGATTCTGCTTGGTCCTTTGATTCTTTATTCTATGGAATTTTCACAGTCCATCAAAAACTGCATTTGCTAATCAACTTGCTAAATCATTTCAAGATCGTAATTCCCTCATTTGTTTTATCTGATCTTCCCAATTTTTCAACCTGGCTAATTGCCAGTTTCATTTCCTAATTAAAAAAAAAAAAGGGTGGATTTCAAATGTATGTTTTACAACTTTAAGTAAGTCTGCCTTGCAATTGGGAATGTTTAATTCAGCTCTGACTTCCTAGCATACCATAGTGCCTGAAAGACTGGTTTCAAATGCTAATAACCTAAGTCAGACATAAGTGAACCATTAATTTGTCATTAAACCAGTAAGATACCAACGTTTTGTCTAGTCAGTGAGCTGCTGTTATGGTATGAATATGAAATATCTCCCCAAAGCTCATGTACTAGAAACATGTTATCCAATGTAGCAGTATTCAAAGACGAAATGGTTAGATTATGAGAGCAACAGCTTGTTCAGTAGTTTAATCAATTTGATGGATTAATAAATTGAAAGGATTATTGTACGAGTTGATAACTATAGATGAGTGGGGCATGGCTAGAGGAAGTAGATCACGGGGCCATACTCTTGGAGAATATATCTTGTCCCCTGGCTCCTTGCTCCCTTTCTCAGCTTCCTGGCTGCTCTGATCTGAGCAATTTTCCTCTACCATGCCCTTCCACCATGATGTTCTGCCTCACCTCAGACTCAGAGCAATGGAACTGAGACATCTGGAGCTGTTAGCTCAAACTAAACTTTTTGTCCTCTAAGCTGTCCTTGTGAAGTATTTTGGTTACAGTGATGAAAAGCTGACTAACACAGCTGTGTAACCTAGAAATTGGTGTAGAGTATGAAGATATGAAGGGAGATGTCAACAGAGCAGATGGTAAGGAAAGAGATTAAAATTTTCTTTAGTCCTGGGTGATACATATTTTTTTTCTTTTTTTTTTTTTAATTTGTTCTAATTTGTTATACATGACAGTAGAATACATTTTGACAAATCATATATAAATGGAGTATAACTTCTCATTCTTCTGGTTGTACATGATGTAGAGCTACACCAGTCTTGTACTCATTATATGCACATAGTAGAATGAATCGGACATTATTACCCTATCATTTCCTACCCTCATATCCCCTCCCCACCATTTACTCCCCTGCTAATCCAAAGTACCTCTATCCACCTGCCTCCCCGCCTTATTGTGAATTAGCATTTGCATGTCAGAGAAAACATTCAGCCTTTCTTTGGGATTGGCTTATTTCACTCTAGTTCCATCCATTTACTGGCAAACCCTGTAATTTCATTCTTCTTTAATACTGAGTAATATTCCATTGTGTATATATACCACAAATTCTTTATCTATTGAAGGGCACCTAGGTTAGGTCCATAGTTTAGTTATTGTGAATTGAGCTTCTATAAACATTGATGTGGCTGATTTTAAGTCCTTTGGGTATAAACCGTGGAGAAAGATAGCTAGGTCGAATGGTGGTTCCATTCCAAGTTTTCTGAGGAATCTCCATACTGCTTTCCAGAGTGGTTGCACCAATTTGCAGTACCACCAGCAATGTGTGAGTATACCTTTTTCTCCATAACCTCGCCAACATTTATTGTTGCTTGTAGCTTGTATTCTTGATAATTGCCATTCTGACTGGAGTGAGATGGTATCCCTGTAGTTTTGATTTGCATTTCTCTGTTAGAGATGTTGAATGCTTTTTCATATATTTGGTGATCGACTGTATTTCTTCTGTGAAGTGTCTGTTCAGTTTCTTAGTCCATTTGTTCATCAGGTTATTTGTTTTTTGGGTGTTAAGTTTTTTGAGTTCTTCATATATCCTGTAGATTAGTGCTCTATCTGAAGTGTGTGTGGTAAAGATTTTATCCCGTTCTGTAAGCTCTCTCTTCTCTTACTGTTTCCTTTGCTGTGAAGACGCTTTTTAGTTTGAGTCCATCTTGATACATACAATCTTATTCCCCTTATATTTTACTGCTTCTAAAGGCAACCAGGGCTTTGAAGAAAGTAAGCAATCCCACACATTCCCTTCTGAAATCCAACCAATAGATGACTACTCTTCCCTGGTCCTAGGGACTGAGACGCAAATGTAGCACCTGCTTAAACCAGTCATGGAAAGAAGGCTGTAGCTCCCAGCTCTAATTAAAGTGTGGAAATGATCCAAAGAAACTGACAGAGTTGCTAGATTAGAGTGTGGTCACATACAAGGCACCTCTCCAGTGGAACCTCTCATCACTGTATGCTGAACAGGCAACATTGAGAAGCACAGCCAGCAGAGAATTGAATCTTACCTATGGACAATCTGCACAAACATTTATCACAACACATGCCACTGACATTAAAGAAAATAAGGAACATCTCTCATTTAAAGAGGTGGTTAGGATTACTTTTGTTTCAAGCAAATCTGTAGAGAAGTACCAATCTGGGTGGTATAGGATGGAGTTTGCATGTTAAAACCCTCAACCATTTCTGTAGGCTAGCTACAGTAGAAGAGGCCCAATCTTTCTAAAAGTTCTCTAGAAAGACAAAGGCTTCCCAGTGGTTCCTTGTCCTGGTTTCCCTTCCCTTTAAGCCCAATATTTATGGAGTTAATAAAACAACTGTCATTCTGTTAGGAAGGTTCTCACAACATGAAACACTTCCATCAACAAGTTATTCACTACAAATGTAAGTGCACATTATAAAATGAAAATTCAAATAAAAAAAGAAAGGTATGTACACTGCAACATGATCAGGGACATACAGGATCCAGTTAGATCCTTATAGCAACATCAAATAACAGTTAATACTGAGACTTTATCACTACTCTATGTAACTGAATTCTTAACACACAGACACACACACTCTATTTGTATGTTAAAATGCCCAAATCTATAAAACAGAAAAATAGATGAATTCCCACTTAGCACACACTAAGTTACCAAGAAACAAAATGACTAAATTTAAGAACAAGCAAGAATATGTAACTGAAAGTGTACAGATGCAGTGTTGTTTTACTACTGGGCAATATTTCCTTTCAAAATATACTTCAAGCAAAAAAATCAAATACATTAATAACAAATGCCTTGAAGACCAATGAATTTTCAGACTAACTTCTGAAGAGTGAAAGCTGTCAACCGAAAAACAAACAAACAAAAAAACACACACCATGATGATGGCAATAAAGAAATCTTAACTACCAACTATTAGATACTCTCCATGTGCTTTACACTATACTCCCAAGACTTTATACACACACACACACACACACACACACAGTTCTCACTGAATCTGCAAAGTACGTACTAGTTCTCCCATTCTCGCAGATATAAAAACTAAGTTCCTGGGTACAGAGTGATTAAGCATTTTGGGGTCAAAAGCTATACCCAATTTTTAAACATGTCTAAAATATTATTTTGAATCAGTGCCTATTTACCAATGACTTCAAAATTGCTACATTTATGTAGGTGTATGTTTCTGAATATCTGAAGAATTAAAAAATGCTGACATAAAGGGGGAAATGGTGTTAGCATAAAAGAAAAACACAAATTCCTATGAAAAGAAACTAAGTATTTGGAAATGAAGAATGTGGTTTTTTAACAGTAACTGGCTTTACACTGTTGGTTAATATTAGGTACCACAGAAATTCCATCTGCACAGTATTTAGCTGGAAAGCACAGCATTTCCTAATGGAAGAAAATTTTACTTGTAATGAAAAGAACATATTCTTCATACATAAAAAATAAATTACTACCTGATGTGTTATTTATAATTATAGATTCCAACTACTAACACTTATAAGTGGTTTTGGCTTTCAATCTCCAATTACGTATTTATTACTTCTATTAAATATATAAAAAACTGCCTTCACTCTTCACAGGATGCTACCAAGTTGAACTATTAAAATAGTTTTGAGCAAATAAAATAGAACTATGAGAAGAGTTAAAATTTCTGCCAATAATTATATCTGAAGACAATTTTAACAAAATATGAATCTAATTTCCCTATGATTCTAAGATTTAAAATTCATTTTCAGAGTAAATAATATGAAAGGTTCCCCACAGCAATAGCTGGTTAAAAAAAAAATCAAACCTGATAAACTTGGAATAATTCAGTCAACAGCATACTATATATTCATCCGCTAAATAAAAATTACTCTTTTGGGTAGGAAGTTGGGAAGAGGGCACAAGGAAAAAATCAAAAATTGAAAGGATCAAGCACAAACTTCAGCACAATTTTAATGATTGTTGAAGTAAATTTGCCACAGTCACTCTGGGGTTACCTGAGATAATCCTCCTGATTCAAGCTTGACTGAACAATAAGTCAGTAAAATGACTCTCAAATCAGTTATCTGTATATATCACCATGGTAATCAAAAGGGTGATATGCCCATTAAAAAAAAAAATTTAACCTCATAACTAGATTCTTAATAAAGAGGTAGTTCTAAATTTTTTCTATATAGCGAACTCTATATATCCAATCCAGATCTTTTTCCCATGCTCTAAATTCACAATACTTAAACATTAACTTGGATTGCTACCTGGACATACGACAGGTCTTTCAAACTCAGTCATATCCAAAACTTGTTCCTTCTTCAGTCATACCTATCATAGCAAAAGGCAATTCCACAATTCAAAACTCGATGTTTTCCTTGATTACGGTCCTCTCATCCTTACAGTCAATCCAGCAAAACCTATTGGCTTTACCTTCAAAAATACATATCCAGGAGCTAGGAGGCATATAGCTCAGTGGTAAAGTATTTGCCTACCATGCAAAAGGCCCTGGTTTCCATCCTCAAAAGCATAAACACACACACACACACACACACACACACTCATTTAGACATATCCAGAAACTCATTAAACCTCTTGGTTTTACCTTGAAAAATACCAAGTAACTCATCATTGATCCTGCAAAGTAAGTACTAGTTTTCCTACCTCCCCAATAGAATCTTGACCAAGCCACAGGAATTATTATAATAACCTCCTAACCGGTCTCATTCTTCTCTTGCCTCCTTACAATCTATTTTCAACAAAGCAGCCAGTGTGACCACATCACAACAGAAAGCTGAAATTATCTTCTGCAAAAAAGCCCAAGTCCTTAAACTAAACCTTCGAATTTCTGCAAAACTTCTCATCATTTTGACACAAATAAATGGAATGAAGCATACAAGCATTCTTAAATGCTTAGGCGATTCTTAAAATGGAAATAAGAATCTTTTGGTCTGAGACAATGGTCCAAGCCCATCATTAACTCCCTCCTCTCCCAAATTCCCAGTGAAACAGCCAGAGAAACATAAAACTAAAAAAAAAAAAAAAAAAATTCTTCAAGCCCTGTAATCCCAGTGGCTCCGGAGGCTGAGGCAGGAGGATTGCAAGTTCAAAGTGAGTCTCAGCAATTTAGCAAGGCCCTAATCAACTCAGTGAGACTAATTAAATTATAACAAGAGCTGGGGATGTGGCTCAGTGGTTGAGTGCCCAGGGTTTAATCCCTGGTACAAAAAAAAAAAGAACTAACGAAAGAAAACAAACAAAAATTCTTCCAAGTAATAATTTAAAAGTAAATAGGGGTCAGGCACTGTGGTGCACACCTGTAATCCCAGAGGCAGGAGATCACAAGTTCAAAGGACGGCCCTAAGCAACTTAGCAAGGCCCTCTCTCAAAATAAAAAATAAAAAGTGCTGGGGATGGGGTTCAGTGGGTAAGTGTCTTTGGGTTCAATCCCTAGTATTTAAAAAAAAAAAAAAACCCAAAAACCTAATAGGGCAGGACTAGATTGCCGAAAGGGATGACCACACCAAACCTGAGCCTATCTGGGAGCAACCATCCTTATGCTCAGCTAAAGTGAACGTGAATGTGGCAAATCACAGCCCTGCAAATACATTCTGAGGCAGTGCAGAGGCACTAGCACAATACAATATAGGACAAGAAATGTGAGAGGGAAATAATAATATGTCTGGAAATTAACAAAGACTAGTGTACCACAGATAGAAGTCAAAATAATGTCCCAGACAATTTTAGGTTGAAAAATGAATATTTCAGAATAACAGAGACTCCCTCCACCAACTTTCTAATGGAGCTTTCTCCTCCTCATCAGAGGCAACAGGCTACTACATCACTGGCATAAATAGGGTATAATAAGTATCATCTTAGTCCAGTATGTAGGACTGAAAAAATTTCAACAGTAACATAAGTTCTGAAACTAAACAAAAACAAACAACAAAACTAAAAAATAAAATAAAACAAACTGTTTTGTCATTAAGAATAAAGCTACCGTTTAAACTGTATAGCTAAACCTTGTCTAAAATGTATATGGTCCCTAGGATGTCTAGCTAAAGAATATATTGACTCCACTTTCTCTGGGGGAAGCAGGAACAAAATCCTGGCAATACTTCCATCTCTGGTGAAACTGTGTTTTTTATCTCACTGACAATAGTTATTTTGCTCCTTTTCATTGAGTACATCTTTATGGAGCTCTATAATCATCGATATCTCTATCTCTACAGTATTATTACAACCAAACTAAAAGCATGTCCTTTTTTCTCTCTTCTGATCCTTACTAGCCATCCCAAGCAATTTAACTACTTCTCTTTACAACATCTACATGTAAGAGTATACCTGTGGTCTAGGGCCGTGGCTCAGCAGTTAGAGCGCTTGCCTAGCATGTATGAGGCACTGAGTTCAATCCTCAGCACCACATAAAAATAAATAAATAAAATAAATATCTATCAACAACTTAAAACAAATTTTAAAAAAAGTACACCTGTGCTGTTACCATTTCCTCACTTCCTAAGAATCTTCTTTAACTCGGTGTAATGCTTCCCCACTCCACTAAAAATATGTCTTACAAGCCATAATTTCTACTCCCCACGCCAGTGTTGGGGAGAAAACTCAGGGCTTTGCACATACTGGGCAAAAGCTCTGCCACTGAGCTGTATCCTCAGACCTTCTCTCTCCTTTCTCTCCCTCTCTCTTTTTTTATGATGAACCTTTATTTTATTTATTTTTATGTGGTGCTGAGGATCGAACCCAGTGCCTCACACATGCTAGGCAAGTACACTATCACTGGGCTACAACCCCAGCCCATCCCTATATATTTTTTTAACCAAAAAATACTGCTTCTGAAGAACATGCAATCACATCTTGGAAAGTGGCAGTGTCCTATGGGAAATAAAACATAAAAAAGGATATAGCTCTGAAAAATTAAGAGAATTGAATCAAAATTCGTGAATCTGGTGACCAGATTCCCTTCCCAAGGGAAGGAGGGGCTAAGACCCTGCCACACTGAAAGAGTGACTGTGTAAGGAAACCAGAAGAGACTTGGAATGCTAACAGTGAGCAGCTGTTAGAGCTTCTACACGCAAGTATGCACTGTGACATCCATCTGAATGAGGAGAGCAATGGGCATTAGTATAGCAGCTCCACTGGCAATGCATACAATAGCTGTGACAGCTGCTAACTGGTTATTTTTGGAAAAGCAGTTTCCAAATGACTGAAATGCAACTTGTGAAAATTTGTATTTGTGAAAAAATGCCTGATAAAGAGCTTTTAAGGGTTAAACTATCTAAACTTCACAAATAAAGTTAATCTGAAACAAGATCAGTTCCCATGCATTACAGTAAACAATCCTCTACTCTAGTTATCATGCTATCCCTCTCTCTCTTATACTTCCTGTTCCCTTTTCATACAAAAGGACTAGCTAAAGACAGTATATTAGGTAAGGTACTAAAGGTCTCATATTTAATTACATGGATATCATTGATATTGAAATGCATGATTCAGATGAGATAGACATAAAACTTTTCCAATTATCATAACAGATATTTAAAATACGTTCAAAATAATTCTAACATTCTGATTAATAAAAACATGAATCTCTAAAGTATACATGCAGTGCAAGGCTCCCGTTATATCTTTATTTTTTTAGCATATGATTTTTTTGTCTCCATATTTCCATCAATACTGAAATAGCTTCGCATAGTAATGAGACACACCTGATTTCTGCCTCTGCGTTTTCCATAATTCCTTCTCACTAGGGCTTTGTAATTCTCATTTTTCTTGGTTAAATAGTAATATAAAACACAATCAGGAACACTCTGTAATGAAAGTAGTTCATTTTTGAGAATTCAATAAAATGTCTTAAATAAAAAAAATATTTCAAGGAAAATACTACTACTCTTTAATTTATATTAAGAGAAAATATACATGGCTAATATTGTAAGGCATATATTCGTGCTCTAAAAATACATTATTTTGATAGTTAACTGTTGACATAATCCAAATTATGTTAAAAATATGAAAAGCTATCAGAAACATTCAAATATTTTCTTATTAACTAGTAAGTAAATGTCCCTTTAAATAGTTCAAAAACACTAAAAAATTCAGAGGAAATCAGAACTCAAGCAGTGTAATTATGTGTTTTTAGGGAAATATAAGGTTAACTTTCATTATCCATAAAAATTAGATCTGTGCTTAGGACATCTAATGTAATTTAAATTATTACTTTATATATATTTGTTATAATTATGACATGAGAATCTTTTCTGTATAAAGCCCTTAACAAAAATCAATTCTAGTTAATTACTACTGCTTGTTAGAGCACAAAAATTCCAAAATAACAACATCCACAAACCTATTAACATTCATGCAAACCATTTCTTACCTTCCTTTCCAAGTAGGATGCAATTAGTCCAAAGTTTTTTGGATGCTGGATAAACCTGAGTAAAAAATAAAATTAAAAAAAAAAAAGAAAAAAAAAAAAAACAAAAAACAAAAACACACGCACACACAAACATTTTAACAATTTAAAAAGAAAAAAAACTTGGAAAAAGAAATATTATGTGCAGACTAACTCCTGGTGATTCCTCACTGCAAATTTGAGTAACAATTGCAGAATCATTGGAGATTTAAAGGGCAAAGTTCTGGGAACCATCCATCAGGAAATGATTAGATTGGTTTATGGTAGGGCAAAGAAATCTGTACTTTTAAAAAACCATATCCAAAGTGATTTAAATAACACCCAAGTTTGGGAATCTCTCATAAAATGACTCCCCATCCCTAATTCTTATCTGTTACCTATTTTCCTATCTATGAACCTATGGGAAGATCAATATTTTCTATTTCTCAATAGAATCCATTCCAATGCCAAAATGGGGTCAAGATTTTGTGGAAAAAGTTCAATTTACAAGTAAATGCTAAATACTATTACTAAACATATAAGTTTCTACTAGAGAATAATTTAAAATTTAAATTACTTGTCCTTAAAGATCTCCTTCTCGTGGTCAGTCCAAACATTCATAAATTGCCTATCTTTATAAACCTTCATAGGGTCCTCCATAAGCCCATTCATGTTAATGAACTTGACCCGTCTTTGCTCTGCATCAAACATCATAGGTGGGATCACAGAGAGCTGCCGCATTTGTTTCTCATTATTCTGCAAAAAAGAAATGCAGCTTACTTAGAATAAAACTTAAACTAGAAATTTTTAAAGGGCCACAAACCAACTCTCCTAATGGTCTGGACAAAAAAAAAAAAAACTCACGTAATTTAATGACAACAGCAGTATATATCACAGCATCTAATATAATAATTAGTTATAAATCTAGTAAATATTCACTGAACTAATTATAAAAGCAAAGAGTATGTTTTTGTTTTTTTTTTTCCCCTGGATCATTTTTGGGATTTTTAAATTAATGTTGGGGATCAAGCCCAGAGTTCAGGCATGCTAGGCAAGTACTCTATCACAGAGGTACATCCTCAACCCCACATTTTTTTTTTATAACCAACTACTTTGATAAGAATTCTTTACTTAAATGAAACTGATACTTGGAAGAGAATGAAATTTTAGTTGTAGAAGATGCAAAATAATGTTAAGTTCATTTAAGTCATGACTTTATGCATTATTAGACTGTATTATATCTTAGAGCACAATGGGAAAACAAGAAACCAGCATCAAAATCTTAAAAGTCATCGATCTTAAATCACCTAAACCAACATAAACTCTCTAAAATCATGGGGTACTTTCAATCAGTTCAAACACCAGCATGTCAGACAGATACATTAGCTTGAAGTCCCCTAAACTAATAAACTAGTTTGTAACGATTCTAGATGTTCCCCTAATAGAATCCTTAAATAAAAAAACAAGCAAAGAAACTTAATGCAGATTTAGTTATCATTGCAGAAATTATGGCTACAAATTCCAAGGGATGGATGTCATTTCAATCATGCGTTTCAGAGGTGAATTTAAAGCAATAAGTGGCTATGTTTTAAAGCTCCTGAGTATGCTGCTGCAAGAGAAATGAAAAATCTACTTGCCCCAATATTATGCAATATTACATACAATACGTATTTATGGTTTGAGGTAAAACTGTCCAAGGACAAGAAACATGAATGTATTTCAAAAGAAGTATACCTCACTGAGCCTACATAGAGGTAAAGTAGGTTAATGAGCTCTAGAACACTGTGTTAGGTGACTCAAAAAAAGCCTATAGGAATGGCTAGCACCTCAACATTACATAACAATGCACAGAAATGCTTGAACAAAATCCCACGAAGTGTGGAATTATGTCTTTACAACTGAATATTACAACCGTTCCTAAAAGGTTATAAATAACCAAAAACTATTTTTGATCTGTTCCTTGGGAAAGCAAAATATCAGAAGCGAGAAAAGAGGGAAAAAACACCTGCAATGCCTCTTTTGGTACAACAATATGAAATCTAAATTGGCTCACAGAACTCTTAGATACAGAGTCTTCTACCTCCTTCAGAGCCAGTGTGACAAGAATTCCTTGAAAAAATAACAATTTGTAAGAACATATGATATACTTTTATTTGATCATGAATGTGTAACAGGGTACCACATGAAATACTGATGGACTCCTTTCACAAATATCAATACAAACTGTACAATAGCTATTTTCTCATCCTGAAAGAAATTTCACAGAAACTGTGTCTATAAAACAGAATGATAAAAATAAGCACTGTGCTATCTATGAAAAGATAAAATCTGAATAAAATCTTTCTACCTCACTAGTAATTAATTTAACTTCAGGAGATCCAGTAATTGATGATTGAAGAAAAGCTATATTATAAAATCAAAGCCAGCAAAACTCGATAGCTATGGCTTCTGGACCAATCTTTTTTTTTTTTTTTTTTAACATTTTATTTTTTAGTTATAGGTGGGCACAATAGCTTTATTTTATTATTTTGTTTTTTTATGTGGTACTAAGGATCAAACCCAGCGCCTCACGCATGCTAGGCAAGCGTTCTACCACTGAGCCCCAGCCCCAGCCCCTGGACCAATCTTAACAGAGATTTGAACCTAGCTACAGAATACTCAATGTTCAGAGCTGAAATTTATTCTTTTTTTTTTTTTGGTACTGGGGATTGAACTCAAGGGCACTCGACCACTGAGCCACATCCCTAACAGTGAGTTAGGGTCTCACTGAGTTGCTTAGTGCCTTGCTTTTGCTGAGGTTGACTTTGAATTCTCGATCCTCCTGCCTTAGCCTTCTGAGCTGCTGGAATTACAGGAGTGCGCCACCACAACCAGTTCTGAAAATTATTCTTAATCTGCATTTACTAATTAATATACTACTAAATGTGAAACACTGGGAATTCAAAGATGGTCTCAAAGGTATAAAAACTACATTCATGAAAATGATGCTCAAGATGATCACAAATATTAAACAAAAAGATATATACATAATAAAAATTAAGTGAGATTAACTAAATATTGATTAGTTCTGTTTTGGGGAAGTGAGGAAGCTTAATAAGGGTGGAAATATTCTGTTTGGCCTAATGATATACACTTCAAATGTATACCCTTGTCTCTAATAATTTTTTCATCATTTTATTAATTCTGTTCTTGACTCAGGTAAAAAAAATGCCTGAGAAACAAAAGTATGCCTTCTCATTGAAAAATTAGTAAAACGACATTCTTGTTCATAAATAAATCCCCATAAGCTCACTTGTCTACCTTTTCATTTTATGTTCCCTTCCTTGCCTGGGGCTATTTCACCTGCACATAGATGACTCGGATATCTAGCTCTCTCCAATTTAACTCTCTCCCAGGCCCATCTGCCTGGAAAGCACCCTTTGGAGGACATACTATCATCTGCAAAACATATGTTTTTTGTTACTCTAGGAAACAACACCACCAGCTCAAAAGTCTAATCTGGAAACTAGGAGTCCCTTTGTAGTCGTCTTCTTCTTTACCCCACATTCAATACATCCATCTTGTTCATTCTACCTTCTATGACTCTCACCTATTAGTCCCCTCATATATAGACCTACCACTGCTCTGTCTCTCTCTCTAGATCTTACTGCTGTCAAAGGCATCTTTGTAAAATAATAGTACAAGTTTAACCCTTGTTTAAAACCTTTCAATGATTTGCCATAGACTTTGGAATAGTCCTAGCATCTAAGGTTCCCTCTCTTATATACTTATTTGTATATAATAAATTTATTTACCCTAGCTTCCGGGCTACAGGGCTGAAATACTTTAATAATTAAAGGATTAACTTGAATTAAATCAATCAGTTTTCTTACCTCTTGCTCAGAGAGACCATCAATAATTTCAGAAATCTCATGTTCACTCCTAGCAATGGTGGCTGAAAGACCAGCGCCCCTCTGCCCAACTCTGAATATAAGGAAGAAATTATATTTAAAAGCCTTTCATAAAGAAGACATATGAATTAAATTAGTACAGATTACTTTTATAAATAGAATTTTTTTTAAGAAATTGAAGTTGATTTACTAAAATGCTGAGTAATTTACATTTAAATAATATGTTCAGTCATCTATTAAATTAATAACAAATTTAAGTGCTAAGATTAAAATTTCAAGGTTGTATGTCTACATTCAAATGATAGAACTAGTTATGGGAAATTTGTCTTTTTTTAATACACTACAGCAGAATGCAAGGGAAATTTGTTAAAAAAAAAACAACCAGTATTAATGATCCTTATTCATTTCAAATAGCAGTCTTTTGTCTGTTTTCTTAAGAACAGGTGTAGACTTAGAAAAATACATTAAACATTTTAACAAGGCAAAACAACATAACCAACATCCCTCACAAAAGTTGATCGTAAGGGGCTTACAAGACTCTTAAACAAAACAATGAAGAAGAAAACTGAAACTAAAACCTCTGCAAAATACCTTTCTCTAAAAGTAAAAACAAATCAGAAACTATTTACCAAAATGAAACCATTTCTAACTAGCTATCAATTTAATGCTGTTTGATTATGCTGGTAATTAATAAGGGACATGTAGTTCTATTTTTATTAACTGTCATTTTCAAAGAAATTAATATTTTCAATAACTAAAGAATTAATTCCCAAACAGTCACTCATATTAGATTCAAAACAGTGATTAAACATTGGGCTGGAGATGTAGCTCACTGGTAAAGTGCTTGCCCTGGATTAAACTTCCAGCACCAGGGGGAAAACAATTAAATTCACTAACACAAACTCTATTGGTTGGTTGGTAATTAAGTTTTACATTCAACATAAAGTCCTTTGTGAACTTTCTTATTGATCAGATTAAGGAAATACTAAGTATTGTCAAAGAGCAAGTGTGATCTGAAGAAAAACATCACAACCATTAAATATCTAAAACAACTACTTACCGCTGAAATCTTTCTTGCTGTTCTCTCTGTTTTCGAATTTCTGGAAACTGCTTTTCATAGTACTCTCTTGTTTTGCTTTCTTTAGCTTTCCTCCGGGGATTGTTTTCTATTCTGTCCACTTTTTTCTCCCATGCTTCCATGAGCTGATCATAACGTTGGCAGATTTTTTGTTCCTAATAAACACCCGCAGCAAATTAATAATAATTAAACTAAACTCTAGGACCCTGACAAACCTAATACTTTAAAATAAATTCTATTTCCTAAGGTTAAGTCCAAATTACAGTGACCTTTTTACAGTGACCTATGGCTCAATTGTGAATGAGAAGCTGTCTTTGATCTGAAAGCAGAGAAAGGGAGTCCTGTTTCCTACTGAAGATCAACATATATGGCATACGTTGCCTGGAATTTTGAGTAAACACTTAAAAAGACTACACAAATCAATAAACTAATTGATAACCTACTACTAGTAGCTGACCAGCTATTTTTTTTCTGATAACATGTCTTCATTGTCAAAACAAAAAAGAAGTAAAATCAGAAACATGTAAATAGTTCTAACCTGTTCATAACCTGACCAATCACCCAAAGGCAACCATATTAACATTTTGTTGTTTTTCTTCCGATCTGTCAGAGAAAACACGCATATTTAACTGTTCTTCTAGTGTTACAAGTTTGTGGTTGTTTGTACTTTTTTGCTATTATAAATACATGCTACATAAACATTTTTAAAAGAATGGGGAAGGCAGAAATTGGTCATACTTTATCAAAAAAGAAATCCATTGAAATACTTAAAATCGAGAGTTAAATAAATGAATTATGATTCCATTTTCTAGAAAAGAGACGACAGAAGAGCCTCCCATTGTGGACACAGAACTGCATACACATCTGACAACACATGGATAGAGAAAAGCAAGAATGGGCTGAGAAAAAACTGGTAACGTTGGTCATCTCAAGAAACAGGCACTGGAGAAGAGAATATTTCTTTCTCATACCCCATTCCAAACCACAACCCCCACATCCCAAATCATTCTTTTAAATTACTATCTGTGTTTCTATACTTCAGCTTTTCTTCATCTCTATTGCTACCTCCTTAATCCAGGTCACCAGATTAAAACTGCCTCTAATCATCTTCCATGCACTTTTTTTTTTTTTTTTTTTTTTTTTAATGCAACACTGGGGATTGAATCCAGGACCTTTCACATATAAGGCAAGCCCTCTACTACATCTCTAGTCCTTCCATGCTCTCTTAATGTGGCCATATGTAAATTCTTAAAATACAACTTGAACACTATACTTCCTCACTGTAGAACTCATCAGGATCTGATGTAGTCTTCTAGGTAACCTACAAGACTGTAGATGACCGGCCCTGGCTTCCCTCAGCAGTCCCATTTCTCACCACACTCCCACCCCCCAGCTCAGTCTACACTCCAGGTAGCTCTGAGCCTACCATTCTAAGTCCTATTTCACATAATCATTCCCTCAGAGTATTGGTTTTCCTATGTAATGTTGTTGCCTGATTCACATCAGGTGTTCCCTCTTAAATGCTCTCATAGTAATATGTACGTGCAGGATCACAGTATGATCACAATAGTAAACCTGCCTGCTAATGTATCTGCTCCCTAAAGCTGAAGCGATGTGATTGTCTTGCTCACAACTGTAGAATAATATGAGACACAGTATACAGCCGATAAATATTTATTAAGCAAATTAGTGAACACATAAACTTTATAATTATTCTGTGAAGTCTATGCTCCTATAACTGTATCACCAAAGAGCTGATTTAGCAAGTACCACAATAACAACAGAATGACTGGACAGGAAAAAAAACACATGAACTAATTTCTTAACTTATTATTTGTATGTTCTATGCAAAACAAAAACTCAAGACCCGTAATGTAAGACAGTATCTGAAGGCCTAGCCTGGCAAATTAGAACATCAAAAGAACATTTTACATCAAATAAAAGCTTCTGTGTCTTGAGCCTTACAACTCATTAAACTGTCAGGTGATTAAGTGTAAGGTACAAAGCTCATTTCTGATATGGATTTAAAGAGTTTATTAAAAATCTAAATTTAAATATATCAACAGTTTATCTGTAAATTAGTAATGAATATATATGAAAATAATAATATAAGCATGTATTTTTTTATAACTTAACTTTTATGATTATAACCATAAAACTTTCAGAAGGCAAGCCATATAATTAAATATAAGAAACCATTTGAATTTGAAAAAGCTGAACCCTTGCTGACCCAGTTTCAAGAAAAAATAACAATGTCTAATTGGCATGACTAAAACTTACCCACATTTGTATGAGGCTTAAGTGACTAATGTAGATCATCCTATTTATCTTTTGTGGTCTTTTTTTTTTTTTTTTTAAACTACTCACCATTTTCTTTCTTTTGGCTAGATGAAAATGTTACACATGGATGACCAATGAAATTAATTTGATAATGATATTAAGTGTGGTATTAAAAACTAGAATTAGATTTATATTTAAGTCACATGTTCAGTTACTTTTAAAAATCAGCATTTATTGTCATTAACAATGGAAAACTGAATGCCTGAATGAGCATGAATGGGAAAGCTGTACAAATTTCAGTTAACAAGGATAGGACCTCACCCTTTGTTTTCTTGCATGATTTCTTCTTTTAAAAAATAAAATGAGTTTTTTCCTCATCACCTGGTTTCTAGAAGAGAAAAATATGGTTGCATGACATTACGAAAAAGCACAATTTAAGGATGATTTCACTTTTTTTTTTTTTCCAGACACACTGGAAAACAACAGGTAAAGATCACTTAAGAATTTATGATACGATTAAAGTTAATGCTAATTTTTTCACCCTGCAAAATAAGACTTTATAATTTTTGCAATAATTGGAACTAAAATTCTTCCCATTCTATACCAAGATGACATAGTTAATTTTCAATTATTACATCCAATAATAAGGCATATAATTTATTTTTAAATTACAATTACATTTACTGGTTCTTCTTAAGAACTCTGGTGATAAATACATTTTGGAGGTAAAAGGGAAGCTTTTACAGGTACCTCCCTACCTCAGATACAGGACTGGCCTCCTTCCAGTGAGAATTTATACCAATATATTTACAGAGAGGTGGTTTCAGCTTTAAACAGAAGATTTTCTTCTGTCAAAGAAATGACACAAGCCACTCTAAGAAGTAATGGAGGGTGATGTGACAAGACAGGAAGATTTCTCCTATATCATAATGTAACAATTTCACTTTTTAAATTGGAAGCATTGTGACCTTCAAAAACAATGACATGCAGGTTCAAATATAAATATTTATACCCCACCTACTTCCAGAAAGGATTTCAAGCTGATTATTCAAATATAAATACAAAGCCAAGGCAAGTAGAAGTAATTTTTTGGATTATCTGCCACTCGGGACTAACAGTGACACTGGCTCCACTCAAATAAGCATGGACAATCAGGAGCTGGCTATATGAAAAAGTAGCCAAGAGATGAAAAGAATTATTAAAAGGTACATTTGCTATTTCATACAAAGCAAATGACGGTGATGAAAAAACAGCTACTGAACGATTTATATGGATGCATGCAGCTGAGTAAATATTTCTAAAGGTGACACACAGTGGCAGCATTACCATAGGTATATTCAATTTGCTCTAACTGTAATTATGTGCAACTTAAAAGCAATGGCAATCAATAAATACATTTTAAAATGTTTCCTAAGAATTTAAACGAAGTCAGTCAGTCAATAACCCATTTCAGGACAGTGTGATAATCATTAAATAGGCAACAATTCAAAGACAGAGCTGCTCTCCAGCTCATATTGAGGGGAAAAGACAGAACACAAATATAACTGAAGCTTTGTGGGGGGAAAAAGTCAATAAAAGTAGCCTACTAGATTTAACCTCCTATTCTTCTCTTAAAGATGTTAAAACAGCCAAACAGTTCCAAACAATATACGTTAAGTTTTGCCTAATCTACTTCTACAGGTTCTCAAGACCATAGCAGCATCTCACAGAAAAATTCATAAGTATATGACTTTCATTATGAACACTTAACAAAAGTTAAAATTATTCAAATTTAAATGGTTTTCATGCATACTACCATGCAAATTATATTTGCCACCAGTTCTGCAAAGTAGTCAACTATTGCACACACTCTCAGAAATTAAAAAAAGAAAAAATATATATAAATAGCAATGTGCTCATATACTAGTAAATAATTATAATATTCTGATTATACTTAATAAAACATATAAAGTAGAAATATCAACATTTTTGTCACAAACTAAGAATAAGTCACCTAAAATGCTCTTCAAGTATGATAATTTAAAAAAATAATAAAGATACCTATCTAGCTTCCTATCTTACTTCAATCAGATCAAGAAATTAAGATTTTCTTTTCACTTATTTTCTTATTCCAAGATCTGCATCCATAAACGCCTGGTACTCAGATGAGCAAGGCTAAGCAAACTACATTCTGGAGCAGACTCCTCACCCACAGGAGGTGACTGAGCGCTTCCAAGGCACCAGGACATTAAATGGCAGAAGGGTCTACAAATACCGTCATTAGCAAGAGTCATGGAAGGGATTTCCCTAGAATAGGATTTTGAATAATGATAAAATGATCCGTGGCACTTCTACTTTGCAATGGCAGATGTGGCTTGGTGGGGGACGGTGTCATCACTAGTCTTAAATGAAAAAGCTTCATTATCTTACTTCATCATGCGCCTTGCAGGTACTCCACTGAAAAAAAGACAAAACAGGAGGCAAAAAATTCAAGCCTCAAGGTAAGCCATTTCAATGTTAAGTATCCACCTTTTTTACTAGCAGATTATAAAACCAGCTAGTTTTATGCAATAATTTATTTCATTTTTTGGCCTCGGAAACTCAAAGTTGTTACCCCAACCCCCAAGAAGCCAGAGGAAGATAACATAGCAAATTACACAAATCTAAAACATACCTACACTATGTAATAATAATGTCAGCGGATAACATAAAAATGATTTTTTAATAGAATATATGGTTTTTAACTGAAGAACTCCAAAGATGATAAATACTTACGTCTTGATGTTCTCATGGTACACCTTTGTATCTGATGGCTGGTTATAGAGTGGCTATAAAATAAATCAAATATTTACGTATAAAATGGTGTACATATGTCTAGGAAGAGACAAAGAAACAATATTTTAATATAAGCCTAGGTCAAGTACTAATGGGTATATACCATAACATGACCTACTGAATCATCCAGACAACTGGATTCCCTGAATTACCCCAACTCCTAAAAACAGCACTTCTGTAACAAAGACGACAAACCCCAATGTATCCTATAATAAATAAGTCTATTCATAGATATTTTTTCTTTCAAAGGCAGATTAAAATACTGCCTTAATCTTAACAATAAAATTCAAAGAGTTTTCTATTTCTTTATTTTTTCTCCTGCTACCTGAATGATTAAGTGGTTGCTTAGACAGAAACATACTCAGAAATATGCTTCTGCAAAGAGAACCAAGTTCGTTCACTATCACTTGAAACTTACATCCCTACCACTCTGCCCACCTATATCCCACTTATCTCAAAATAAATGGTTTATATCCTGTTACATCACAAGAAAAGTTACTTAAAAAAAAAAAAAACCACAAAGTTCTGGAAATAAAAAAGTAAATTGCTTACCAGTTCAACTTTTGGGCCAAGACCTTCAAAAATTTTATGAGCTTCTTCTGCTTTTTTCTGGAGATAAAGACATTGTTATATGAAACAATTAAAAATCATATTAGCCAAGAGCAAAATCACTACCTATTTCAAAATATATATCTCAGGCCAGGCATGTTCACACATGCATATAATGCCAATGCATCAGGTGGTTGAAGCAGGAGGATTGCAAGTTTGCTGCCATTCTCAGCAAGTTGGTGAGACCCTGTCTAAAAAAAAAAAAAAACTCAAATTATCTAAGACTAATCTATAGCTCAACTTACCTACTTCCAAATATTCTTCTTTTATATTATGGGCTAAAATCTTCTCTAATTTTATTTTCATGGCTCCCCTTACTAAATTCAGTCAAAACTGATTAGGTATAGTGAAAGTGATGCCTAATATGTAAGCAAGTTCTTTTGTTTGTTTGTTTTTTTGTTATTGTTGTAGTGCTAGGGATCGAACCCAGAGCTTTGTGCATGCAAGACAAGCACTCTACCAACTGAGCTATATCTCCAGCCCAAGCAAGTTCTTAGAAGCAAATAAATATTAAGAATCTAGAGAGATGGGATGAAGATTCACTACTGTAAATAACCCCCCCAAAACATTCTAAATACTTTAACACATTCTATCTTTTAACAAAACTTTAAATCATAAAATACCATAAAGTGGCCAATATTTGCTGTGGTAAACCCAAGTGATCTCTGAATTAAAAGTACATAATGAACTAATTTTCTAGTTATAAGCAAACCGTAATAGCTCAACAACAAAGAAAACAGCTATTTTGATACTAGTAGTAAGTAAATATTGAATTTTATATTTAACACACCATTTTTAAAAGTAACACAATCTAAAGTACTACCTAACCTATCAATAGTTTGGCAAAAAAACTTAAAAACCCTAGCATTTCCGCATTGCATTTTTCATTCTAAGTCTACAGATCTAAGTTATTAATTCTTCAAACATATGTTGAGTATGTTCTATGTGCCAGGCACTTGCTAGACACTAAGAAAACAGAATAAGATATCATTCCAAGTGCAGGAGGGTGAGGGGCCCTGAAAATTTTCATTGAGATAATATTTGAACTGTGTCTTGGGGTCTGAGTGGGTTCCACTGACATGAAAGGCAAAACACTGGACTGTCTGAAGGCACACAGTGGGGTAAAGGTGCTAACAACATCAAGGGAACATCCAAAACCTGTTCTGGTAGGATATTATTAAGGAAGGAGTGTCAGGGCCAAGGCCAGACAAGTAGACATGTAACTACTGATAAATAAAATTTGGGCTATTGTGTAGAAAGTGGGAAATAATCAAAAGGTTTCATTTGAGCTGGGCACAATCCTGTAATCCCAGCAACTTGGGTGGTTCATTCCGAAGGATCACAAGTTTGAGACCAGCCTGGGCAACTTAGCAAGACTATGTTTCAAGATAAAATAAAAAGTGCTGCGGATATAGCTCAGTTCCAGAGTACTTGCACAGCATGTGTGAAGCCCTGGATTCGATACCAAAAATCCCAAAAGAGCAAAATAAATTTTGTTTAAACAATCATGTTACGGGCAACAGTTATGAAAGTTGACTTAGAAAGAAAAAAGACTGAAGGAAGGAGACTCAATAATTATGTGAGATGAAAGCTCAAGTTAAGCTAATAGCAAAGCAGGTGCAGTGATGCAAGTGACCAGACTCATGGTTAGGAGGTAGGACTGATATTCTTAAGTGACTGGCTATACATACACAAGTGAAAAAGGGAGAGAAAAAGTCAGTTCCAAAGAAATTGGCCTGAGGAGGTTGCTTCCCTTAAGCATACTTCTCTGTAAACACCTTCCTTTCTGCTACTGTCATATACTTTTATAAACTCTACAGTCAAAATATAAACAAATATTTTTGAAAACTTCTCTAAAATATGTGTCATTATTCTGAAATCAGAGCACTTACAAATATTTTTTGAAACCTACAAATAAGTAGGGAAATAGCAAATCAAAGTGTTAAAAATAGTACAGGAGAATATTCTGTTTGGAAACTAAACAAACAGTCTGAAAATTAAATCAAATGGAATCAACTTCTCTCAGGAAACCATCTTTAAAATTAACATTCTCTTTTGGATAGTTTTCTTCTTCCCACTAAGTTTTAAATTAAAGAACAATTTCCTAAACATGATAATGGTTGACATCTCTTTAAGATACACTCAGCTTAATTCCAACCAGCAAAGACTACTGCTATACAAGGAATGAGAGATGTGCTTTCATCGTTGTTCCATCTATCTTTGCTGATGGTATCAAAACAGATAAGGTTATCTAAAAAAAAAAAAATGTTGCACAGGCAGCGGAGACCTTATAAAAGGCAGCAAGTTAAGGCAGAAAGCACTGGAAAGTGAGCAGGGAGAAATTCAGTGTTCTACATCCAGCTTAGCTCTTCTCTCTTTCCCTCCAGGAGCCCCCACTTTGATTCTAGAACTACAGAGGTACAACTACAGCAAATGACTAGTAGCAAGGTATATTTAGGAAAAGCATATGAGCGTCAGGGATGTAGTTCAGTGATAGTGCACTTGCCTAGCATGGAAGAGGCCCTGAGTTCAGCCCCCAACAGAAGGGGTGAAAAAGGAAGAAAAAATTAAAAAGATGACTTCCACAATTTTTATGAGTTAAAAATATAAGATTTCAAATTTTTTGTTCTTTATAGCACAAATATATCAAAATATAAATGCTAAAACTGAAAGAAGAGGCCTGAAAGGAGTTTTCAAGTTTTGCTAATGGGCATTAAGAAACATTATTAAGCTATCTAATGAAGGCATCTATATAATTAGAGTATCACATCTTCTTCAGATAGTTTTCAGTCCATATCCCAATGAAGCAAACACAGAATTCACTAATCTTGAAATTGTTTAAGACAAGGCCTGTTTAAAGAACTCAACCAACCAGTAAACATACTGAGCTGAATCTATTTGAAAATTAACTTGTTTTAAGAAAGGTCAACATTTGCCGGATATGGTGGTGCACACCTGTAATCCCAGCAGCTTGGGAGGCTGAGGCAGGAGGACCTCGAGTTCAACAGTGAAGCCCTCAGCAATTTAATGAGACCCTGTCTCTTAAAAAAAAAAAAAAAAAAAAGGGTTGGCTCAGTGGTTAAGCGCCTCTGAGTTCAAGCCCTGTCACGTGTGTGCACGTGTGGGGGAGGGAGTAGGTCAACATTTTATAAAATGTTTTATACTAAATTATAAATTTCCATTCAGCTCTAATTCTTATTTACTTTATCCCTGAGGTCACAAACTGACAGTGAAGCCCATCAGCCCATTAGAGTGTTCTGTAGTTATACACAGTATTTCTTAAACACCAGGAGATATCACATAAGACTCCTTATTTCTGATTTCTTTTAAGTAAGAAGGCAACTGTCTACACTGGACACCCCCACCCCCGACACGGCACATTCATCACTCATTTCCCTTATTGCCTTCCACCTTCACTGGATTTATCTTCATGTATTGCTCCAGCTATTCAATAAAATGGACCAATATTGAGCTCAGCAAGAAACTAATATTACTTATCTACATTTAACCTGCCTATAACACTAACGATATATAAGTATTTATAACTGATGACTCAATTATTTACCTGTACATACACAAACATATCTGAGCCCAAGATCATATCTATAAATGTTTATTGAATTACTAATTCCTTCCTTCCTCCCTCCCTCCCTCCCTCCCTCCCTCCCTTCCTTCCTGTGGTGCTATGGATGGAAACCATGACTTTGTATATGCAAGGGGCAAGCAGTCTATTACTAAGCTAAATGCAGAGCCAACAGGTACTTTTCCTTCTTTCCTTCCCTCCCTTCCTTTCTCCCTTCCTCCCCATTGTGGGGCTTCACAAAAGCTAGGCAAACACTCTAACACTAAGCTACATCCACAGCTGTTTTTCTTTAAATTGTGAGACAGGGTCTCACTAAATTGCCCATGCTGGCCTCAAACTTCTGATCCTCCTACCTCCCAAGTCCCTGGGTTTACAGGTCTGCCTGATGGCACCCAATTCTAACAGTCACTGTTCTTAAACTCAAATTTTCTTTAAGATGTGGCTATTGGGGCTGGGGTTGTAGTTCCGTGGTAGAGAGCTTGCCTTGCATTCTAGAAGCACTGGGTTCATTCCCCAGCACCACATTAAAAAAAACTAAATAAACAGAATAAAGGTATTGTGTCCATTTACAACTAAAAATAATTTTTAAAAAATATCTGGCTATTATAATGTTATAGGCTCTCTGCATACAACAGATTGACTCTGATCAATCAACTCACTACAAAGCAAATAATCTGAAACAATTAATCTCAACTTTTACTGTAAGATCAACTTTCAGCTAAGAAGCCTGTCTTCTTCCATGATACGTAAAGCCTATTAACATTTTTTTGTATTGAGAACTTCTGGAAGTCACAATTTATCAGCTTTGATAGAATATTTTCTTTATATTGGGGTGAAATCAGTTTCCCTTTAACTGCTAGTTTCTGGACAAGGTTCTGGCCCAAAATTAATTTTGTCATACAAAAATGATTTATAGAATTGAGGCCTAGCTTTCTTAAATCCATGACATTTTTAATTAAGAATACAAAAAGAACTGTTTAAATAAATTTTAAAAATAAAGTCTACTTAAAGGTCAAAGTCAATCTTAACTTTAAAACTGAAGTTTAACAAAGCCTATTTATGAATCCTGAAGGTGATAATGAAGTTCATTTCCATATCCAAGGCCTATCTGTACTGAAATATTATCAAGATTTGGTATTAAGTACCACTTCAGAAGTGAAAAACAGGCTGGGGTTGTGAATCAAAGGTAGAGCACTCACCTACCAAATGTGAAGCCCTGGGTTCGATCCTCAACACCACATAAAAATGAATCAATAAAATAAAATAAAAGGTATTGTGTCCAACTAAAAACTAATTATTAAAAAAGAAAAAGAAGTGAAAAACAACCTACAGAAAAGCTGTTATATATTAAATATAATCAAATTTGCTTGTTGGTACTTACATAATAGGACAAACTTTGCTGATAAAATTCTATTCATTAAATAGTATATCTACAATATATAATGTAAAATAGAAATAGGATTTTAACATAATGAAAATTGTAATGGAACAAATTCAAAAACAGAAAAGTCACAGTCAAGGGTGCATAAAGGCCTGTGCTATCAGAGACAGCATAAGCTTACCCGATTCTCATCGTAAATAATTTGGACAATACTGCGGTGTTTCTGTTCCACAGGAGGAGGGGACACAGGCTTTTCAGGCTCAGGAGGTTTAGCTGCTTCTTCTTCGAGCTGTTGCTAAGAGACCCAGAAAGGAAGAGTCAGACATCTGCTGCATATCACCTCAACCAGTAATTAACCACCCGAGATTACATATGCTACTGAGCATTGCTTACTGATTCTGTAGGATAGCCATTTAATCTATGAAGGTCTCATGGACCAAATTCAAAGATAATCAGATTTGTTTTAACTAATAATTAAACAACATAAATCACCCTAAGATAGATAGATATGAAACTAAGGAGAAACATCTTATAATTTTGATAAATTAAAGCAAACCATTAAGAGAAATTAATACTGATGAAGGCAACCTAGGTACCTCTATCTCAAGACCTTTTGATGGCACTGGAAAAACTGTGTATTAGAGACACACAGTATATATAAGATCCGGTGGAAATAATATGGTAGAAAAGAGATTGAGGGTTAATCCTTAACTTAGTACAACTATGGCATCCCTGAACCCTTCTTTTTTTTAAAAAAAAAATATTTTTATTAGTTGTTGGATCTTTATTTACATGAGGTGCTGAGAACTGAACCCAGTGCCTCACACATGCTAGGTAAGCAATCAACCACTGAGCCACAATCCTGAATCACTATATTTTATAGTGCTCCAGTCGAGAGGCACTAGACTGCTGACATGAGCAGTTACAAAGCAGAAATCTTTTACTTTATTACTGTCTCAGTTTAAGCCTTAGAGTCTCCCTATATGTGATGTGATTTTAGTAACTTTTCTGGGTTCTTGCCCCAATCTTTTTTTTTTTTAAATATTTTTAGTTGTAGATTGACATAATACCTTTATTTAATTTATTTATTTTTATGTGGTGCTGAGGATTGAACCCAGTGCCTCACACATGCTAGGCAAGTGCTCTACCACTGAGCTACAGCCCTAGCCCTCTTGCTCCAATCTTAAGCCAATATCTAGATGACTCGCATGTAAAGTAGGGGTAGGGATACAACCTAATCATATAGCTTTCTGAAGGGATTAAATGACTCATATATAAAGCATAAAACAACTGTAAATGTTTGGTAAATATTACTTATTATTAGTGAAGCAGGAACTTGTCTGCTTTACCCATTTTTTTTCAAACAGCACACAAACCAATGTCTGAAACCTAGTAAATGCTCAACGAACATCCACATGAATAGATATAAGCATAAATCCCTTGCCTAAGATAATAAAAAGGACTTAAGTTAAAGTTAGGTCCATTAAAAGGCCTAAAGGAAAAAATACCTATACTACTAAGTAAGACTAGTAGTAAAAGCTCCCAGTCCTGTTTAAGTCAGACCACCCCTAAATCAAAGGATTAAAAATCTGCCAAGAGAGAAGCTTGTAGGAACATTTCCACTATGGAGTTCCAAAAACCCTTATAGTCTGTTATTTTATAAGCGAAAGAAAGATGTTTGAAATCCTGAGATCATTTTTGTAGGTGCAGTATCTTCAATGATGTCCTTTCTTTCCTGCTTAGAGGGCCTTCTTTTAAAATCCCTGTTAAGGAATAAATAATCCTAGGGAAATCACACTTCATTTTTCCTCAATAGCCCTGGGATAAAATCATTATAATTGAAAGGCTAAAAATAAATTAATAAATAACATTGCACACACACACAAATTATACATACAAATAACACACACACACACACACACACAGAAAGAAACCCAAACCGTCCTCACCTATTTATTCTTCTATATTAATTTTACATTAATTGTGCTGAATTTTACCTACCTTACTTATCCTAGTTTTAAATCACCAGAGCTTATAACCTCAGCCTGTATTGTACCATTTCTAACCTCTCAAATAGTTTCAGATTTTAATTATTTGAGCATTTGGCAGAATTTAAACAGTGATAAAATCAATTGCATCTAGTATGAATTTACTTTTGCATGTGAAAATTTTTACTAATAATTCAACTTTTTTAAAAATTCGCTTTTATTTTCTTGGGGAATTTTTTTTGGGGGGGGAATATAATTGTATTCTCTTTTTTTTAATTGATTTTATTTTTTAAATACACGACAGCAGAATGTATTATAATTCTTATTATACATATAGAGCACAATTTTTCATATCTTTGTATAAAGTATGTTCATATCAGTTCATGTCTTTATACATGTACTTAGTTTTTTTAATTTTTATAATACAATTCTTATTACACATATATACCACAAGTTTTCATATCTCTGTTTCTATACAAAGTAGGTTGACACCCAATTTATGTCTTCATACATGTACTTTGGATGATGATATCCATCACATTCCACCATTCTTGCTAATCCCCTGCCTCCTCCCCTATTTTCTGTGTAATGTTTCTGCTTCTTATTTCCTTTCTTTGGTTTTACTCTATAATGTCTTACACCTTGGGTACTTAACACATTAATCTTTTAGCTTTAGTTCTTTTCTTTCATTTACTCCTTTTAGCCGCATTCCACAAGTTTTAATTGGTAAAACTTTTTATCGTACATCACAATTTTTTTGACCAGTGTATTAATTATTGTTTTATAAAAATTCCAGGCATATGATTTCTTCTGGTTTATTCTTGGTTGATTTCTAACTCTATAATGGCAAAAGAATATGATCTTTAGTACAGTCTTGAAATTTCTGGTTAATTTTTTGATTGTGATGATCAGTTTTCATAAATATTCTGGTTATGCTTGAAAATAATGGGTATTTTTTACTCTTCAAAATTTTATATATATATATATATATATATATATATATATATATATATATATATATATAAAATTTCTTATTTTTATTGGCAACATATCAATTACCACTGGGATTTTAAATTTTTTCATTTTCTCGAGGAGTTGTCAGTTTTTATGTTGTATATTTTTAAGTCCTGATTTTTAGGTGTATAAATTTTTAAAGATTGTTAGTTTCCTAGTCAGTTAAACCTTTTTAAAAATTTTTATTAGTTATTGACATTCAGCCTCCAGCAATCTGCTAGATTACTAAATGCTGGGCAATTTAGCGAGACCCTATCTCAAAATAAAATTTAAAAAGGGCTGAGGATAGAGCACTTGCCTAGCACATGTGAGGCCCAGGCTTCAATCCCCAGTATTGCAAAACAAAACTCAAAATAAATATTGTTAAATTAAATCCAGCAATTAAATTTTAAAAAGAGATAATATATCATGACTGTTTTAGGCTGAACACTAAAATACACAGGTGATTTAAAACTAAATGAGTTCATCACATTGAGATATTAAAGGAGAAAGATTTTCAGTAAATGTAAAAAAAATGGTATAGCTAAACATTCCTTCATGATTAAATAAAAAGTCTGCATATTGGAATAGAAGGAAATTTTCCAACCTGATGAAGAGTGTCTACAAAAAACTCAACATAATCAATGATAAAATGTAAAACACATTTCTTTAACAGTGGCTTAGTGGTAGAGTGCTTGCTTAGCATGCATGAGGCACTGGGTTGGATCCTCAGAACCACATAAAAATAAAGGTATTGTGTTCACCTAAAACTAAAAAATAATTAAAAATAAATAAATAAATGAATGAATGAAAGCAGCAAAGAACAACAATGATCACTTTAAATATTAGTCTGAACCAGAACAATAAAACAATAGAAAAATAAATAAAAGAAATAAAACTGTAAAGATAAAAACAAAAATGTTATTTTTTAAAATGCTGACATGACTATTACCTATACAGAGGCCCCAAAACAATCTATGAATCATTAGCATAAAAACAATAATTTTGAGAAGCTGCTAGTTAGTATAAAAGAAGTCAAATGTAATATTTAAACAAATAAAAATTTTACAAAGATATTATTAACAATAACACTAGTACACTAGTATGGCAATTTGTAAATCAATGGATGTGTAACTGATGTGAATCTGCAATCTGTATATGGGGTGAAGGTGGGAGTTCATAACCCACTAGAATCAAAGTGTGGAATATGATATGTCAAGAAATTTGTAATGTTTTTGAACAACCCACAATAAAAAATTAAAAAAAAAAAAAAAAAAAAAAAAAAAAACAATAACATAAAAATATAAAGTATCTAAGTTGACTCTAACACAAGGTACATAAAATATTTTTGGACAAAACTAAAACATGAACTAGGTACAATGGCATGCACCTGCAATCCCAATGACTTAGAGGCTGAAGGAGGAGGATCACAAGTTCTAATTCAGCCTAGTAAAAGTAATAAAATCTTTTCTCAAAATTTAAAAAAGGCTGGAGTGTACCTCAGTGGTATAGCATTTGACTGGCATATGTGAGGCCCTAAGTTCAATCCCCAGAATCACAAAATAAATAAAACATGAAAAAAAAATTAAAAAATGGAAAAGTATACTATATTCATGGATTGTTAAGACTCAAAATCATAAAGATATCTTTTCTGGGCTGGGTATATAACTCACTGGTAAAACACTTGCCTAATATGAGTAAGGCTCTGGGTTCAATCCCCAGTATGCAAAAAATAGAAGACATCACTCCCTCAAAATTGATTTCTACATTCTATATGATTCCCTCTAAAATTTCAGAAAGATTTTTCGGAGAAATGAACAACGTGATCCTAAAAATTATATGAGATACAAAAATTTTTGGTAGCTGAAATGTTTACACAGAAGTGGGGCATTAGAGATTTATTAGAGATTTATTTTCTTACTGAATAAGAATTACTATAAATCTCTAATAAGTAGGAGAACCTAAGAAGACAATACCAGCAGACAGGAACCCAAAGCCCAGAAAGCAATCTATTTATAGATGTAAACATTAATTATAATAGAATCAATACTAAAGAGCAGTTGGTGGTGGTGGTGGGGGGGCTTTTGACTGTTACCTTGAGGGTGACAAAAAGTTAATTTCCAGTGGATTAAAGAATAATGTGGGAGGCTGGGGTTGTGGCTGAGGCTGGGGTTGTGGCTCAGTGGTAGAGCACTTGCCTGGCATGTGTGAGGCCCTGGGTTCAATCCTCAGCACCACATATAAATAAATAAATAAATAAAAGATCCCTTTACAACTAAAAATATTTTAAAAGAATAATGTGGAAAGCAAAACTACAAAACTTTAAGAATATAATAAATTACCTTATTCATAAGACTTAAAGAAATTCTGTTCACCAAAAAACACCATTGACAAGGAGACACAAAAAGTGGAACCCTTATAAACTTCTGGTGGGAATATAAAATGGTTCAGCCACTTTGGAAGACAGTTGGAAGTTCCTCAAACATTTAAATGGATTTACCACATGACCCAGCAATTCCACTCCTGGATGTATATCCAAGGGGGAAAACATGTCAATGCAAAAATATGAATATCACATCAGCATTATTCATCATAGTCAAAAAGTGGACAAACCAAATGATTACCAACTAATGAATGAACAAATAAAATATAGCCAAGCAATGGAACTATTATTCAATCATAGAAAGTAATAAAGTGTCCATACAAAATACTGCATGGATGAATCTTGAAAACATGCTAAATAAATGCAGTCAAACACAAAAAGTCACATAATTTATGTTGCTATAGGCCAAAATGTCCAAAATACACAAATCATAGACACAGACAGTTGAGGGGAAGCCAAAGGATGAAAATGAGAGAAATGGGGAGTAACTACTAATTGATATGGGGCTTTCTCTTAAAGTAATAAAAATTAACTTGATATCTGGAATTACTGGTGATGGCAAATCTTTATAAATATATTACAAGCACTTTGAAAAGGTAAGTATTGTGGAATATGACATATAATCTTAATTTTTAAAAAGTCCTTCCTTGAGCCAGGTGGCATACACCTGTAATCATAGCTACTTGAGAGTTGAGGCAGGAGGAACACTTGAGTTCAGGAGTTACGGACCAGTCTAGACAATATATCAAGGCAAAATACTTTCTCATTTAAAAAGCAAATCCTTCCTTAAAAAAAAAGAAATGACAAACCACAACTTAAATGATATCTATGATGTACATAACTGACAAGTCTTTAAGAAATCTTTTTTCCCCCCACACATGCTAGGCAAGTACTTTATCCCTAAACTACATCCACAACTCTTTTTCTTATGAGATAGGGTCTCACTAAGTTGCCGAGACTAGCCTCAAAATTATGATCCTTCTGCCTTGGCCTGTCAAGTAGCTGGGATTACAGGCATGCAACACTACACCTGGTAGGAAATAAAGATAAGAAAATAACAAAACAACTTAAGAGGATACAAGACCTTAATGATACGTACTGGGAAAACAAGCCACAAACAAGTGAAACTAAGCCCAGCCTCATTTCTAATCAAAGAAATGCAAATTAAAACCAAAGTGAAAACTACTTCATATCCAAATGAAAAAAAATATACATCAAGTAAAGATAAGGATGTGCATAAACTAATACACATCCATGCTACAAATGGGAATGTAAAATTGTACTCTCATTTTAACAAATTTGGCATCATACAGTACACTCAAAGAATATATAATCAGACAGTACAGAAACTAAGAAAACTAATAGCCAAAAAAAGCAAATCACAGACTATATAAGGAATGATTCCTTTTATATATAGTTCTAAAATATGGAAAATTCAACATTACCTTCTTTAGGGGGAAAAACATATTAGCATATATTAAGAAATAAAAGCACTTACTTGTTTCTTTTTCAGTTTAAGGATCTGCTGTTCTACTTTCGCAATTTCTCTATCTACACGATCCATACTCTGTATTAACTCTTCTTTTGAAAGCTTGGAAGGTGAAGCATTTTGATCATCTCCACATGGTTGCCCAGAGATTGGAGAAGATGGAGCTTCATGTTTGCCTCCAAATGCTGGATCCTTTAAAGAAATTTGAGACCAGCAATTTATTTCTCACTAACAGCACACTGGCTGTTTAAGAGTCAAGATGGTCTTAACTGAAAAAGTAACTTTTAAAATACAGCAGAGCCATGTGTACTATTTCCCTAACAGCAGTCTCTTACTACCAATTTTCATATCCACACACAAGCAAATATACATACATAAATCCCACAGATGGTTACAGAACTTTTCTAGTTTAGATGAATCATTCACTATTTTGAAGACCCTAAAAGCTATACACAGTGAGGTGGCCAGGTGGTTGATCAGTCTTCAGTAACCATACTGACACTACTGGGAAATTCTAGGGAAAGGAAAGGAAAGAAAGAGATAAATTTCTGAGCCATTTTCTTGCAACAGCTCTTTAAAATAAGAATAAGAAATAGTGTCTCTCCAGGTAAAACCTGTGTGTCCACCCAACTTAACAGCTATGATATGGCCAAGAATTCCTATCAAAAATTTTTCAGGGCCTGGGGGATGTAACTGAGTGGTACAGTATATACTCAGCATGTATAAGGCCCTGGGTTCAATCCCCAATATCTCTCTCTCTCTCTCTCTCTCTCTCTCACACACACACACACACACACACACAGAGTTTTCAGAATTTCTAAGGATCAAAGCTGAGGCACAGAAGTCAGACCTAGGAACATTTGTTCTTACCATTTCTAGGCCTACCATCGTAAAGCAGATAGACAACTAAGCCTGTCCATACTATAACACATGTAATCTCTCTTTAGTGAAAAACCATCATCTTACTTTACACACACAAAAAAAAAAAGAAAAAGAAAAGAAAAACTTCATCAATTCCACCAACAAATCTGCAAAAGAATGAAAGCCCCTCCACCCAAAATCTACTATCACAATACACACACAAAATCACTAACTTCCAATATGAGGTAAAGATATAAGCCAGGTCATAAAACAAATGAATTTTAGTTTGAGGTTTTAGTTTTCTTTAGGCTATGAGAAGCCCAGAATGAGAATGATAAGTGAAACTGTAAAAACCTAACAGGTATTAAATAATGAGCCTGGTACAGTGGTGCTGATTTGTAATCCCAGAGGCTCGGGAGACTGAGGCAGGAGAATCAAGTGTTTGAAGACAGCCTCCGCAACTTAGCAAGGCCCTAAGCAACTTGACAAGACCCTGTCTCTACATATAAAAAGGGGCTGGGATGTGGCTCAGTGGTTAAGTGCCCCTGGGTTCAATTCCCAGTACCAAAAAAACAAACAAAACCTAGCTGGTTCTAATTCTAAACCAAGAATGTACAGAAGAGATACCTAAATAATTGTCTCAAACCACTTTGTTACAGAGACCGCAGCTAAAACATAACATGTATATTGCTAAAAAGCCTAAAAAGGCTAAACCTGACATAGCACACACTTAATAAAAGGGACATCTGGAGAAAAGATGATGGTGGCTACATCCTAAAATCCTATACAACTCTATAAGGAAGCCTTAATAAAACAAAGAATAATATAGCTCAGAAGCAGAATAGTTGCCCAATATGCACAAGGCTTATCTCTAGAACCTCCAAAAAAAAAAAAAAAAAAACCAAAAAGTATATGTATATATATATACACACATATAAATCTAAAAAAAATTTAAATAACAATAGATCAATAATACAGTTAAATTCCTGTATCATTTAGGTTTAATATGCAGTTTATCTCTAGCAGCCTTAAACCCTGTACTTCATGCTTCCTCTGTTACAATATAAATTCTTGAAGTTACTAGTTTTCAAAAGAAAACAGTGTCTTCAAAATAAGAAATCATATCTGGGGTATGACCATCTCCCCATCAACCTTAAAAAACAAAATATAGGCGGAAATATCTTTATAATATCTTTTTAACATTCACTAATACCATGAAAGGCATAGTAATTCTTCTTTTTTTGGGACTGGATATTTAACCTAGGAGTGCTTTACCCCTAAGCCACATCTCTAGCCCTTTTCATTTTCAGACAGCATTTCAATAAGTTGCTTAGGGCATCACTAAATTGCTGAGGCTGGCCTTGAAATTGCAATCCTTCTGTCTCCATTCCTCCTGAGTCACCCACCAAAGCATAACAATCTTGAATTCACTAAACCAGCTACTCTGACACTAAATGAAGACTAACTGCAGACTTTGTTAATTTTCTTAAGGTCTTCTTTAATTGTGAGATAGCTTGTTCCTGAAAACTTTGAAACATTAATGTACAGAGAAAAATATTTAATGAATCATCCAGACTTCCATGTTATATTAATATTTGTGTTATATAATTATGTATAAATGTGAAACATTATACTTTCATCAGTAGATTTTGAAAATGCTCCACAGGTAATTCTGATGCATGCCCTAAGAATTGGTATTACATATCAATATTTTCCACGACTTCCTTTCTGATTAAATATTTAACAAAAAGATAAAACTCCTGAGTACATCCTTATATGACAGAATTTAGGCACAAAATTACAATCGAAACATTGTCCCCACCTTCATGCAACATCCAGACAGCTATTTTTTAAAAAAAGAATTAATTTCCTACTCACATCTTATATCAAAATAAAAGCCAAGAAATAACAAACATAGGAGGTTTATCAGCAAATCACAAAAAAACTTTAAAAAATGACATCTTGGGCTTAGGAAGGATAATAACAAAACATACTATTTAAAAAGAAAAACTGATGAAACAAAAACAATCTTCTGATTATCAAAATTATAACAAATGTAAGAGGCAAATAATGAAATGGGGAAACCATCTGAAAACATTAACTAAAAACTCAACATAAAATCAAAAACAAACAACAGAAAAATGAGTCAGGTAAGCAGATCTAGGGGTTCCTTTCAACTTAAAAGGCTCTATATAGGTCTCTGACTTTTCCTCAATATTGGTTTCCCAACTATAAAATAGAAATAAGCTTAGATGCTGTGGGCACACCTATCATACCAGCAGCTCGAGATGAGGCATGAGGACTGCAAATTCAAAGCCAGCCTCAGTAACTTCATGAGGCCCTAAGCAACTTAGCAAAACCCTGTCTCTAAAAACAAAAAGGGTCTAGGATGTAACTCAATGGTTGAGCACCCCTGTGTACAATCAATCCCTTTTTTTTTGGTACCAAACAAAAGAAAAAAGGAAATAGGTCTTACTTTGATCCAACATGTTACATTTTAATGAATGAGTGCTTAAGATTCCCTTCTGCTAATATATATATATATCTTTAAATTATATTATGATAAATTATTCAGTCCTGAAAGAACTTTATTCGCTATGTTTAAGGGTTTTTTTCCTTTTAATGCAGTAAAACATTTCTTATAAACCAGAAACACTATATAATAATGGTGCATCACATGGTCAGGTGTGTCTCAAACCTCCCAGAAGCTAGCTTACCACAAAGAGCTTTCTACATTCAACTTATTATTTTGAAAACTTACATAAAAGTTAAATGAATAATAAAAAGGACAGTCATTTATCCTTCATCTAGATTTACCAGTTGTATGCTATATTTGCTTTCTCTTTATATATACAAATTGTTCTTGAACTATTTGAAAATAAAGCATAGACATACTATCTTTTAAATTATTTTTCATTGCATAAAATCTCAAAGAAAATTGTGGGTATTTATTCACATGATATTAGGGAAGAAAAGGCAATTAGCCATAAAAGTAAATAGAGGAAAGAGGTTTGATGTGAAAAACATTTTTGGGGGGGTTACCAGGGATTGAACACAGGGGCACTAAAACCACTGAGCCACATCCCCAGCCCTATTTTGTATTTTATTTAGAGACAGGATCTCACTGAGTAGCTTAGCATGTCACTTTTGCTGAGGCTGGCTTTGATTTTGCAATCCTCCTGCCTTAGCTTCCGGAGTTGCTGGGATTATTGGTATGTGCCACCGCACCCAGCTCTGTCAAAAACATTTTAAACTTCAGTACGCTATAAAGATAAAAAAAAATTTTAGCAGGCACAGTGGCGCATGCCTGTAATCCCAGCAGCTCAGGATGCTGAGACAGGAGGATCACAGGTTCAAAGACAGCCTCAGCAAAAGCAAAGAGCTAAGCAACTCGGTGAGACCCTGTCTCTAAATAAAATACAAAATAGGGCTGGGGATGTGGGTCAATGGTTGAGTGCCCCTGAGTTAAATCCCAAATCACAAAAGAAGAAAAAAAAAAAATAGAGCTAGGTGTGATTGCACACACTTGTAATCCCAGTGGTTTGGAGTTTGAAGCCAGGAAGATCAAGAGTTTGAAGCCAGCCTCAGCAACTCAGCAAGACACTAAGGAACTCAGCAAGACCCTGTCTCTACATAAAATATCCAAAAAAAAAGGGGGGGGGGCTGGGGATGTGACTCAGTGGTTAAGTGCCCCTGCTTCAAAAAAAAAAAAAATTAAGACAAAAGACAGTGGGGAAAGCATTAACAGATGTTAATAAAAATGGTTAATATGCCACTGTTAATCATTTCTTAACTTATTTTAAAACAAGTATTTATTCAATACCTACTTGTTAGGTATTTCCTACTCTACAAATTTAATAAGGAAAACAGACCACTGAAAAAGATAAGCATAACAACAAAGCAAAAGCATAATACAGGGACACATTTCACAAAAGAAGGGTAATAACAAACACAAGAGGAAAAATAATGTGAACTTAAAAGAACTCTCATAAATTCACTCTATGCATTATTTGAAATGTCACAAAATATAGTTAACACTAAAAGTATTTGTTCCATCTGATTGTACGAATGACTCTAGTTAACCATAATATATTATATACTTGAAAACTGCTAAGAGATTTTAAATTTTCTTACCACATAAAAGGCAACTACAAGAGGTAAAAAATACGTTAATTAGTTTGATTGACTCATTCCAAAATATACATATATATCAAATATCACATAGTGCAGTAAATATACAAAATTTTATTTAAAAATTAACGAAATAAGGGAGTCATTATCTGCAAATAAATTACATCACTTCTTTCCTCTATCATTTCCAAGTTTTCTGTATTTGTAATACTTATATAAATTAGAAGCAAATTTTTTTCTACATTAAAAACTATAGTTAAACTGTACCTAAAATGTGTTTTCGCCTATGTAGTAAGTTAATAAATTGCTACTACATTATAGGGGCTTATTTAAAATATAATTTAAATTTGACAAAACTGGTAGTCTTGAGTGCCTCAGACCATATTTTATAGTGCAGCAAGTCAGTCCAAATTTCTGAGAATTAGCCAATAGAAATTTTTCTTTATCAGTTCTCAGATTGTTTTCATTTCCTAAAAAGTCAAAAGTACTGACTTTAAAGTCTGGAGAACTAAATCTGTGTTATATGGTTCTATTTAACAAAATTTTTACTTTCCTATTAGCAGTAGCCTTTAGGGAGTGGCATAACTGGACTGTCTTTTAGGCACTGTGCCTGAATATGGCTAAATAAACATTACAAACCTATAGCTCCACAGGGCAAGAGAACAAATATTTACCTTCTTAGCATCTGCAGAAGACCTCAATCCTTCTGGCAGCGTGTGCACTAAAGGTAAAACCGCAGCACTGACACGCTGAAAATGGGAATCAGAAACCTGCTCCAGACGTGGTCGCTTGGATTCCAGTGAATCATGATCCACTGTGGATGGGCCTGGGTGAAACTGTTCATATCCAGTTCTCCTCTCTTGAGGCCTAATACGTATAACAACAACCAAAAAAAATTCTTGAAAATTTTTAAGTGATACTTCTAACATCCTGGTAAGACTTTTAAATAAATTAAAAATTTGTGTTTATTTTCAAAGTGAACTGCTTCCTGCCTCCTGCTCAACTCAGAATAATATATACCGTACTAGAGTACTATTAAACTTCTAATTCTAATAACAGATTCTTTGGCAGGGAAGGGAAGGATGGTAAAAAAAAAAAAAAAAAATCTGGAAGTAAATGACAAAAGATTTTGATTTGCAAAAGAAATTACAAGTTCCTAAAGGATATCCATAAAATAGTTTTAAACCCTATGCCATAAAAAATGAATTCCAGATCTGAGGATTTTTCAACCAATAATAAAAATAAGCAGAAAAAAAAAAAACAAAAAAACTCCCAGCTACTGCTACATGGAGAGACAAGTGACTTGAAGTAAGGTGTCATCGAGTCTTAAAGATTGGTCTATTACATGCCAGGCAGAGTGGCACAGAATTATAATCCCAGCTACTAGGGAGGCTGAGGCAGAAGGATTCAAGGTCCAGGATAGTGTAGGCAAACTAGTGAGGCCCTATTTGAAAATAAATAAGGGGGTAGGATGGGTGTAGTTCAGTGGGAGAACACTTGTATCACATGTGGGAGGACTTGAGTTCAATCCCTACTACCACTAAAGAGAAAAGAAAAAAAAGACCAAGTTTTTTCCAATGCTGTTTCTTAGCACATCATCCTGACCCCCAAAATTCTAAATTTCCCCCCAAAAGAAAAAAGTGTCTTGAAAGTTAGGATGCATCTGTTATTTGTCTACATGATGTATTACAGAGTCTTGGTTATGGGTATTCATTAACTTGACAATTTTCTACCAAAGTATTTACAGAGGTGATATTTTACTTTATGGCCAAGCTTTAAATTAACATCTCAAAAAAACAACATTTCACTGAAAACATAATCATTGGGTTTCATGTTTAGGAGAGATGATAAAAAATGCTAAGGCCTATAAAATTATACTTCAAAAATTGTAAACCTCATTTAAAACACAAAATTCCATGACCTCTTAAAATGAAGAACCTTGTCACAAAAAACAGTGGAGCAAGAAGCTTTAGGAATAAAACAAGGATGACTGCTTTCACCACTGGACATTCTTGTCAGACCATCGGGCAAGAAAAAGAAATAAAAAGTGTCCAAAATTGGAAACACATTCCTGTTCACAGAAGACATAATCTCTTACATAGAAAACACTAAAGAAGTCACATAAAATGCTTAAGAGTAAATAAGCAAATGCAATGAAGTTGCAGGACACAAAAATCAACACACAAAATCCCATTGTATTCCACATACTAGCTTTGAACAACCTGAGAAGGATTTTAAAAATAATTCTATTTGCAATAGCACCCGAATGAAATAAGAATAAAATTTGACCAAGGAGGATCAAGACTTAAACACTGAAACTCAGAAAACACAGCTGGAATAAAAGATTTAAAAAAAAAAAAAAAGTAGGAAATTTAGCTGGGTGCTTGTGGCACACGCCTATAATCTCCAGGAGGATCACAAGTTCAAAGCCAGCCTCAGCAAAAGTGAGGTACTAAGCAACGCAGTGAGACCCTGTCTCTAAATAAAAAAAAAAAAAAAAATAGGTCTGGGGATGTAGATCAGTGGTCAAGTGCCCCTGAGTTCAATCTCCAGTGCCCCCTCCTCCAAAACAGTAAGAAATTTCATGTTCATGTATTGGAAGATGTAACACTGTTGAGATAATACAAAGTAACTTAACAGAGTCATTCAATGTGATCTCCATCAAACTCCCACTGGCATTTTTTTAAAGAAGTAGAAAGACTATCTTAAAATTTATATGGAGGGGCTGGGGTTGTGGCTCGGTAGTAGAGCGCTTGCCTAACACGTGTGAGGCACTGGGTTAGATTCTCAGCACCGCATATAAATAAATAAAATAAAGGTCCATTGACAACTAAAAAAATTAAAAAATTTATATGGAATGTCAACATGACCTTGGGAAAAAAAGAACAAAGTTGAAGAGCTTGCACTTCACAATTTCAACAACAATAGCTACATTAATCAAGAGATTCATCCTCCACTCATTAGCCAGAAGTAATCTATCAAACACATTTTACTCCAGTCAGAATGACAGCTATTAAGAATACAAACAATAATAAATGCTGGAGAAGATGTAGGGGAAAAAAATACTTTTCCATTGTTGATGGGTTTGTAAAAATTAGTATAACCACTCTGGAAATCAATATGGAGTTTCCTCAAAACATTAGAAATGAAACCATTACATGAACCACCTATACCTCTCCTCAGTATTTATGATAAAGAATTAAAGTCATCATACTTATTATAAGGAAACAGGCATATGCATGTTTATAATAGCACAATTCACAATAGCCAAACTATGGAACCAGATGAAAAGATAAAGAAAATGTGATCCACATACATTCATACAAACAACAGAGTTTTACTCAGGCATAAAGAAAAATGAAATTAGGTCATCTGCAGGTAAATGGATAGAGCTTGAGAATACTATGTTAAGCAAAATAAACCTAATTCAGAAGGTCAAGGGTCATATGTTTTCCCTCATATGTGAAAACTAAAGAAGAAAAAGGAAAAGAAAGTTGGGGGGGGGGGTCTCATGAAAACTGAAGGGAGATCAGTAGATTAAGGACACCATGGGAAGAAAGAGTAAAGGGAAAGCGGGTAAATGGGGAATAATATTGGCCAAGTTATGCACACAGGAATATGTAACAACAAATTTCACCATTATGTAGAACTATAATGCAACAATTAAAAAAAAATGGGGGAAAAAAACTACCATCTGTCATGAGGTTAAAGGCCAAGCCAGTCAACACAGCACAAAGAATCAAAGTTATTGCTAGCCCACAAGAAAACCCTCTGCCAACCTAGAGTTCCTCTTAAACTTTAAGGGGAAAACATTTGTTGTTCAATTACATAATTTCTATACTTTACAAGTTTCTCCAGTCCAGAAATATATGTTATCATGTTAGATGATCTTCATAGTTTTCTACTTCTTTGTAACTGCCTAAACTTTGTCCTTCTGCATTCATTCTGATTCTGTCAAGACTTCTTACTTTCAATCATACCTTATTTTATTCCTTGATCCTTTTCATTTTATATACTGATTTTATAAAGGTGGGCAGGGTGATATCTGAATGTCCAATCAATCATTTTATTTCTTTGGTTGTCTTATTTTATTTTTGAATGTATCATTTTAAGTTCATCAACAGTACACTGCACTAATAGGGTATATTCTTGGTTTGTGTTTCTTACACAAAAGGCTTTTTGGGGGGAGGGCACACTGAGTTTTCTTTAATTTCTCTTTCCAGGTATGTATTTGCTGTGTTCAAGCCTCTGCTGATCTACTCTTCCAAACAGACATATAAATTACTCCCGAGGGCTTGCTCATCACCCTGGAAAATTTCACACCACAGGTCCTCTATCTGCAACCACTGAGAAACCAAGACAGCAGAATGGGAATGTCTAAGCATACCATTCACTACCACCCCCATTTAATTTTTCTCCAATTAGGAAATATGCATGAGAAATCCTAGGATATTACTGACCCTCTTTCTTTCTCTCAACACTGCTTCTTTGAGAGTTAAAAGTAGGTAAGGTGGGTGGGGATGTGGCTCAAGCAGTAACGCGCTCGCCTGGCATGTGCAAGGCGCTAGGTTCGATCCTCAGCACCACATAAAAATAAAGATGTTGTGTCCTCCGAAAAAACTAAAAAATAAATATTAAAAAAATTCTCTCCCTCTCTCTCTCTCTCTATCTCTCTTTAAAAAAAAAAAGTAGGTAACAGGAGGTCAAGTCATTCAAATTTCCTTCTAATTCCTTTCCCTAAATCTCATTTTTCCAAGTTCATGGTAGAAGTAAGATTACTTTTCTTTTTTTCATACAACTTAAAAATTTTAAACCTTTTTAAAAACTACTTTTGGATATTTGTTAGAAATTGGGGAGGGTTAACATAAATTATCTCTACAAATTTCACCAAAAAGTATATATATAGTAATTTTAAATGTAGCCAAATAATTTTAAATCTTATCATCATAATATCTGAACAAGTAAACACATTTTAAAGATAGGAAATAAGGTTCCTTATACTATTGAAAACTAGAAAAGAAATTTAGTAAGTATAGTGAATAGTAAAGAAATTACTACAGATATCACAGAACTAAAACAGATAATAAGGGCCTGTTATAATTATTTGTCACTAATAAATAAATTCCTAGAAAAATATAACCTACTAAGATTGAATCATAAAGAAATAGAAAGTCTGACCAAACCAATCACACACACAAATTGAAGAAGCAATCATAATTTCCCAGAAATGAGAAGTCCAGGATGAGATGGCTTCAGGCTGAATTTTACAAAATATCCAAAGAAAAATTAATACTAACAAATCTTAAACTATTCAAAAAATGAGAGCTTGAGGGCTAATTCCAAACACATTTTATGAGGCCAACATCACCTTGATTCCTAAACCAGAAAACAATAGGCCAGTCTCTCTGATAGATTACTGATGCAAAAATCCTCAATAAAATATTAGCAAATGAATCCAAAAATATATCAAAAAGATGATACACCATGCGTCATTCCGACTCGGCTATGGCTCTCAGCATCGAGCAACTAGCACAACACCAGTAATCCCAGCAGATCAGGAGGCTGTGAAGGAGGATCACAAGTTGAAAGGTAGCCTCAGCAACAGTGAGGCGCTAAGCTATTCAGTGAGACCCTATCTCTAAATAAAATACAAAACAGGGCTGGGGATGTGGCTCAGTGGTTGAGTGCCCCCCGAGTTCAATCCCTAGTAACCCCCCTCAAAAAAAAATACATCATAACCAAGTGGAATTTATCCCAAGCATGAAAGACTGGTTTAGCATATACAAACCCATCCATGTGTTACATCACATTAAGAAAAGACATAACATCAATTGATGTGAAAAAGCATCCAACAAAATCCAACTCTTTTTCCCTGCCCCTACTCCCAGTGCAGTGAATCGAACCTAGGGGCCTCATACATACTAGGCAAGCTATCTACCACTGAGATACATCTCCATCTTCCAACATCCTTTCCTGATAAAAACTAACACTTGGGCTGGGGTTGTGGCTCAGTGGTAGAGAACTTGCCTAGCACTGGTGAGGCACCAAGTTCAATCCTCAGCACCACATAAATAATAAAGTTATTATGTCCACCTACCACTGAAGATAAATAAAATTTAAAAAAATAATGGGAAAAAAACCCTAACAATTTGGATATAGAAGTTCCTCAACATAATTAAGACCATTTATGAAAAACCCACAGCTAACATTATAATCAATGAAAGTTCTACTATAATCTGGTACAATAAATTTTTTTCCCAATACTGGGGATCAAACCCAGGGGCTTACTACCACTCAGCTACTTTCCAAACTATTTTTTTGTTTGTTTGTTTTTTATTTTGAGAAAGGGTCTAAATTTGCCCAACGTGGCCTCAAACTTGAGATTCTTCTGCCTCAGTCTCCCAAATCCTTGGGATTACAGTCATGCACCACTGTACCCAGCTCCTTAATATTAAAATTTAAAAAGAAGCTAGGAACACAGCTCAGTGGTAGAGTGGTTAGTTGTCTAGCATGAACAATGCCCAGGATTCAATCCCCAGTACTTCCCAAAAAAAGAAAGGAAAGAAAAAAGAAGAGGCAAAACTCCCCAAAACCCTGAATAGACATTTCTTCAAAGAAAACATAAAAATTGTTAAGTTACATGAGCCTTGCATGGTAGCACATGCCTGTAATCCCAGCAGCTCAGGAGGCTGAGGCAGGAGAGTTGCAAATTCAAAGGCAGCCTCAACAAAAGCAAGGTGCTAAGCAACTCAGTGAGACCCTGTCTCTAAATAAAATACAAAATAGGGCTGAGGATGTGCTCAGCGGTCGAGTGCCCCTGAGGTCAATCTCTCGTACTGAGGAAAAAGGAAAAAATAAATAAATTGTTAAGTTACACGAAAAATTACTCAACACCATTATCAAAACCACTATATAAGGGGCTGGGGTAGTTCAGTGGTAGCGTTCTTGCCTTGCAGGTATGAAGCCCTCTGTTTGATCCTCAGCACCACATAAAAATAAATAAACATATTGTGCCTATCTACAACTAAAAAAATATTTTTAAAAATCATTATATTGGCTGGGGATGTGGCTCAAGCGGTAACGTACTCGCCTGGCATGTGCAGGGCGCTGGGTTCGATCCTCAGCACCACATAAAATAAAGATGTTGTGTCCACTGAAAACTAAAAAATAAATATTAAAAAAAATTCTCTCTCTCTTTTCTCTCTCTCAAAAAAAAATACCATATATAAGATAATACCTCATACCTATTAGAATGGCCATTATCAAAATATCAAACAATAACAAATGTGGACAAGGGTTTGGAGAAAAGTGAACTCTTGCACACTATTGCCAGGAATGTGAATAGTATATCATTGTGGAAAGGAGTATGAAGGTTTCTGAAGAAATAAAAATAGAACTATCATATGAACCAGCAATCCCTCTTATGAACATATATTAAAAAGAAATGAAAGACGTCTGCACTCTGATTTTAGTCAGCATCATTCATAATAGCCAAGATATGAAAAAAGAAAAAAAATCTGTCTATTGATGGATAAGTTGATAAAGAAACTGATGTGTGTACATGTGTGTATACATTATTCACGTTTAAAAAAAAAATGAACTACCCATTTTCCACAACATGGATGGGCCTGGAGGACATTATGCTAAGTGATATAAACCAGACACAGAAAAAAATTATCGCATGATCTCATTTACATATGGAATCTTTTTTAAAAAATTCAAATATATGGGGCTGGGGTTGTGGCTCAGTGGTACAGTGCTTACTTAGCATGTGTGAGGCACTAGGTTTGAATCTCAGCACCAAATAAAAATAAAGGTATTGTGTCTATCTACAACTAAAAAGTATATATTAAAAAAAAAAACTTTTTAAAAAATTAGAATATACCCAGGGCATGGTAGCACACGCTTGTAATCCCAGCAACTGAGGAGGCTGAGGCAAGAAGATTACAAGTTTGAGACCAGCCTTAGTAACTTAGCAAGGCCCTAAGAAACTTAGCAAGACCCTGTCTCAAATAAAAAATATAAAGGGCCAGGGATGTGGCTCAGTGATAAAGTTCCTCTAGGTTAAATCCCTAGTACAAAAGAAAAATGGCTAGAGATAGAGAACAAAACAGCAGTTCCAAAGGCAGAGGAAAGATGAAAATAGGATGATGTAGTCAGATGATACAAAGTAGCAGATATGTAGGATGACAAATTCAAAGATCTGACCTATACCACTAGGACTAGGCAATAAAACCGTATTTGGGATGCATGCCAAGTGGGTCAATTTTAGTTGCTCTTGCTGGAAAAGAGGGGAGCAACAATGGAAATTATGAATATGTTAATTTGTTCAGTACAGTAACCTTTTAATTATTTATATGTGTACCATAGCATCATGTTATACACATACCTTAAATATATGCAATAAATTTATTTTAAAAAAACTTTATAATTGAAAAAAAGTAAAAGAAGAGATGGTAAAGACATTGGAGAAAAAGACTACCACATAGAGGGACTACTCTAACTGATGGAAATTTACTATTTACTTTGAACACCATGGCATTAATATCCCCGTTGTTACAAGTCAGAAAATTAAAGCTGAAATAGTCTAAGTCAGAAACTTACAACCCTAGCTGCAAATGAAACTCACCTAGGAAACTATAGACACTAAACTAATACTTGGGTACAACTTCAGAGAGTGATTTAATTGTTCTGTGAGGGGACTTGGTTATCCCAGGTGGTTCCAGTATGTAGTATAAATTGAGAAAGATCATTAGTTTATATAAAACAACCAAGGTTACCAGGATTCAAACATAGGTATCCATTATTTCCCCCAACATTAACATTAATGTTGTGGAAACAAGTTTTAAAAACTTGATAACTATTGTGATAACTACTATAGAAGATCAAACAATATAAAGGGCTCAAAATATAAATTATAAATGCCCACTCATATCTTGGTTAGTGAAAAATAATAATAAAAGAAACTGCAAACTAGGCTTGGTGGCACAGGCCTGTAATTCCAGCAGCTCAGGAGGCTGAGGCAAGATCACTTTTGCCAGCCTCAGCAAAAGTGAGTTGCTAAGCAATTCAGTGGACCATGTTTCTAAATAAAATACAAAATAGGGCTGGGAACGTAGCTAAGTAGTCAGGTGCCCTTGCATTCAATCCCCGGCACACCACCCTCCCCCAAAAACAAAATGACCAAATTATAATCCTTTTAAAAATTCCATTACCTGTCAGACCCTGGGTGAAATTCTGAAAGTAAGGAAGGTCGTCTTCGAAGCTGCTGTTGTTGCTGTTGCTGCAAGAGCTGTGATGCCTGACTAACTTCAAGATGAGAAGAGCGATAGTCAGGGACTGCAAACTCCTGATATTAAAATAACAAAAAATTAGCTATTAACCAATAACTGAAAAGCATAATTAATCAAAATAACTAGTTAAGGAAACAGCAATGAAGACTTCAATCCTTCACTTAGCCAATTCTTCCCCAAAAAACTAAAACAATCAACATTTTAACTGCTTATCATGAAAAATAACTCAAAATGAAATCTGAAGTTCAGCCTATATTTTATTCATCCCTCTAATAACATATTACTGTAACTCCCAATGTGTACTGTTCACATAAGTAAAATCTCAAACTCTAGTATTCAATATGAAATCCTAGAAAGTATTCCAAACTAAAAATGAATAGTTAGAAGGGCCACATACATAACCTAGTTACATCAATGCATTTTGACAAATGAAGAAACTGAAGTCTGAAAATTAACCTGGTAGTTAAGAGTCATTGTTTTTGTACCATAGCTAGGTAAATGTCTTTATACTTATTTTCCTTTTTGTTTGATTTTCTTTTCTACCCGCTTTTCCTGACAAGAATCACCAGGCCCAAGGCCCCTTGATCGAACACTTGGCCAAACCAAGTTGAGTCTCAGTGTCCTTACAGTCCACCGCTTTGGGCCTGAGGTGAGGCAAAAGAACATCACAGTGGAAGGATGTAGCAGAGAAAAAGCTGTTCACCTCACAACAGCTGGGAAGGGGTGGGGGATAAGATAGAAGAAATAGGGAGGAAGAAAGAAGAGAGGGGACAGAGGGAAAGGAGAGGGGAAGAGGAAGATGAGAAGGAAGAAGAAGAAAGAAAAATCCATTGTTGTTGTTATTGTTTTTTAAAAAATAGGGTTTTGTTATGGTGCCTACACTAGCCTGGAAATCCTGGACTCAAACAATCCTCCTGCTTCAGTCTCTCAAACAGTTGAAATTACAAGTGTGCACCATTATACTTAGCTTTAGGCTAATTTGTCTGCTCTTGATTTTTTAGCAAAAGCTTCTTTTCATAACAAATCTATTGTGGTAACTCAATCATAAACAGATGTTAAACACAAAATTACTAAATAACCAAGGAATTTAGTATATATATACAAGATCCATGCCCAAAGGGATTAAAAGTACCCAACTAGACACAAAACAAATTCTCAGGACCACTACTCACAATTATCAAAAAAGAAGCACCCAAATGCCCAAAGACTAATGAATGAATAAATAAAACATGGTATATCCATACAATAGAATATTATTCAGCACAAGTTAAGAACCTAAAAAAATTATAAGTTTAAAAAGAAAGTTGGATAGGGCTGGGGTTGTGGCTCAGCGGTCAACTGCTTAACTAGCATGTGTGAGGCACTGAGATCAATTCTTAGCACCACATATAAATAAAGTCTATTGACAACTAAAAAATATATTAAAAAAAGAAGTATTCAGATAAAAAGGCCACATATATTATTCCATTTATATTAAATTTGTACAAGAGGCGAATTCATAGAGATATAAAGTAGATTAGAGATTGCCAGAGGATGCGGGGGGGGGGGGGGGGGAGAATTGAGACTGCTATTAGATATGGAGTTCTGTTTCAGGCGATGGAAATGTTCTGAATTTATACAATAGTGATGATTACACAACATAGTAAATACACTAAAATCCACTGTATTAGACACTTTAAATGGTGGCTTTTCTGTTAATGTGAACTCTGTGCCAACAAAAAATTTTTGAAATCATGAACAAATTAAAGTGAGATGTCCAGAACCTTTCAAATACAAAGTTGAAAACAGACACAAAGTTGAAAACAACAAAGCAAAACAAAACACCGAAGACAAAAATAATTTTAATTCTTTTAAAAGCCTCCAAAAGGGCTGGGGATGTGGCTCAAGAGGTAGCGCGCTCGCCTGGCATGCGTGCGGCCCGGGTTCTATCCTCAGCACCACATACAAACAAAGATGTTGTGTCCGCCGATAACTAAAAAATAAATATTAAAATTCTCTTAAAAAAAAAAATTTAAAAAAAAAAAAAAAAAAAAAAAGCCTCCAAAAGAAAAAAGAATTTAGGGCTGGGGTTGTGGCTCAGCGGCAGAGCACTCGCCTAGCAAGTGCGAGGCCCTGGGTTTGATCCTCAGCACCACATAAAAATGAATAAAGATACTGTGTCCAACTAAAAAATAAATATAAAAAAAAGAATTTTAAAAAAGAAAAAAGAATTTACATCCAAGGGAATAGGCAAAAGTAGAAAAATACATGAGAATATAATATCCTCAAAAAAATCAAATAGTGATCAGAGAAATTAAAAATTTGATCACTGAAATTAAACAGTTGTTAAACAGAAAGGTAAAGGGCAAAGAAAAAAAAGACAGAAGTTTGCTTAGAGCACAAAAGAGAAAATATAAAATATAAAGATATTAAATAAAGGAGTTAGAGTAATAAGTTCAAATATCCAACTCCACAGGTGAGAGATTTTCTAAGAACAGAACAGAACAGAATTTCTCAGAAGTAAGAAAAAAACATAATCCTTGGATTTAAAAAGGCCCAGGGAAAAAGCACTATTATATTTAAAAATTAATCCACACTGGACATGTGAAAAGTTTAGAAACTCAATGATAAAATAAAAGTTTTACTATAATCTCCAAGAAATATAAAACAGGTTTCCTATTAGAAAAAAAGAAAAGAAGGAAGAAAGAAAAAAAAGAAAAGCAGCCTTTTTATCACCAATGAATAGAAGCAAACAGACTAGAGCAAATTCCAAGTCCAGAGGAAAATTACTTTTAATCTACAAATTTTAAAACCAGATCATCCAAATTTTAGGGCTACAAACTTTTCAGAATTCAAGAACTCATAAAAATATACCAACCACATAGTCTCTCTGAAATTTTGGTTTTGGTTTTATTTTGTGGTGCAAGAAACTGAACACATACCCTCACTCAGCTGTACTCCCAGGCATGTGAGAATTTCTAGAGGATGAATTCAATAAGACAAATTTGATCCAAAAGTAAAGAGTGAAATAAAAGAAACAATAGAGCTCTATAGCTTCCAGTTTTGAGGAAATAATATTACTCAGAATTAACTACTCATATAATGTAGTAATTAGTTTCACATACTGGGCAACAGGCAGCACAGAACATAATGTCCATGAGAAACTAAACAAACGAGGTGAATCCTACCTGCCATACTCCAGACTTTCTACCTAAAGGCAATTTCCAAACTGCAGCTTTGGGTAGGGAATATAAACACTGCCTTACAGTTGGGAAGAAAGAATGGCACAGGTTTGGAGAAGTCAGATGACCAAAATTGTTGGAGAAGACTTCCAAAGAGAAGTTTTGTTTGTTTGTTTGTGGTAGTGGGGATAAAACCACTGAGCTACATCCCCAGTCCTTTTTAGTTTTTATTTTGAGAGAGGGTCTTACTAAGTTACTGAGGATCTCGCTAAATTCCTGAGACTGGCCCTGAACCCGAGATCCTCTTGTCTCAATCTCCTGAGTTGCTCCAATTACAGGCATGAGACACCATGTCTGGCAGAGAAGGGAGTTATATAAAGATTTTTTTTGAAATATGAATTTCAGTTCCTTTAAATCTTTGAATAGAAAAAGCACAAGGCTGGACAAAAACAATTTTAAAGAAAATAATTACAAACAACTTATGATGAAAGAACAATTAGGGAGAACCATAAAGCAAATAATTCCCAGAGTTCACTTGAGATCAATATTCATTTGAATCTCCTCTTGAAAAAAACCTTTAAAAAAAATACACATATACATATATATGAACCCAGACACGGTAGTTCATGCCTGTAATTCCAGCAGCTCAAGAGGCTGAGGCAGGAGGATCTCAGTTCAAACAAAAGCCTCAGCAATTTAGGGAGGACCTAAGCAACTTAGAGAGACCCTGTCTCAAAAAAAAAAAAAAAAAAAGTGGGGCTGGGGATGTGCCTCTGGATTCAACCCCTGGTACCCACCCCCCAAAAAGTGAAGAAATCTCAGTGACTATACAGACCCTCCAGAGGACAAAAGCTTATAATTAATCAGGGGTTAAATTAGAACACAAAGTCTATTTTAGATCTGCCCTAAGAGATTAAAAACAAGCCTAAAAGGTAATTTGTCTATCAACAAATCCAACCCTCTTTAAAGGAATACAACAAAAACCAACACCAAAACAGTGTATAAAATTCAAATATTCAAATTTCAATCAAAAAAATCCAATATCTGTAATGAGAATGTCATTGGATGAAATTAATAGCAGGTTGAAGGTCTGGGGTTGTGGCTCAGTGTTAGAGCACTTTCCTACCATGTATGCAGCACTGGTATGGATTCTCAGTACCACATATAAATAAATGGTTAAATAAAGGTCCATAAACAAGTATAAAAAAGTTTTTAAAAAAGAAGGTGGGAAACTGCACAAGAAACAGATCACTGGTTGTGAAAGCTATTGGAAAACCAAACTAATGGATAAAATAAAACTAAAAATGGGAGCTGGGGATGTGGCTCAGTGGTAGAGCACACGCCTTGTATGTGTGAGGCGCTGGGTTCAATTCTCAGCACCACATAAAAATAAAGGTCTTGTGTCCACCTACAACTAAAACAGTATACACACACACACACACACACACACAGAGGAAAGTAATGTCTGATTCCTTCTTTCTTATTCCCATCCCCTTCATTCCCTTCATTCCCCTTTGTCTAATCCAGTGAACTTCTATTCTCTTCCCACTGATTGTGATTTAGCAACTACATATCAGAGAGAACATTCGGCCTTTGGTTTTTTGGGTGTGGTTTACTTCACTTAACTTGACAGTCTCCAGTTCCATCCACAAATGCCATAATTTCATTCTTCTTTATGGCTAAGTAATATTTCATCACATATATGTACCACATTTCTTTATCCATTCCTGTTGAAGGGCATATCGGTTGGTTCCATAGCTTGGCTACTATGAATTGAGCTGCTATAAACATTAATATGGCCACCTCACTGTAGTATGCTGATTTTAAGTTGTTTGAGTATATACCAAGGAGTAGGATAAATGGGTCAAATGGTGGTTCCATTCCAAGTTTTCTGAGAAGTCTCCCTACTGCTTACCAGAGTAATTTCACCAATTTGCAGTCCCATCAGCAATGTATGAGTATACCTTCTTCCCCACATCCTCGCCAACATTTATTGTTCCTTGTATTTTTGGTAATTGCCATTCTGACTGGAATAAGATGAAATCTCAGTGTTGTTTTAATTTGTATTTCTCTAATTAGTAGAGATGTTGAACATTTTTTTCATAATTTGTTGACCAATCATTTCTTCTGTGAAGTGTCTGTTCAGTTCCTTTGCTAATTTATTGATTGGGTTATTTGCTTTTTTAGTGTTAAGATTTTTGAGTGGGCTGGGGTTGTGGCTCAGCAATAGAGGGCTCACCTAGCATGTGCGAAGCCCCGAGTTCGATCCTCAGCACAACATAAAAATAAATTAAAGGTACTGTGTCCAACTACAACTAAATTAACAAAATATTTAAAAAAAGATTTCTGAGTTATTTATATATCCTAGAGATTAATGCTCTATCTGAAGTGCAGGTGACAAAAGATTTTCTTCCATTCTGTGGGCTCTCTCTTCACATTCTTGATTGTTTCCTTTGTTGTGAAGAAGCTTTTTAGGTTGATACCATCCATTTCTTGATTCTTGATTTTACTTCTTACACTTTAGGAGTTTTGTTGAGAAATCTGGTTCCTAAGACAACATGATGGAGATTTGAGCCTACTTTTTCTTTTAGTAGGCACAGGTTTCTGGTCTAATGCCTATGTCCTTGATCCACTTTGAGTTGAGCTAACATTATTTTTTTTAAAGTCTTTCTTTTATTTATTTACTTTTATATGGTGCTGAGGATCAAAGCCAGTGCCTCACACATGTTAGGCAAACCCTCTACCACTGAGCCACAACCCCAGCCCCAGCTAACATCATTCTTAATGATGAAAACCTGAAACTTAACTTTTTAACTCAGTTCACATACAAAACTTAATTCAAAACAGAAATGTAAAGCCTAAAATTATAACACTTACAGAAGGAAACATAGAAAGTCTTAGTAACCTTAAGTTTGGCAAAAACTTAAGATACAACTCAAAAAGCACAAAATATAAAAGAATTAGACCTCATAAAAAATTTTAAATGTATGATCACCAAAGGACACTGCTAAGGAAAATAAGGCAGTACTTCTGTATGTAATCTATATATAACAATATAGATATTATAAATAAAATAATTTAGAAAATATAACTAAAAACTAGAATAGGTAACATCCATATCTAGCAATAAAAAGTTAATACTGAAAAATGCCAGACATGACTAAATCTCAAAAATATTATGGGAAGGAAAAGAAGCCATCAGAAGAGTCCATATGAAATGCACAATAAATATAATCTATTATGACAGAGCAGATTGGTGGTTTTATGGGAGGTCAGACCGCTGAAAGTTGGGGAGGAAGACTGACCTGGATGAGGTATATAAGAATTTTCTGGCATGATAAAAATGTTCTTTACCTCCATTTTGGTGGTGAGTTTATGGGCATTTGAATTTGTCAAAATATGTATATATCATAAAATGGCTGCATTATATACACACACACACAATGAAGTTGCTTTTTTAAAAAATAACCTAGCCAGGCATAGTGGCACACAGATGTAATCCTAGTGGCTCTGGAGGCTGAGGCCGTAGAACTGCAAGTTAAAAGCCAACCTCAGCAATTTAGCAAGGCCCTAGGCAATTTACCAAGACCCTGTCTCCAAAAAGAAAAAGAAAAAGAAAAAAAAGGTTGGGAATACAACTCAGTGGTTAAGTGCCCCTGAGTTGAGTTCAATTTCTGGTACCAAAAATAATTTAAAAATTAAAATAACCTACAAAACTAGTAATCAGAACAGCACTGGAACAGGAAGAACATGCAACCAAAACTCAAGATCTAATCATGATAAAATTCTCAAACTAGGAACAGAAAGCAACTTCTTTAACCAAAAAAGATTAACAGCAAAACATACAACTAACACACTTAGTGATAAAAGACTAAATATTTCCCTACACAGAACTACCTATGTCTAACCTTGCTGTGTAATTATGCCCACACTTCAGAGGAATACTCAGGGGTATGTAGCAGTATTCAACTATATTTTGCTGATAAATCTGCCTTCTTATTCCCTGTTATGACCATTTAATCTCTTCCTTTCCAGTTTCTTCAAATCTCTTACACCACTATCCCTAGTGTACTCTAAACCTGTAATTTCATCTCATATTTTATTTTTCATAAAGTAAGTCAATAATACAAACTCATCTTCCTGCCATCAAATCAATCAAGAAGGTAGAGGCCTTTATCCTGGCCACCACTTAAGAGAGGCCAAGTTACCTGTACAACTCAAAACTCAATCAGAATATGAAACATAACAGGTCTTGACCTAGAAACTCAAGGCAACTGATTCTTTTCCACAATTCCTACAATCAAAAGACACATACAACCTCTAAAATATGGCAAAAAATGATAATAAAAAGAGAGATAATTAATTCCCAAACTTTGAGTCCTCGTTTTTTCAGAATGATTTTTGCCATTAAAAAACGATTACAATAGCAAGTACATTTGGTTTCTGGTCAACAAATGTATTATATAAGAAAAGCATACATACAGATGCAATTTGCACAGCATCTGTTTCTTACCTGCTGGTGGCGAGTGCTGGGAAAGGTGTATTGGACAGAGTGGGGAGGATAACGACTTTGTTCTGTGCTGAATGCTCCTTGGTTGGGAGGATAACCTGAACTTGACATTATCAGTAAAGGAGTCCTCACTGGGCTGTGAGATCAAGTCCAACAATCATGTTTCTAGGAAACCACCTGAACAGGATGAGAAAAAAGAGAATTCATAAGAACTAAAATACTATGCAAAATGTAACTATAGCTATATAAATAAAACCACAATTAGCAGTAAAGTTTTCTCTCATGTATTCACTTCATAGAAGTTGTTGAGGTAGGATAAACATTAATGGGTCTTTTCATTTACACTCTAAAATATTCTTTTAATATATGACTAATGATATAATTAGGTATATAAAGTAAAAAAAAAAAAAGTACATAAAATTTTAGCATGAGGTAATGGGGATATAGCTCAGTAATAAGATACAGTATCTGCTTAGTAGGCATTAGGCCCTAGGCCCCCTTCTTTCCCCCAAAAATCTTAGCATTAGACATGGCACACGGTAGCCATGTCTTTCTATAAATAAGAAACATATATATTATAAAGACAAAAATACATGATTCTAAATTTGGGAGTTGTTAAAAAAAAAAAAAAAAGTCAACTGTAAAGAGGGCTAGGTATATGGCTCAAGTAGTAGCGTGCTCACCTGGCATGCGTGGGGCACTGGGTTCGATCCTCAGCACCACATAAAAACAAAATATTGTGTCCATCTAAAGCTAAAAAGTAAATATTTTTAAAAAAGAATCCAAGAATATTTATAAATATTTGTGCAAAGAAAATATTGTCTTTATTAAATAATCACAGGTAGGCCCCAAAATAATAGCATAAGAGGACAATGAGGATGGGCAAGTTTTCAAGAAAGAATAAAGTCTATCAACTCAAGGAAAGCAACTGCCAATACTTGTGAGAATCAGAATTTTGGGGGCTGGGGATGTGGCTCAAGCGGTAACGCGCTCATTTGGCATGCACAGGGCGCTGGGTTTGATCCTCAGCACCACATAAAAAATAAAGATGTTGTGTCCACCAAAAACTGAAAAATAAATATTAAAAAAAATCTCTTTTTTTTTTTTTTTTTAAAGAGAGAAAAGAAAGAATTTTGGAACACCTTGTATTGTCACTATGAGCTTGACAGCATCTGAACATTTAAAGATTTTTCCTATGAGACTGACTAGTGGTGAAATTAAGAAGTGTGAGGTTTTTATATAACAAAACGTGTCAATATTTGAAATATCTGCATAATTCACATTTTATTCTCCAAGTGACTAATACAGATTGTTACAACATTTTACATGAATGATTTATCTAAAACATGAAGCTAACCAATAAATTTTCATACAGTACATTTTAAAAATGTAAATCATTGGGCTGGATTTGTAGCTCAGTGACAGAGAACTTGCCTAGCAGGTCTGATCCAGCACCACATAAAAATAAGTAAAGATATTGTGTCCATCTACAACATATACATACATATACACACACATATAATAAACCTACTGATATGGTTTCAGATTCTATACGATAATCAACCTTTAAAAAATTACCACTTGACTGGTTTTGATGGGAAATCAAAGAACATCCTCAATTATATAAAAAGAGTTGTTAAAATACCCCTCCATTTTTCAACTGTATATCTATGGGGTTAGGTTTTCTTTATAAAGTTTAATCAAAACAGCATATTGCAAGACATTGAATGTAGAAATAGATGGGAGAATCAAGCTATCTTCTAAAGTAAAAATATAAAACACCACCACTCTTCTTAACAATTTTTTTTAAATAGTTGTTCAACATAAAGATGTCATGTAATGGGTAGTGCTCAATATACATTGGTGCTAAGGATCGAAAATGGTAAGTACCACTGAGCTACGCCCTCAGCCCTATATAGTTTTTAAATAAATATCTTTAAATTTTCACTTTAGTCTTATTTGATAAACAGCATATATAACTCATATAAGCAAAGGAACTTCATAATCCTAAATAATTTACTCCTCGACGCTTATGATACAGAAAAGAAATTAAGGACACTAAAATCCTCAAAGTAATTTCTGATCTAAATTCTTTTAAAAGACCAGGTAATGTACAATACTTTCAACCTAAGAAAGATCCTAACCACAATCCCCCACGCATAAATGGTAAAATTGAAAGCTTCAACTTACATCAAACTATAGTGATACACGCATACTCATGTTTACAGCAGCTCAATTCACAATAGCCCAACTATGGAACCAAGGTAGATGACTATCAGTGGATGAATGGATAAAGAAAATGTGGTATATATACACAATGGAGTTTTATTCAACCATAAAGGAAAATGAAACGATGTCATTGTTGGAAGATGGATGGAATTAGAGACCATTATATTAGGTGAAATAAGCCATATTCAGGTCAAGAATCCTACGTTCTTTTGAATATGGAAGCTAGACAGGAAAAAAAGGAAAAGCATGGGGGCTGAGGTTGTGGCTCAGCAGTAGAGCATTCGCCTAGCACGTGTGAGGCCCTGGGTTCGATCCTTCTTGCCAACTAAAAATAAATAAATGAAGGTATTGTGCCCAACTACAACTAAAAAATAAATATTAAAAAAAAAAGGAAAAGCATGGTAGTGGGGCAGGGATCTCAAGAAAATCAAAGGGAGATCAATAAAGGAAAGGGATGAAGGGGTGGAAAGCAGGGAAGGAGGGGGGAAGTGCTGGAGAGTGGTAATAGCCAAATTATATCTTGTGCACATAAGAACAGGGAACAGGGGGCTGGGGTTGTGGCTTGGCAGTAGAATGCTCGCCCAGCACGTGTGAAGCCCTGGGTTCAATCCTCAACACCACATAAAAACAAATAAATAAAGGTATTGTGCCCAACTACAACTAAAAAATAAATGTTGGAAAAAAAACAAAAAGAATAGCTAACAGGGGGCTGGGGTTGTGGCTCAATGGTAGAGTGCTTGCCTAGAATATGTGAGGCCCTGAGTTCAATCCTCAGCACCATATAATGATAAATAAAGGTATTGAGTCCATCTACAACTAAAAAATATTTTAAAAAAAAGAATAGGTAACAGGGCTGGGGTTGTGGCTCGGCAATAGAGTGCTCGCCTAGCACATTCGAGGTGTTGGGTTCAATCCTCAGCACAACATAAAAACAAATAAAATAAAGGTATTGTGTCCAACTGCAACTAAAAAAAGAAATTTAAAAAAAATATGTAACAACAAATTCTATCATTATGTACAACTATAATGTACCAATTTTTTAAAAGTGGGGTAAAAAAATAGAAACATTTTAAGAAAGCAAACTACAAACCAGAAAATAACTTCAATGGAAAAGCTCTGCCATATATATATATATATATATATATACACACACACACACACACACACACATACACATATATATATTTACATATGTTTATATATATGTTTATATATATATAGAGAGAGAGAGAGAGATACAGACATAGATACTGATATATCTTACAAATGGCAAAATTTCATTACAACCTATATATGTACTTTTTTTTTTTTACAAATCACTAAAAAAATAACAAAGTTGTAGGAACATTGGATTAGCAAAGGAAATAATGCTGTTAAGTAACCATAAATAATCATAAAAAAGCAAAAAAAATCACTTTTCCCAAAAACTTAGCAATATATAAAAAAGTACAATAATGTACATTAATAATGTAAATTAATGTATGTATTAATAATGTATATTTAAAAATGTATAATAATGCCAAGTGTTGAAGAAAGTTTTAGAAAATAGGCATTTTTTTTTCACTTTCCTAGTTCATATATAAATTGGTACAAATTTGCTCTCTGAATAATGGCAATTTACGGGCTGGGGCTGTGGCTCAATGGTAGAGCACCTACCTGCCTTGCATATGTGAGGCATTGGGTTCGATCCTCAACACCACATAAAAATAAATAAAGATTTTTTTAAAAAAAATAATAATAATGGCAATTTATACCACATTACTTGAAAATATGCTTTTCTAGGAATTGTCTTAAATATATATACAAAATACAAGCTTAAGAAAATTATGCTTTCAAACAAAAATTTAAGCAGGGTATGGTGGCTCACATCTGTAGCCTCAATTACTCAAAAGAATGAAGCAGGTAGAATACTTGCACCCAGGAGTTGGAGGTCAATCTGGGCATCATAGTGAGACCCTATCTCTCAAAAACAAAAAATAAAAAACATTTAGCCAATAGGCAAAGGCCATATAAATGAGAACATTTTGATTTTTTTTTTTTTTTTTAAAAAAAGCATGCTGGGGCTGGGGTTGTAGCTCAGTGGTAGAGCACTTGCCTAGCACGTATAAGGCATTGGGTTAAATCCTCAGGATCACACAAAATTAAACAAATAAAGGTATTGTGTCCATTTAAAATTAAAAATATAAAAAACATGCTATGTATAGCATTATCATTTAATTTTTCACATCTGTCATATCTTCACAGAATTGTAACATTCAAGACAAAAATGTCATTTATGTACACACATTTATTGAGGCATATACTACTACGTACCACTGTTCTAAACTGGCATATACATACATCATATATATGTGTGTGTGTGTGTGAACACAGTACCTTTATTTATTTATTTTATGTGGTACCAGGGATCAAACCCAGTGCCTCACGCATGCTAGGCAAGCGCTCTACCACTGAGCCACAATCCCAGCCCTAAACTGGCAAGATATGCTATCTTATTGTGAGGAGACATAGGCAATAAACAAATAATCATAAAATAATAGGATAAAATGTTATAAATAAAACAAGGCAATAGGCAGACAGAAGGGCAAAAACGGAGGAAGGGATGAGGGGGTAGGGTGAGCATAGAAGTCCAATCTCAGCTCTGATGTGCTCTGGTTTCTTCAAACAGTCCTAATCTACACCTCTTGTTCCAGTGCAGTTATTCTCCATTTCATTCTCAAAATTGTCCCAGGTTGATTATTAAATTATATTCTAAGACAACCTTTGCACTTAAGTTCAAAAGACGAGAATGAAACTATCCTAGAAAAGATGGGATTTTGCAGGTTTTCTAGAAACTGGCATTCTCGCTCACTCTAAACATTAATCCTTTTTCCATCTTTAGGCTATAAACATTTGTTCTGGAATTCTTGTTTCATCTTTTTAAAGACTGTTTCCCAAATTATTAAAAT